AAAAAAAAAACTTCAGGTGATAGGGTGAGACTAAGATGTTGATGTTAGATAGTAACTGAGGATGAATGATGATCCTGTCATTTGGCGGTTGAGTAATGAAATTCTCAATGTAAGCGCGTTTTATGGATTATTCAAGCAAGAATGTCGATCACGAAGGGCATCTTGAGCAGGTGATGGCGGACGAGGGCGCCTAATGAACTCGCTCGCTACCTGATACTGCGATGGAAAGGAGAGTAAAGGGGCAGCCTACTCTTGTCGAGACGGCGTTGATAGTTGGAATAGACCAACGGAATCTTACCCCGGCTATTGAGCAGATAAATCACCGATATCCAGCTCAAGAATTGGATTGTTCAGCTGCAGTCCAAGCACCGCTGAAGTTGGCTCCTTATCAGAGAACTCCTCCTCTCTCCCTTGACGCTCACGATTAACCAAAAATGTTGCAAAGTTCTCTGGGTTAAGCGTGCGCAGACTCCAATCAAAAATGGGCGCTGGTTTGCCAATACGGTCAAAGTCGATAGAGCCAAGTGTATCGCCTGGTTGAGCAGTGCTCGGTCTCTCTGTTGTCGTATACAGCTTCTTCCACGGCACTGTCAGCTTCTCGTTGGTCAGTGTCTGTCCAATTTTGAAACACTGTTGATGTGGAGGCATTCTGAGGATGATGCGGCGGAGGTCTGGTGGCGCGGCATCGAATAAGCAGTACATTGTATCCGGAGCAAGTCGCTTCTGAACAAGGATAGGTTGCTTGGGAGGCGTGTTCTCAGAAGCTTGTACACTGGAGTTGCCTCCAGTACTCGATATCGGCTCACTTCGAGTCTCTGAGAAGACAACTTCGACTGCAACATCTGGGAACTGGGCAAGTAATTGACTGCGTAATAGGAATCCGTATCGAGGCATTGGAATGTGCCAGCCTCCAAGAGACTCGTCTGGGGTTCGTAGACGCTCATTAATAGCAGACTTGATAGCAGTGCGCGACTTGTCCATGTCTGGCGCATAGCCCCAGTGGTTTGCCAGACTCAATGCCCCGTCGATCAACGCATCAATCCAGTTTTCGTCGATGAAGAAAAACCGAAGAGTTTCCTGCGGGAGAAATGAAGGGTCAGGTATGAGATATTGAGCAGGCACATTGGCAAGATGTACTTTATCGAGAATCCATGAGTATATGTAGGCATAGTCCGGACTAGCAGGCATCTTATACTCGTTGTATATGATGCCCGTTTTATCTGACGTGGCGAACGTGAGACCTGCTGCGTCTGAGTGGGACGATATACGGGCTGAAATCTGAGGCGAGTTTTGTGAGAGCATATCAATGCTCTTGTGGGATATCTCCTCCTCATCTTGATGGTACCACCGGTTCCGAGCGAGAGACGACGCGGCACCGCCAGATGCATGCAGGCCGGCGTTGATATCAACAAGGCCTTGAACCAGATCAACCATACTATCCGCTGTTTTTGTGCGAGGACCATATCCGTCGTCTCGGAAGAGAGCATGAATATCTTGGTCCGAACTGTCCAAGCCACGACCATGCACTGCGCTCCGTAATCGAGCAAGGGCAACACAGAAGGACCCATCTGCCATGGCCAGCGTCTTGCCCAACTGCCAGGCACTCGAGTAGGTCGTATCAAGCAGGCTAAGCTTGTTATCGAAAATTCCCAAATCACTGCCGTCGTTTGATTGCATCGTAAAGCCATCTCGTAGCGGACGCTGGACCCGCCTCGGCACAAGAGGCCCGCGAAGTATCGTAGCAGTTACTTCTCCAGTAACTGTGCGGGTGCGAGAGAGCGTGTATCCGTCAGCCTGCCGGGCCTTCACAAGATCAGCTATGGATAAGTCTTCCGATGCATCATTAGAGACAAATGACTTAGGCTTAGCATTGTCTCCAGTCCGCAAAATGTTCAATTCTTTTTCTGGATTAGTCAAAAGTTCAAATTTACCGGCTCCATTCTTTGATGGAAGACAGGTATAAGTCCAACTATGGAGGCTTGTCATAGCTACACAATCATTGGCTGTAGGAACGGGCATCTTCTCGTCAAAGACAAGGGACAAGAGGTGAACGACCAACGGCGTGGGCAGATTGGAGTCGATTAGACCTGTACGACGGCTGATGAGGATACTGAATAGCGCATGGCCATCTTTGGAACCAGCATTTGCCATGCCGCCTGTTGCTATATGCCTCACATGAGCCATGTGTTTGTAAGATGCCACATTGAGCTTGCTGCCATCACCGCCTGGCTCTGTGAACAAAGCTGTGAATAGCTGGCCTGGCAGCACCACCACATCAGTAGGCTCAGCCGTGTCTTTGGCATCTGCAGTCTTGTTGAAAGCAGTCGTGTTGATTACTCCATTCAACTTGGGCGTATCACCAGCAAGCATCCGCAGAGCGCCCGTCTCGCTCTGTTCGCGCTTCGCGCTCTCATCGCTGGGCAGATTGCGCATGATATTATCAATGTCAGATTGATCCATTTGCAGCTCTTCCATTGAAAAGACCATCAGGGCAAGCCATGTGGTTCGACTTCGATCTGTTTTCTTGCCTTCGTCAGAAGGAACATGAGCTGCTGATGGGCTTCTAATCCATGGTAAATACGGGTCGGTAAAAACAATGTGAGGCAGAACTGTATGTTCTGCCTGTGTCCCAGGCGTGGGAAAAACAAAGTCAACGGCTCCTCGTTGGAGTGAAAATCGGGGAGCAACGATAATGGGAGCCTGCTCAATGGCCTCAATTGCGTCGGTTTGGGAATCCTGATCAGAATCTCTGGGGTCTGCTGGCGCCTCAGTTGTTTGGCTGACTTTGACCTGATGAAGGCCGCCCTTAAGAGAAAGTTCGTCGACAGAGTAGAGACGGATTTCTCCTGGGGCGAGCGGGCGAAGATTGTCGGAGAGGACGCGCTGAGTGTGTCGATGGAGAAGATTGCGATATGAAGAGGTCATTTTGAAGCGTAGATTGGAGCTTCAAGGCAGTGCAATTGAGTGCTAGATACTTGACCAGCACAGCGAGATCAACAACAGAACATCGCTAAGATTGAGGATAGATGAGACGTCGGGCTGGTGCTGGGCATAGTTTCCGTATCCGTCAGCTTTTCAATGCGGCAGCCAGTTTGTTCATGCTATACTTCTAACTAGCCTTTTATCACTTGGCATCCTCAGCCCCAGTTCCAGCTGGTCGCCGGTCGATGGTCAACCAATAATGCCATTTCCAAGGCAGCTAAGGAATCATCAGCTCCCTTTAGTCGCGCGTCCAGGGCGCTCACATTCAGTTTAGTTCACCGCAGTATCAATAATGCAGAGCTTTTTTCTTCTTCTAAGAGACAGCCAAGAAGGATGCTAACATGGATGTTGGAAACTATCAATCGTTCAGCTCGCTACTAAGATCACTAGTCTCTCCCTTAGGCTTAGACTTTACTCCGCCAACCCCTCCTTGATCATTAAGCAGAGCAGAGATAGTGCGTCGATTAAAGCTCACGCGGTATGGACTTTACGGCCCGTACCGCTCTACCCGATTGGGTACCTGTGATTATGTGTAAGTGGTATTCAGCTTTTGCAGAGGAAGTAGAAGATATTGGAAACATTTTATGGAAATAGATCGAAGCCAATAAATCACAATTACTCTTACAAGCAATAACACTAACGATAGGCCTTCGAGTCGTAGCTAAACTCAATAAGTAGAGAAGTTCAATAATTGCAGCGGTGGCATAACTAGTTGCAAGGGCTAGATATAACAGCTCCGTCTAGATTCATGCGTCTTCACATGCTATTGTTAAAGAGTAGAAATTTAAAGGTGTAGAACGAGGCATCACGATACGGCTAGACTTACTAGTGAATTCTCACCCCGGTCAGACAATCGCACCCTCCTCATGCGGAATTGACTCTTTGGATGCAATTTCACGGTTTGAGTCGAACTTGGGAGGCAAATCGTTTGTTATCATGAGCGGGCCCATGTGGAAGAAGGCTTGTATTTTTGAAAGCGCCGATTGCCAGGTCCAGCGCGCAAGGGTAATTTCTTTGACCGGGAAAATACCAGACTAGGCGTGGATGGGTGAGAATGGGTCTGCAATCATGGCTCGAACAGATAGATGAATTTCGCTAGCCGGCAAAAAGTCTTTTAGCATCAGCGCCCTGTTAGAATCTTCTCAACCAAGAAAAGACCGTCCCGCTCATGACGGTGATGGTCGAGAGTACTAGATCTGGTTCACTACCAGTCTCGAATCTAAAATTTATGCTTAGTGGATAACTGGTTTCGTTTGAGCATCCTCCCGTAACGATTGCTAGCAGATTCGCTTGCACAAAGATGGTTGGTTCTACATTCTACACCGGCGATCTCATCTTAGCCTTTAATCCATGGAAGTTACAGGCTATGGGTTTACGTCGAGGTATAAGAAGCCAGCCGTAGAGTCTGTAATATCTAGGTGCCGCCATCATAGAGCAAGGTCATCCATATATCGGATCTCTGACATTGACAACGTCGATGATGTTAATTTTATGACTCTAGAGGACTAGCCTCCAATGAATAAAGAGACCTACACCATGGTATTTGTCATTTTGAAGCTGGACGGTCCGTTATTCAGCTTTAGATTTGCAGATTTCTCCGGTCTTACAGCTGTCGTGGGCCTCAATTCGGCAATTCGCCTTCCCACAGCTGAGACTGTCTTTGGGTTTCTCTTCACAAAACCGTCGAACACGCTTCCCACGTCTGATGGCCCCCTAGCTTCGCTCAAAGCCGTATTATGGCCGCCTCCGGACGTAATTCCATGGTTCACTCCACGCGAAGGCCTTTTTTGGATCGCTGCTAGGCTCAAAGCAACCGCTGTTACTCCGCTGTCGGTGGATGCAGTAGTTGTCGTCAACACGAATTCCTCGATACAGCTCGTTATCTTTGGCGTAGCAGTTGTCGATCCCCCTAGTATGCAATCCAAGTTCAAATTTGCGCATGCAGAGCTGGGCATTGCCTGTGTCTTTGATCCGGCTGCTGGTAAATTCCAGTTGGACGCTCAGCCTTCGCCTCGCAGTTATGTATTGCACGAAAGCTGCCACTTGACAGGCGGCATGGCGCTCTATGCGTGGGCTGAGACAGGAGACTTTATTCTCACGCTGGTCGGCTGCCATCAGGCCTTTGTGGTGCCCACAGCCTATCCTGTGCCATCACGTCTCGGTATAGCATGGTCTCTGAGTGATAATCTGCGTATCTCGGGCGAAGCCTATCTTGCCATGACGGCACGCATGTATATGGGTTGTGGAAAGCTTAACACGACTCTTAATTTAGGCCCTCTGACAGCCTGATTTGATGCCTTCCTGGACTTTCTCATAAACTTTCGTCCGTTCAAGTCTGCGGTTGACGGGGGCGTCTCAGTTTGGCGTCCGACTTACTCTCGACTTGTGGCTCGTCACCAGCCGCATGGATGCCGAGATTGGTGCCCGTCTGAATGTGTTGGGTCCGCCAATGGCTGGCAGAGTGCACGTCGACTTTTGGGTCTTTGGTTTCGATATTGAGTTTGGCGACCGCAGTGCTGCGCTGACCGAGGGCATGCTAATAAACTGACGCTGGAAACTTCAAGGCGTTGGTTCTGAAGAGTGCAGCATCTGCAGCAACACGTGTGCCCATGATAAGTGATTAGGCTGATGTTCAAGCTCAGGACGATACCAATAATAAAGTGTCAGAGGACAAGACTTCTGAGAGCTTCCTTTTCAATTGCTCAGCAGGCTTGCTTCCAGATAACAACGTTCCTGATAGCTTTTATCTAAGAATGCCGGTGCCTGGATTCAAGAACCTGTCGGAGAATTGCACTTTTCAATCACGTTTGGATTTGCTTTAAATATGCCAAAATCGTCGACAATAGACCAAAAAGGCGACTTCATGAACTTGAAGTTCCGATCAAGGATGAGGACAAGCCCATCTTTGCACTCCCCATGCGCCAACGAAGACAACTCGGTTCAAAGATTAAAGTCGAAATCGCTCAGCAGGATGCCGGCGCCACGTATCTTTGGACATGGAATGATGACGAAAGAAGAGAAGATCGCTAGCTGTTACGCCGATTGTGGAAATGTCCCTAAGGACTTCTGGGGCCAGTGTGATCCCGCCACAGATCCGGCTCTCAACGGCAACTCTGTAGCATCGCTTTTGAACGCTCCGACTGCCACTGGAAGCATGCCGCTTGTCATGGGATTGAACTTCCAGCCACCACTGCCGTCAATCTCCAAAGATTCGATGCCCTAATTCAACATTGTGAGAGACATGCGCCAGCGAGTCCAGGATAAGGACTTTGAGTGGAAGGGCGAAAAGTGCAAGGCGAGCACACGGTGGAATTCATGAAAGGAGATGAAGAGGACGGACTCAATCAGTGGACGCGCGTTACGAGGCTTTGGGACCCAGAGGAGGCGGAAATGAAGCGGTCGATGTTGTGAATCTGTGGGCGCGGAAGATGCGCTGGGATGTCAGTAAAGGGGCTCCATTGGTGGGCAAAAGACCGCGGAGCTGCTGAGAAGATGTAAGAATGTAATTCCAGCAGCGCCTAGGATTGCTGTTGGTGTAGTCTAGAAGTCAATATTGTTGTTAATAGCTCAAGACAGTAAATCTAGTTTCCCTTTTATTCTTCTAATCGCCTCTATGCACAGAAAATGGTAGACAAGCTCAATGCTTCTCTTTGAACATCTTATTGCTAACGATCTGAGATACTCTTCGAAGATGCAATGATGTCACCGCAGGGACTTTTCGATTATGTAAGTGAACCATCGAAAATGCATACCGTATCCAACATACACTGTCTTGTAAAAGCACATGTATTGCATATTTGGTGCGCACATCTGCATCAGCGTCACCCTTGCGCCTGTAACACGATGCGCACTTCGAAACACGCATCAATAGAATCACCAAAATATTCATTCTTCACTAAAACACCGCCAGGGCAGGGGTCAAGGGGCCTGCATTGCTATTTTAAGCACGGCAGATGCGTTCCGCTATGCTGGTCATCTCCGTGCGAATGCTAATTAAGGATACTGTATTTCTCCCTAGAGCTGCGTCGCTCGTCCAATGACATGCCAGTCGCGTCGTGTCCTCTTTGCTGCATCGCCAAATCTTATCGCCTCGTCGTCCACTGTTCTTTTCAACTACCGTCTATCTTTTGAGCCCTTCCGCGACACGACGCCGGATCGCGCAACGTCGATTCGATCCTAGCTGCTTTATTTTCTCTTTGTACCACAGGCGCTTTTCGAAATCCAGCATCTTGTCGGTGCCATCAGGGCATAGAAGCAGCCAACATGCCGCTAAACATCTTTCGCGTTGCTGGTAGGTTGACAATACGCTTCGACCGAATCGCTAGCGACGAACGCTGACATCTGACCAACAGCGGATTTCTCGCATTTAGCGAGTATCCTCATCCTGCTGCGCAAGATGGTGCAGCTCAACGTGCGTTGCCTCCTCTGATGCCCCGCCCCTATATCCCATACCTCGAGCATCGCTAACTTGGCGCCGTACAGAGCTGTTCGGGCATCTCCTTCAAGTCGCAAGGACTGTATCTGCTGGTCTACATTACCAGATACCTTGGTATGAAGCTCGGCTGCCACTGGAAGCGCTCAATGGCTGGGCCAAGCTAACCCGGCGCAGATCTCTTTTCGACGGAGAGCTACTACAACATCATCTTCAAGATCCTCTTCATAAGCTCACAGGGCTACATCATCTACCTCATGACCAACGCCTACAAGCCTACAAACGACATCAACACCGACACATTCCGCGTGCAGTACCTCCTCGGCGCCGCCGCCGCTCTCGCCCTCATCTTCCCGTACCACTACACCCCGTCCGAGATCCTGTGGGCCTTTTCCATTTGGCTGGAGGCTGTGGCCATTCTCCCGCAGCTGTTTATGCTGCAGCGCACGGGCGAGGCCGAGACCATCACGGCCAACTATCTGTTCGCTCTCGGAATCTACCGCGCCCTCTACATCCCCAACTGGATCTACCGCTACATCGCCGAGCCCAAGCATAAGGTGGACTGGATTGCCATTGTCGCCGGTATTATTCAGACGATTCTCTACAGCGACTTTTTCTACATTTATTACAACAAGGTCCTCAAGGGCAAGAAGTTCAAGCTGCCTGTCTAAGGCGCATGCTTCACTCGGCTCTACATAAAAGGAGGGTGGAGATGTGTTCCTTGTGGTTTCGTCCGGATGAAAACATCACCCTACGATATGGCCAGCGGTAAAGCCTCTTGGAGAGGTTATACCTGTGATTAATGGCCGCGAAAGAGTGAGCTCTACAGCTACGGAAAATGTACTAGATCAAAATTGAGTGTTCAAGGGGGTAAATGATTGCATTGGCGGCGTTTGATGGTGTGCTCGGTTTGACGGCAATAAGGGAATTGGCGTCATCTCTTAACATGAGGATTTACGAGTCTGGGCCATGTATGTTGTGGACAAGAAAAAATTAGAGGGCAATCAATTGAATTTTTTTTTTTCCCAGCTTGATGAAGGGATCAAAATGCGCAACGTGATGTATGTAATAGCAGTAGTTGATAATCACAACTGCTAAAAGGAAATAATGTTGAAATCTGAGATTTAAGCAGCAAGCATGGCCATTTTCCTACAAGCAAAGCTCCCATGTGAGAGGCAGCTCATCAACAACACAGCCATCACGTGATCGATATCCATCATCAACCTCGCCATCCTCCAAAGCGTAAACTCTCTCTACCATTTCATCTGCAACACTCTCCACTGGTTTTGTGCATCAATCTAACCCGTTTATCGAATTCATCATGGACGGCGACGCACCCGAAAATATCGAAAAGCAGGTTGCCCCAGAAAATGGGCCGAGCGACGCTGTCCCTGAGCCCATTGCCCCGGCGCCGGATCTGAGCAAGCTGCCTACGCGAAAGGACGTTTCTCTTCGCGAATTCCTCAACAAGATTGACGATTATGCTCCTATAGTATGTCTCTATTTTCTGTCGAGCTTTAGGAATATTGCCATTTCTTGGTGATGAAGAATTACTCGAGATGCTAACTCGCTGCCAGATTCCCGACGCAGTGACGCACTACTACATGACCAAAGCCGGTCTTCCTCCACCACCGCAGACCGACCCCCGTCTCGCTCGTCTCCTCGCGCTCGCCACGCAAAAGTTTATTGCAGACGTCGCGGCCGACGCGTACCAGTACAGCCGCATTCGCGCGTCAAGCAACACCAACAACCCGATGGGCACCCTAGGCGCGGCGGCGGGTTTCCCCATCCCGGGACAGCAGTCGGGTCAGCCAAACAGCAAGGAACAAGGCAAGGGAGGGCCTTTGGGAATTCAGCGACCTGGTTTTGGCGGTGGTGGACAGGGAGGAAGCCAGAACAGGACGGTATTGACGATGGAGGACTTGGGTATGGCAGTTGGGGAGTACGGAGTCAACGTCAAGAGAAGCGAATTCTACCGATGAAAGGAGATGGATGGAGACTGGCATGTTATTTTTGCCAAGGTACATGATGGGCGGAGTGCATGGGAACTTAATACGGCGTTGGGGATAATGGCGTTGGAAACAGGGTTGTTCTGGGCAGGCCTACGGGACCTTAATTTAGCTTGATCCAACATGAATACAAATACAAGCTGCCTTTTTTGTCATTGGTTGAATGTGCAAATATTGTGAATCATGCAAAAAGTCGTGGCATTACGGCGTTGATACAAATATGTGTACAATATACAGTTTTCCTTCCTCCTCATCCATGTCGTCTATCCCATCTATTTCCTGTCCCAGATATTCGGTTTCCGCGTCCTGTCTTCCAGTCAGCACCTTTGCCTCCAAAAATCACATGTTCCGACCAATGTTATACTCACGGCGCAAATTCACCGAGCTTGTGCCCCACCATGTCCTCCGTTATCTGCACCTGCAGATAGTCCTTGCCATTGTGAATCTCAAACTTTAGGCCGACAAAGTTGGGCAGGATAGTCGCCGAGCGGGCTTGTGTTCGGACGGGAGGGACTTTGTCGTTGGGTCCCTTGGGCCAGACGATGGAGAGACTGCAGCGAGTAGTATATGTGAGTTGAAACAGTTCGTGATATTTTTCGGAGGGGCGGATTTTGCCTTACGGGACGAGGTTTGGGCCTGGGAAAGAGCAGTCAAGTTAGCAATTGGCGAGATTTTTGGAGTGAAATAGTAAATTGGGTAATTACCCTTCCAAACGGAACGCTTTAACAGCGCTCTTGTGGGCTGCATGATGGGCTATGCTGCGATCTTGGAAGATGGCTTGGTGGTTGATACCGGCGATGGTAGGAAATCTTGAAGAGAGGTTGTGTCACGTGATTGTAGATAGTGACATTTGCTGGACCCACGGCGTTGAGACTGTGTATGTCGACGATGATGCTGGATACTGGCGATTTTCACCTGAGCCATGTCGAAGAGAATGATATTTATGGTAAAACAGTATCTGAGGATGATTCTTTGAGATAAAGAACACAGTAGGTGACGATTTAGTGTAGGTGGTACAATGAGCGAGCGCAGGTGTAGCATCTCGACATCTGGTTCAATTGAATAGAAAAGCCAAGTGTGAAATGTCACAGGCTTTGGCACAAGACTATAATCTACTTTACACGACCAGATACTCACAGAAAAGGCATGTATTCTTGACCAATTCATGATTGCATCGCCTTATCCGTGCCATCTTCACACAATTTTGTCGCGAGTCTAGGGTAGCTCGAATCACTCTAGCATCACGTGTTGAATGGCTTCTGGCCAGACCCTCATTCGACAAAAGTCCAAACCTGGTTGGCGCCAGCTCACTGCATTATCACAAGTTGCGTGCTGCGTCGACGAACCAGCAGCAGCGACTCCAGAGACGAAGCAAGCAGCGGGGCCTCCCTTATTGCAGTGCATTGAGTTGCATATCTCGACCATTGCTGCGTCTTTCAATTTCTTGGGGCGTTGCTCACCTTCGTCTCGGTTGTCTTGTTCTTTTTGCCGGCGCCCATTTCTGGAAGAAGCCACCTTCCAGTCTGTCATCGGAGGGACAAAAAAAAATAGTTGCTTGTTGCTTTCTGCTTTTTGGACGATTCATCCCAGCTTTCCCGAATTCATTGCTCTTATCGATATCGACACCGCTTCCGCCTTTTCATCATCCTCGACTCTTCGAACCGACTTTCGCCTTATCAGTGCCTCCATCACTGCATCGCAGAAAATACTCTAAATGCCAGAAGCCTCAGCCTCCGGTGCCGACGCGGGCGGCACCGCTCGCCACCGCGAACACAACCAGGGAAATCAAGGCCGCACATATACCGTCGATCAAAAGGCTGCCGTTCTTCGTATCCGAAAATGCAACGCCACCGCTTTTTACGACATCCTGGGCCTCGAGAGCGTCCGCTCCACGTGCACCGACTCGGACATCAAGAAGGCGTACAGGAAACAGTCGCTGTTGACGCACCCCGACAAGAATGGCCACGAGCACGCCGATGAGGCCTTCAAGATGGTCAGCCGCGCGTTTGGCATCTTGGGCGACAAGGAGAAGAGGGAGAAGTTTGATAAATATGGCACTGATCCGGACAGTCGGTTTGAGAGCGCCCGCGCACAGAATCCGTTTTCGGGCTTCGGATCACGGCAGGCTGCGGCGGCGGGAGGCGGTGGCTGGGACGACGAGATGAGCCCTGAGGAAATGTTTGCGCGGTTCTTTGGCGGAGGAGGCGGTCCCTTTGGTGGTGGAGGCTTTGGAGGTGAGTTCTACGAGAACCGGCTTCTTACAATAACTTCAATATTGGTTTGGCAACGTGTGCTGACAATTAAGCGTTTGACACAGGTCCTCAGTTCGTCTTTAACTTCGGCGGCGGCCCAGGCATTCGAGTACACCAGTTCGGCGGTGGTAGGCCCCGAGCACGACCGCGAGAGGCTCAAGGACAACCCGAACGAGAGCCATTTGGCCTTCAGACTCTGCTTGGCCTACTCCCTATTCTACTATTCTTCATCCTACCACTCATCTCATCCATCTTCTCCGGCGGCTCGTCATCCACACCCGCCACTCCACGCATGGTCTTCGACAGCCCACAGGCCCCCTTCACCGAGGGCAGGACCACACCAAATCTCAACATCAAGTACTTTGTCGTACCCGCAGATGTGGCCTCGTATAGCAAATCAAAACTGAGTCAGCTTGATCGTACAGCCGAGATCAACCTTGTGCGACATCTACGGAATGAGTGTGAGAGTGAACTTTTGTACAAAAGACAGCTGAGGGAGAATGCTATGGGATGGTTCTACCAGGATCCAGAGAAGATGGCCATTGCCGATGCGTATAAGATGCCATCGTGCGAGAGGCTGGAGAAGATGGGCGTGAGCCGATAAGGAGACGCATCAAACGAAAGACATATATAAAGCATTAATGGAGGAAGCGCGAGCATTGAAAAAGACATTGTTGATATGATATTTTATATACTCAGTAGGGAAACGGCGGCAGGGAGTTGGCGTTTTCTTTGTACGATGGCGTGAGAAATATGAAACTTGCATGGTATGACATGACATGAGCGAGTAGACCATGACGAATAGCATGCGAGGCTTCTATGTAAGAGACGGATCACATATCATATACATGTATGACGCAGAGGACAATGGGAAGATAGATTATGCCTTATGAAGACTTTTCATTTATTCGGCTTGACGCAGAGTGAGACTGAGCCGTGTCTACTTGACACCAAGATATGGGGGCCATGCAAGTCGAAAGAGGCTATTGATTCAGCTGAGGATCATCACGAGCTCTAGCCGTTCTTGTCTCGCCCATGTCTCTTATTGATGGCCCAGACCCGCCAAACCACACCAAGATTTGCCTTGGAAACGGTGTCATGGCCTCAGTGATTGGTCTGGTGCTGTAGCCCCGCCAATTGTCCCGCGATAGTAGCATTGGGCTGCATATGCTAGTCTGGCTTGGAGGAGCACATTGAGGAGATGTGATGTATATAATCGCCACCCTTTCCCGTTATTCTATGATCATTGTTGACCTCTAATCTTCTCATTAGTTTACAGTTCTTGTTGTCAGCCGTGAACAATGGCAGATCCAACAGGGCGAACTATTCTACACATCAATTTCGGCGATATTATTGATCAGCCATTGGCCTTGACTGGAGCTACCAAATACCGATTTCGATTCCTGGATGTCGCCGCACTCGCCCATAAGTCTACCATCCATGTACTGGAATTCGAACAACTGCCCACAGACCCGTATGCCGTCATATCATACGTCTGGCGCGGCCTCCCCCCTCACCCTGATGTGAAGTCTCCGCTGCCGAACATTCACGTTGAAGGCGCCGAGGGGGCTGATCCGATCTCTGTGGATGTGCTGAGACTCATTTCGCTGGCGGCTGAGAATTTCGGATGCAGATTCATCTGGCTGGACGCGCTATGCATTCTCCAGGCGCATGAGGATGACAAGGCGTGGCAGATTCAGCGCATGTATGACTTGTATCGAAGTTGCAAGACGTGCATCGTTGCGCCGGGAGGGCTGCAGCGGCTTGTGGCGCCTACGGAGGAGACGAGCTGGATGGCGAGGGCGTGGACGCTTCAGGAGGCGATTGCACCGCCCGAGGTGCATTGCATTTTCGAATGGGGCCTTGGGAATGTTATTCTGCAGTCGAATCTCCCGCTGAAGATTGAGGAGGTTGAGAAGGGAGTTGCGGCGGTTGCGCCTCTGAATTTTACATTGTTGACTGCTATGAAGGGGACGGGGTTTAAGATGCTTGATTGGTCGGGGAAGTCGATTCAGAAGCCTTCTCCTGATTTTCAGATTAGGATGTTTGGCGATAGGTCGCGAAGCCATCCGCAGATGAGGGAGCTCGTTGATGCTATTGACATGAAGGGCAAGACGGGCATGTACACGGCCATCTGGAGATGCTCGTTCATGCGGATGGCCAAGTATCCGGTGGACACGGTGTATAGCATCATGGGTATCATGGGAGTGACGCTGGATACGACCAAGTTTGGCCATGACGATCGGCTGGAGGCAACGATTGCTTTGATGCAGGCTATTTTGGCGAGGGGAGAACACGCTGAGTGGCTGGCTATTGCGACGAGAGTGGTGCCGAATCCGAAGTTGTCGACTTTGCCGGCTTTTCCTCAGACGGATGCCTCTAGGAAGCCTGTCTTGGAGGCGAGAGGGGGATTGAAGGATGTTGCGGATGTTATGGATTCGGGGTGGAGGCTTGCGGATACGCCAAAGGGGACGATGAGCGATGACGGGTATTTCCGATTCAGCGCTTTATCGGCGTCTGTGAGACTTGGTCAAAGTCAAGAAGAAGAGTCTACTGCTTTTGAAAGCGAATTCGGCTCTGATTCTGCAGGGAAATGGAAGGTGGTGCCACAGAGCAGTGAGGCTGTATCGCACAAGGCTGTTTTTATTGGGCGCTGGGAGCAGTATAACAATGGGGCGTTTGGGGTGATGAGCAACCCGCGCGATCATGCTTTGATGTTGATTGAGGAGCATGCGCCGGGGAGGTATCATAATGTGGGATATGCGTTTGTGCCGGAGGGGGTTCTGAGGACGGGGGATTGGGAGGAGGGTGTTTTGGAGGTTGGAGGGCCGAAATGATGTGAGTGACCTTATGGTATCAATGAATGAAAATGACTGATTTGAACTTTGGAATTGGATTTTATGAAGTGAAGCTGAGAAATATGACTATAAAGCTGGTTTTGACAGCATTATTTTTATATCGAACGTACATCTGAAGCTACGCTGGTATCAGAACAATAACAAGAGTTTTGAACATACTGACAGTACGAAATAAGAATGCACATTAATGGGTGTTGCAAGTTCACATTTAGATAAGCTTTGAGATGTGATATGCTTTGATGACTACATGGTGTTACTCACCTATTTACTCCCCAATTCACAGCATTTTAAGCCCCCCCGAAGCCTTGCCATTCTTACCACAGGCATTCCTAATAGCCGAAGCTATACCAGGGAAATTTCACAGCGTTTTGAAGCCTCCCCGAGGCCTTGCCCTATTGAGCACTAATATCTCTGTGCGCTATGAATTGCGGGTAAGTATGCAGTGTTTGCAGGGAATCTTCCTGTGCGCTTGCTGGACTCTTTGATATGGGAAGAAGTCATCTCGGGAATGTACACATTATTGGAAGGTAGCTCTCACGCTATCTTGACCATCATGTACCTATCTATATATAGGTAGGTATTAAATTGTATGCATCTAGGTATTGGCTGTATCGGCATATGTGCGCTCTTTGTTCTCATCGACGTCGGCATCAAAATCATCCAATAATTCATCCTCGAATGGCAAATTTGCGCAGATTGAGAAACTTGGCTACTTAGTCACGGGTGTCAATTATACGGCCCATATAGATGTCGATGTGAAATCAAGCGCATAACTAAAGATGGGGTAGTTGATTTGGTGGTCAGTAACGCCGGGCCTAACTCCATCTCTTCTAACGTCGACTGCATTTGCCGCGGAGGAAAAATCGCACTGATCGGATTCCTTGATGGCGCCACAGCAGGGCGGCATCTGAGCGAGCTTTTGCTCAGCCTCATGCTTAGCGGAATCTTGCAGCGAGTCTTAGTCTAACATAGCCCTCTGCTTTGGAATCGTTGTGACACAACTGACAAAAGAGCAGTGGCATTTCAGCGGAGTCAAAGTCGTATTATCGAGGCATTGTGTACCTGGCAGAGAGAAATACTGGGCTTTAGCTTTTGGTTGGGTCGCGTATTCGCGTTGACGAGGCGAAAGAAGCTTCAGACCACATGATCGCAAGGCGTCACGCTGGGGAGATTATAGGTTGCAGAGGAGACACTAAGATATATATGTGTAAGTCGACGTAGCATAGAGAGAAGGGCTACCACAGTGAGTGACATAAAGGAGCGTATTCGTATCTTTTCACATCTCCAGAACACCGCGGACTAAGACGGAGTATTTGATCCTCAATACGCAAATTGTTACTCAACACGCAAGCACCCAGGAGGCAACTACGTCATTTCTGGCCACCAAAGCAACAGCTCTGCTCCCCCGAGTAATAATGCATGGCGAACTGAGATTTGGGTGTGCACAGAGCCATCACATGATGGTTCCTGGGAGATACGAATTACGAGGTGCAGCCACAGCCTAGCTCTTTTAGAGCCAAGAGAGAGTCAATCACCACGCCCCCATGGCAGAAGCTCCCTCTATACTGATGTTTTAATGAGGTTACTATTCATTTGGCGGACCCTGCATTAGCGAAATCGTGGCAGCGGCGGATCATCGACCGGGACCCGGTGATCCGGGACGGCAGGCAGGCGGGAACCGGGGCGGCCACCAAAAGAGGTGGCAAATCAAAGGAAACGTTTCATAGTATCGGTGCGCTCGGGCAGTATAACAGCGCAGAGGTATTTGCAATTTTAGATGCTCGAGATCGATATGCAGCAGCAGTATTGCAAATCATTGTCTAAGCCGCGGTTACCAAGAAGAACCACCGAGGCCCAAGTTTCAAAATCTCGGAATCGGAAGAGCTGCTCAGAAAAAGGTCTCATGCTTTGCTGGAATTTTCCACAGTACAGTGCAGCTGATGACATGCCTGCCAAATCTCGGGGATATGCAGGGACCCGATAATTCTCCGCCGTGGTATGTAATCCGATGCATTAGCCACTCCATCAGCCACCCGCTGCGTGGCAGAATCTCGGGGAAGCATGTCTGTGGCGCAGCCGCCCACAACTTTAAGGCTTGGCAAGCAAGGGAGGGGCTCATTCGATGGGGCTTGTCCTAAAGAGGAAATTAAAAGGGGGGCTAAGGCAGAGGCCGCCGTGACGTATTACCAAGCAGCTGCCGAAGGTGCCCGAAGCTCCGACGGGGAAGGCGCGCAGGAGTAGCAAGCAGGGCGGTAGGAACACCCCAGAATGCACCTGCTGCATGGCAGCGTGTGGCATTTCCTAGCCTGGAAAGAGCCGTCTGAGCGTACCTATAGGCCAGAATATTCCTCTGTACCGATTTACCCCATAGCTGATAGTAACTGAATAATCCAGTGCTGGCATGGGGGTTTCTCATTCTTATTTTTAGGAGAGAGCCACCTTTTCTTTTAATAATTCAAATCTCCCTTTTTTCTGCGATTTTTACGCGTAAATACGGAGTGCTGATAGCGGGTGTACGTATGCCACCCCTTCAGGGCAAAGTATATAAATGGGAGGCGTTTGCATCCAATAGCTTGGGCCATCAGCTGTTTTACATTTGTCATCACCAAAAAGTCGCCGTACTCTTTAACACCCCCCCTCCCTCTCAGGCATTCCATCTATTACATATCATACATCCATACCTTATATATCTGTACCTTACTCAGTAGCTGTATAGATATATATATCTATTTTGCCATATATATTTGGCGATCTGACCTGACGTCACTTACTTGACTTTACTTATTCAGACCTCGATTTAACCCAGCTTTATTTAAAGACAAGGATCTAGTCTTTACCAACCAACAACAACACACTCAATACCAATATGACTGATGTCGCAACTCGTCCCAACAACCCTCTGCGGAACGACGAAGACGCCATCAACGATGCTGTAACGAGACAGCAGCAGCCTCTGCCATCATCAGCATCAACAACAAACGTCGACAGCAGCGCTATTCGCCATGAAGAAGCGATCGAGATAGACGCCGCAGCGCCGTCAACAGCCTCAGCGGGCGAGTCGGACATGGACGACGATGACGACAATGTCGCCGACCCCGTTGAGACCGTGAGCATCACCATCTCGCATCGCGGCCAGAAGCTGCCCTTTGAGCTGGACGCCGACAACAACGTCATGGACCTATTCTGCGAGATCGAAGCCGTCCTCGAGATCCCGATCCAGAACATCAAAGTCATGGTGCCCAAGGGACCATTCATCAAGTATCCCTTCAAAGACCCCGAGTACTCGGTCAAGAACCTCGCCGGCAAGACAATCTCCGTCATGGGCTCAACCGCAACCGACGTCCAGGCCGTGCAGACCATGTGCCACAAGCTGCACAAGATCAAGGCCGCCCGCGAGGCCCAGCGATCCAAGGCCAAGTCAAAGACGACCCGGCGCCGCACAGCCGCATCTCCAGAAGATCTCAAATACACCTTTATGCAGGTTCGGCCGCTGGGCGGGCTGCCTAACCCGGACCGCAGTCTGAAGCTGCTGATGCGCCTCAAGGAAGATCCGGGCATCAAGGCAGCCATGAAGAAGCACAAGTTCACGGTGGCGCTGCTGACGGAGATGGAGCCGCTGGCACACACCGAGTCGACGCACGAGGGCACGACACGCATCCTGGGACTGAACCGCAATCAGGGCGAAGTGATTGAACTGCGTCTGAGGACGGATGCGCACGACGGATATCGTGACTACAAGACGATTCGGAAGACTCTGTGCCACGAACTCACGCACAACGTCCATGGACCCCATGACAGACAGTTTTGGGATCTTTGCCACCAGATTGAGCGCGAGGTCGACGCAGCCGACTGGAAGACAAGCGGCCGGACAATCGGCGAGTCATCGCGCTACCACATCTCAGGCCAGGATGAAGAGGAAGACGTTCATGAAGACGATGGCGGCTGGACAGGCGGCGAGTTTGTGCTGGGCGGCAGCAACAGCAAGATGAGCAGCGCGGGCCTCAGCCGACGAGAGATTCTGGCGCAGGCGGCGCTGGAGAGGCAGCGAAAGGAGGCGGAGGAGGAGGCGACGGCGGTGGAAGCGGTGGAAAAGGGATGGCGGCCGTGCCAGAGACCACAGCCACCGAACAATGATCGTAACTTGTGAAAAGGAGCGTGAGAGACAAACAAAGGCATTTGCATCAGTTGGCGTTACTTAATGGCAGGAGCATAAGGCTTTCAATTTTTATTTGATTCTTGTTTGTTTGTTTGTTTGTTTGTTGTGGTAGCTCCATCATAGATGGAAGGGAACATGACGCAGTATCTGGGTTTTATTAGCATGTTAAGATGGATAAATCATTTGTGAGTGTACGAGGGGGACTTGAAGAGTGTGAGAGAGGATAAGACTCATCTCATATCAATTTACACAATAAATTCTACTTGAATCTTGACCTGATCATTGAATACTTTTTACTTGTTCTTATTCAATCTAATGATACAGAGAGTGCTAGTGATGACAATTTCCATCATTTGTATTATCTTCATCAGTAAGGCAGCGGATCAAATTCCAGCCCATCCACCGTCAACCTAAACGCATCATTCCGCGCATAACTCGCCGCCGTGTCCATGTCCAGTCTGCCACGGATGCAGTCGCGGAGATCAATGTCGGCGTAGAGCAGATTATCCGAGTCTTCCCACTGAGGGCCGGCAACGACGTCGCCAAAGGGCGAGATGACGACAGAGCCGCCGCGGGAGAGGTATGAAGCAGGTTTTTGCTGCTGTTGAGTTTGTTCCGAGCGTTCTTGTTCTTCCACTCTTGGAAGATGCTGCTGCTGCTGCTGCTGCTGCTGCTGCTCTTCTTGAGTAGTGTCGCCATTCTCCGCAGGGCACGACAGCACAATCTCATTGCCATCCTCATCAAAGACGCTCTTCCGTCGCCCGTGCCTCGCCCGGGAAGGACTCGGGTGCGAGCCGTTCCTCACGCCTTCCGCGCCGAAGCCGCGCCTCGACCCGCCGTCGTTCGGGACCACATCCCGGTCTCCGAGGGCGGCCATGGACGCCAGGCCGGCCTCACTTGGCAGGCTCATGTTGGCGTTGGCCTCGGTGGGCACGCACATGTTGCTGCTGACGACGAAGCACCGGCCCTCGATGCCGATGGTGCGCATGGCGCTGAGCCAGCCCTCGCGGCCGTCTGCCGTGGGCGCGAGGTAGAGGTTGATGTTCTGGTTGTAGAGCGACTGGCGCAGCAGGGGCATGTAGTTTTCCCAGCAGATTGCGGCGGCGAGGTTGACGCGCTGGCCGCGGATGGTGGTGGACACGGCGCGGAGGGTGGAGGGATGGCCTTCTGCCCACATGATGCGCTCGGTGCCGGTCTGGTTGATGGTTAGATTCGTAGATTTTGCAGACAAACAATTCAGCTTGTTGAGGGGAGACAAACCGGCTTCACTTTTCTTCTCTTGCCGATGATGCCCTCTCGTGGGCAGATATACGGCACAGAGCACCATAAGCTGCCACCTGCTTTCTCGATGCATCCCACCACGATAAAGACGCCCGTCTCGCGAGCAATTCTCTCCAGCTCTTCTCGCGTTCCATCGCCTCGTCCTTTACCACCCTCCTCATACCCAGGAAGTTGCCGACGCACCCATCTCAATCCGGCGCCCGCACTGCCTTCGCCGACGGTATCTCCCAGATCAACCGCCTTTTCAAAGTACTGAGCAAACGACTCCCGGCCTTCAGCAGAGCGACTTCCCACAACGGCGCCAAAGGTCGTGTTGCGCGGGTAGCCGCCGATAAAGGCTTCTGGCAGCAGGAGGATGTCGACGCCCCGGTCTGCGGCGCGACGGGCGATGCCTTCGAGGTGGGCGAGGGTGAGTTTAGTGGTGGCCTGAGTGTGGGGTGAGGCGGTTCCAACGCGGATAGTCATGATGGATATGACTGCGGAGTATAAGTGAATAGTCACTTGGGATATTCAACAGAGATTTGAGAGATGGCTTCAATGCAGACTTTTGGTATATACTACTTGCAGATAGAAAAAGCAAAAGACCTGCTTTTGCCGAAACACGAAAGAACAAAAGTGAGGAGATCCAAGAGGAGCTTGTCATCAATTGAAGCAGACCACTAATAAGGTTTTGCGTCATCTACACTAACTCGAGCTGAATAGAGCTGCTGCCCCTCATCCCCTCTTCACTTATTTCCACATTGGTTGCAAGTGTCCGTTGGAGAAGGGCGCGGCTCTATTATACGGTATGACTAGCAGTGCCTTGTTTGGGAAATGTGGCCCGGGTAAGCGGGGAGTTTAAAGAATATAGAAGTTTGGTTTGACAATTAGTAAATTGCAGTGAATTGATTTAATGTTGAAGCTGTTGTCCCATGGGTTAATAGAGAGTTTACTCCTACTCTTGAGTAAAAGAAACAGTCTTTCATTCGCTGCTAGTTCAACGTTTTGCATAGGCTACTGTCATGACATTGCGCCGCTAGTTGTGGAAAGCCAACACCAACATGATCCTACTGCCGCAAGTGTCCAACTCAAACTATGCCGCACATGCCGCACACTCCAACCCGCCGTAGCCGGTTCGTCTGTTCTATCAATTGCGGGAATATTTACTCAAAAGATATTTGCTCAATTTCTTTTACATATGATAATGGAGTATTACGTCGAAAGCCCTCTCGGGAATTCCCGCAACTAGACACACAAAAGGTGGGAATAAATGTAAAGGGAGGGAGAAGAATATCGACTCCCCAGATCGAATCTTTACATGCGTCACTATGGTCTAAAATCTTATCTTTTTTACATATCTGACATTTTCTTCTTAGCATATCTTCAAGACGGAGTCATGCTTACTCGTATAGGCGAGCTAGCTATAGAAGCAGCTGAAGTAGTTGTGTTCAACTCGAAATGATTGCTATCAACCATGGCACTAAGTGATAGACCGAGGTGCCGGATCTGCGGAAACGAGGAAGCTTGATATTCAATTTTCATCTAGCTTCTGACGTTACACTTTCATTCTCTCGCTCGTCTTTTCTATCCCAAGGCCTCATCTTAACATGTTTTTCAGCTGTGCATAAGCTTGATAAAGCAAAACCAAACTCCACCACCCAACTGGATCTGATCCGCTACACCTGCGCTAACAGCGCGGGTTACATCTTCCGTAGTATAGTGGTCAGTATGCAAGCTTGTCACGCTTGAGACCCGGGTTCAATTCCCGGCGGGAGAGACCGCCAGCAGTTCCAAACTGTGAATTCCTTTTTTGCTTCGTTTGCATTTGGTTGTATGTAGATGGCTTTGCTTATTGTGACTTTTTGGTTTGCGGCCTGAGCTGAGATCGAACGTGCCGTAAAGACATAAAGTAGATCTCACAAACAAAATTCCACATGTATATGCATTCATTACTGCCCATTCGTATCATTACATCGTGATATGACATTTTATCGGAAATTCCCATCACCTTCTCCTCGTCCGACTCGCTACCGGCGCTGGCTCAAACGCATCGTCGTCCGAAATCTCGTCGTCACTAATCTCAACTGCCTTATCCTGCGTCGCTCCCTGTGAAAAACTGAGCTTTGTCTGCCGTTTCTTGGCCGCCGTGGCACCTCTAGTTTTCTTTGCTGCCGCAGGTTTGCTAGCAGCGGCTGTGCTCTTCGCCTTTTGTCCGCGCCTGGTTGCCCGCGCAGCTGGTTTAGGTGATGGGGGAGCCTCTGCTTCATCCGAGTCCATCACCACATCTTCCTCTGGCGGTTCTTCTTCCTCGCTGTCCTCAAAGGGCTTCCGGCCACGCCGAGCGGGCGGCTTTTTAGCCGCAGCAGCCTTCTTAGCCGGCGTAGCCTTTGTCGCCCGTGCTCTCTTCGGCTTTGCTGCCGGTGGTTCCTCGTCATCTAAATCTAGCATTTCATCATCTTTTGGTTGTGGTTTTCGGGATGAGCCGCTAGCTTCCAGATTGGACGGCATGTCATCTTCGTACACCCAGGCACCAGGCTCGTCCTCCCAGCTACCATCGAAATCCGAGTCCCACCCGTCTGGCTTGGGTTTCAATACCCTCTGTCGTTCGCTTTGTGCCATCCTCCCCAAGCTCCCGGCAGTTGCCATCCGCTGCTCTACCCTCTGCTTGTAAGTCTCCATGGCGTTATTTAGGTCCTCATCATCAGATTCGAGGCCCAGCATTTGTCTGACCTGTCCGGACAAGTGTTCAGATACAAAAAGCTCCATAGCCTGTTTATCGTCCTTGGCAACGAACTGATTGACCGCTTCGCTAAAGGGGCCTTGTGGCAGGACTTTGAGCGATTGTACCGAGAGAAACTGATTGACGAGATTTTCTACCTTGATCATATCGGCTGAGTCGTCCTCGAGGGACTCGAGAGCCTCCGCAGTGTTTGCCTGCGTGTTTTTGCCTGGAAAATGTAAGCTGGAAGTAAAGCGCAAGATTAGTAGATAGAAGACTCACTGGGGGCCTTTTTCTTTCGGTAATAATACACCACATCATTCGTGTTGGCCACTCTGCCGATAAATCGGTTGGAGAGCCGCTGTGGATTCTCGCAGTCGAATTGACCACCTTCTGGTGCGGTATTCTCAACTTTTAAGCGGATAAGGGGAAGAGGCCGATCTTCCAAGGCCTCTTCATCTGTCTGAATGGCTTCCCAATCTGCGTTTGCCTCCTCAATCATCTCCTCAATCACCTCCATTAGCCGTTTCGTGATGTCAGTTCGATTGTCCTTTTTCGTTTCCAACCCTCGGAAGCGCTTGTCCTGGGAAAGAATGATTTCTCTTGTAATAAATGGACGGACCGTTCTGAGCGGGAACTTGTCAACTTTAAAGGTCTTGTTATTTACACTAAGCACCGCGACATGCTTTTGGACAGCCTCTCCCGGCACCAATGAAGTAGCTACCGACGATCCGGGCTGCATCACATGGAAGCCAGTCTCTGGATTCTTGGTAGGATCGATCAGACACTCGTGCTCATGTCCCCAGACAATCAAGTCTAGCCAATCTGGAAGTACATTTTCTGGTAGATGTGACGTCGCTGTATGGGCATGGTGGTTCTGATGGACAGCGAGCAGATTGAACCACTCGCCAGTCTGCATACCGGGGCGAAACCACTTGACCTTGTGGTCTCGGAATGTTCTAAACATGCGCTCATCACGGACATTGCTTAGCCCATATAGCGCAAGCTTCGTCTCGCCTTTTTGCAGCAGAATCGGCTTTGCCTGGATATTATCCGCCTCGGCTACCCTCCCATAGTAGTTTAGCAGGCCTGCTGCCTGTAGCAGATCTAATGAACAGTAATTTCCTTCGCCAGACGGATCATCGTGATTACCATGGATAGAGAAGACTGGGATCGAGATGTTGATGTCAGGATCTTCGTAGTTGACGTGGGGGAAGGCTCCCTCAAAGACATCGGCGGCGTCAGAGAGGAACTCGAGCGGGCACGGCTTCATCCCGAGGCAGTTCTTGCGGAGCGTGCGCATGACTTGATAGAGGGACTTTCGAGAGGGCTTGTTGTCGTGAAATAAGTCGCCGGCAAGCAGCACCATGTCGACCTGCAAAGCGTGAGCTTGGAGCCAGATAAACGAGCAGGATGCCTGGAAGATGCCGGCTCAACGTACGTCCTCTGTGCGGGCCAGAGTCATAATCTCGTCAAATGTCCGCCAGCTGTCGTCCTTGCGGATCGCATCTCGCTCCTCGTATCCCACATGATTGTCCGTCGCAATCAGGATGCGGATCGTGTCTGCCTCTGAGCAAATGTTAGCGGGGCAGTCTGCGACCAGCCATTTGCGGCGCCTCGAGCTTACCAGCAAACTCGGGCATGATGCCAAACGAATGTCTTCTGTTCAACGGCTGAAAACAATCAGCACTCCATTGACTCTGAGGCTGCTAAAAGACAAGAAGCAGAGGCGGAATTCGAATCTCGCAAAGTGTGCACAAAAGAACATTAAGCTGGGTGGGCGGTTCACGGTGGGAGACGCGATGCTTCTAGGCATTAACGCGCCATGATGCGAGGTCACGTGCTGCCAACAATCGAAGGAGCTCCAAATTCTCTCTTCAAGGCAGAAAAATATAAATAGATGCTTTGCAAATTGGAACTAGCTGCTACTAGTAGATCTAAGCTTTTTTTCTTTGGATTTTGAATCTTGGTTGCTTTCGAAATGCTGCATCTAACTTTACTGGCTTAATGCGTTCTCTGTCTTAGCCGACTTACACATATGATTGGGACCGACTCTATCAACATTGACCTAGTATTTGCCATGATACTATTTCCATTCATGCATTCTTGGTTAATCAAGCTGAATATAACTCAGATACGAATGTATATATATGTTCAAAACAATGCTCGCTTGTGCATAGGACCAAACCATTCTAGTTGTGATACGCAATCGCATCGTCCCCAATCTCCGCAAAGACAGCATCGACAGCATCAACAACCTCCTGCGGAAGTGGCCCCTGCTCAAAAATCTCCAAGTTCTCGTTCAGCTGCTTGATGCTCGAGGCACCAATGATGATGGCATCGCCACGCTCGGCGGAAAGAGCGCTGTGGTAGGCAGTCCATCGAAGAGACGCCGCATGTCCAGAGATGCCATGATTTGCGGCGACTTCTCGCACGCGATCGGCGGCAGCATCGATGCTCGGCTTGACATATCTCGAAGAATAAAAGTTGCCAATGTAATGCTGAGTAATGATTAGCATATTGACTCCCCCTGTATAGGAGCTGGGACTTACAGAGGTGTCGTAGCGACCTCCAGCTTGGGCGTTCTTGTGGTTGCCATTGAAGAATCCCGCAGCGCCAGGACTGTCATGAAAAAAGTCAGTCATGAATCTTTCCAATCGCAGCTGTATTGAAACTCACCTCCAAGCGTAAAAGGCAATGTTGTGTTTCTGCAACACTGGGAGGAGCTCTTTTTCTCCACTTCTAACGATAGGGTTGTACTGTCCTTGGTAGACAGTTGGCTTTACAAATCCCTTTTCTTCGCTAATCTTGATGAACTGCTCAACCTCGGCAGCTGTGTAGTTGGATAGTCCAAATCGCTTAAACTTGCCCTCCCGATAAGCCTTGTCCATGGCCTCCGCGGTCTCTTCAAAAGGCACGCTCCGGTTAGGTTGATGTAGATACATAATGTCAACTTGAGGAACTCTCAATGCCTCCAAGGAACCATCAACGCTGTCTGCAATCTTGTCCTTCGAATGAGCTCCCTCGGGGCGTGAGACAACCTTGGTGCCGATAACGAACTTATCCCCGACATTAACTGCACCGAGACGGGGCTCACAGGACAGTGGAGCGTGTGGTGAATAGCCTCTGGCGGTATCTATCTGGCGGTAGCCGCTCTTGTAGAAGACATCGAGAAACTCTTGAACTTCTGCTGGTGAGTCAAACTTGGCCATTGGGTCTCTGGACATGTCTCCAACCTATTGTCGATGACCGTTAAATGGCATGATCTTGGATGTCAAGGCCGTGATAGCTGACTCACATTTCCTGTTCCCAGGACAATCTCAATTGGTGATTTAGGCATATTGGCAGTATATTCAGTTCAAAATAGCTTTTGATGGTATAAGACAGATTTTTTGAACTTCTTGTCGCTAACCAAAGGTCTTATCCTCTCTTCTGTGCTGGATGGCGCCAGCCAACACTTATATACTTATCCATACCGGAAGGTTCCTCGGTATACATAACAATTTATGGGCCGAGTTGCCGACTATTCATTGGATGTTGCTCAGTGTCGCCATCTGAAAGGGCCAACCCGATACGCGTAGCTGACAAATGCGCTAGCAACTCAGAGCCAATCGTGTTAGTTAAAACGACTCAAGCATAGAAGATTGCAGTTGCCTAAAAGGAATGCTAGAGCGAAAATACCTTGGTAAATATGTAAAGACCATTATATAATCCGATTTTTATATAGTACAGAACCAGGCCGATTGAGTACCGAATAGTAATCACAGTCTGGCGGAGACAGCTCGGCCACGAATTTATAAGCAAAAGGGTCCTGCTCAACCTCTAGGATGGTTCACTAAACTGGTACGAGCTGAATTAGCTAATGCCTTCTGGATTGAGGGGCGCCCTACTTGTGACTTATATTTCGCCCTATAGATGACTTGGAATTTGAGTTCGCCCTATTTCTCGAGCGACCTCAGCTCTTTGACTATATTGTGTTTCCGATTGCCTATTTTCCACCGAACGGGTGGCGTGAGATCGATCTAAATCGACGATCAAATTACCTACATGCTCATCACATGGAGTATCCACAGCGACATGGTCCAGGCGGCTGAATCTATTAAAGTCAGCAATTACGACTAAAGGAAAATCGTCTGCAGATTCATTTACCATATCTGTATGTTTGCATGGGATGGCACCAGTAAGACAGCAACGTTACGGTGCACTGGCTACGTGCCTGATGCGACCATAATGTCTCTTTCTACAATAGAACACAGCTGAAGGATCAAGTATGCTTTAATCTGGCTGCCCTTTTTGGCCAGCATATATATATGCACTATATATTTTGGATGGCATAGTCAATCCTGATGACTTTCCTGGTCGCTGCCCTAAGCCAGCACCTCATCGCCTCAGCACCCCAATCTCAAGCAAGCATACCGTGCTACTATGTGCTGATGACGATGACCCAATTGGGCGACTTGCATCTGGTCTGCAGCGAGCTATTTCGATATAGGATTGTGAAGAACGCAGTAGATCGTTCAACGTAAGCTTTTAGCTATTGGCCTCAGCTGTGGTCTCGCCTAAGGCGTCATGAAGGTAGTATTTTAGGCTATTGATGTGCGATGCGACACCTCGTGTTCTGTTCACATGATAATTTTCCCCAAGGTGGCGAGTGAAACGTGGTGTAGGAAATAGAAAGGTGTCACGATACTCACGAAAGAGATTCCTTCACGATGAGATTGAAGATCTATTATATGCACTTGAGCGCAGTATATGGACACTGATTAGAGCAGGTGTTGCGAGGACATTGCCCTCCAGTTGTTTCAGGTAATCCTGCCGCATTTGAGGTATGACATGTGGTCAGGTATCTTCTAAAAGGAGTCTTAATGAATTATGCAATACACTGAACAGTATATTTTCGGCATAGAGGCTTACTGTAACGCCACAATACCAAAACAAGACAATATTTAATCTTCGCGCACAGCAATGGTGTTACTCAAGGATTTGTAACGTTGTATTTTCTATGAGCTTGGCATAATGGTATTCTCGGAGTATTAGAGCATAAAAGATCTGCGCCTTTTATGATTGAGTGATTGCAACTGAGCAGCTGGGTTGTCTTTAAACTTGATAAAGTTGCCTTTTGATCATCAGCAAGCATGTATGACGATAAAGCACCTGCTCGGTCGGCAGAAATCGGTATGTCAGTGATCACCCCACAAACACATCTTCCGGATGGAATTGCACTTTTATCTCCGGACAAGATTGATCATCGCTCGGACGAAGAGATTGCAGCATGGCTTCAAAAGCGCCACCCCGTTACCTCTGACAAGAATATCTGGACATTCTGGCACTCTGGCTTTGCTCAAATGCGGCCATGGGTACAGCGAAATGTTATTAATTGGGTCAAAAGGCTGGGTCCCGATTGGACTGTCCATGTAGTGGATCGCGTTGATGGCTCGGAGACAAGCATCTTCAATTACATTGATACTTCTCTCTTTCCGCAGACTTTTATTGATGGGACTATGGATGGTCACAAGGCGCATCAGGGCGACTTGGTACGCTTACCTCTGCTATGGAAGTATGGGGGCCTATGGATGGATGCAGGCCTGATACTGCTGCGACACGTCGATGATATTTGCTGGAAGAGAATTGAGGATCCCGAATCTCCTTATGAACTGAGTGCGGTGGCTTTGATGCACTTGCCGGATACTTACACTCCACTCAACGGCTTTCTCGCCACCAAACGCAACAATCCCTTCATCAAACGATGGCACGATATCTATGTTGCGCTTTGGGATGGAGTCACCAACGCAGCCGGGTTCCATAAACATCCGCTGTTGTGCCATTTGCCTGTGTTTTGCCCTCCCAAGGATGCGGCCAATATGACACCCGTGGAGGTGAATTATGAAGCCTTTACCGACTATGTGGCCCATTACATGTGCTGTGAGCGACTGAGAAAGCTCAGCGACCCAAATGATGGCTTTAACGGCGCAGAGTGGTATAACAAACACATGCTCTTACTCAACGCCCGAGAAGAAATGTTTTACGCTCAAGAAATATCTCATTGGGATGCACAACGCCAGTTCGATCTCTTGTCGATGCCCCGGTCTGGGGACGATGTTGTTGTTGATAAGGAATGGCAGGAGGCTGAGGATTTTGTAACATCAGTGCTGGCAAACACCTCCATGGTGAAGCTGCCTCACGGGCCGGGGAGCGGCGGATTGGTGTTGAAGATGCTAGCTGATATTTGGGATGACGAGGAGAATCACAATAAAGACAACGAAGAGGGAACGTTTGCTGCTTATTTGAGATATGGTTCTACGCATTTTGATCAGACGCGGGAGGTTAAGAAGCTTGATTGGCAGAATCCGGAAGAAGAAGTTTATACTGTCGGCTATCTGGAGCCTATAAAATGTTAATTAGCTACGATATTTTAAATTGTCCTAAATATGGCTTTATTAGGCTAAATCTCACAAGTCATAGTGCTGTTTACTATCAATTCAAGAATAGCCTGTCTGACATGAGCTGGCGCTTGATCAACAACATCTTCACATTCGTCATGGCCTATTTAATCTCAAATCTCTTTCAGCGTTTTCATCATCGAAACGGGCCTCAGAGATATAGTATTATTAGCCAAATGATTTAATTGCGCTTCTGACACATGTAGCTGCATGTGAACTCAATGCGGATTGAATGTTCAAGTTATAGTTGCAGACAACCTTACACTTATTCCGCCATGGGAGCCCTAAACGACGTCGGCTTTTTGGTTAGAAGCTAGACTACATCATCATTCCATGGTCTAGCAGGAAGTTTCGAAGGAAAATAACTCTCCAAAGCGGTGTGAAATAATCTCCTAGCAATAGGTAATTGTCCTAGCCAAGTTCGCTCTTGTATTTAGGATATCCAGTCCTATCACATAATCGGAAAAAGCCGATCTTGATAGGCTAGTGTGGTCTTTTAGGCAAGATCTGCTACTTATATGTCCCCAGCTAGCAGCCTGAATCGTATCTATGAGGCAGATTGAGCATTAAATTTGCATTCTACGTAAAACCTTTCAAGAAATGAGTATAATTCTGCTAGAATTTTGTAAATTCGATGGAGGTAAGAGGAAAGACGCCCTCGAAACAGTTTTTCGGCTGTGGAGTGCCGTTTGGACCCGCCTTCGCCGCGGCTCATGATGAATAAGACGCATGTAAGACATTGAGCAATTTGGGTATGCGGGGTTATAAAAGAGAGGAGACCAGCGACATATATCTGTTGCCTTTATCTCTCAGCTCTAGCAGTAAAGACTTATCAGGAAAAAATGCCCTACTCACTGAAAGGAAGAAACGTTCTAGTCACCGCTGGCTCTAGGTATGGTCCGATGATTCTGCTGCCTCACTCTGAAAGAGAGCTCCACACTAACCACCGCGATAGAGGTCTTGGGGCCATCATCTGTAAGAAGTTCGCCGAAGAGGGGGCTAATGTCGCAATCAATTATTTCTCCAATTCAGCAGCAGCTGAAGAATTGGCCAACACTTTGACCAAGGAATATTCTACCAAGATATTCATCGTCCAAGGGGTAAGTATTTCCGGTACGAATGCGCTTTGTACTACTCAAGTCTGTGGCTAATGCTAATACTCTAAATATAGGATGCCGAAAAACGAGAAGACAATGTTCACATCGTTCAAGAAACAGTAAAGAATCTTGGCGGACTCGATGTGATTGTTGCAAATGCCGGATGGACAAAGCTGAGCAAATTTGGCGATCTCCATGCCTTGAATGATGATGAGTGGAACAAGGTATGGGTGTAATAAAGGAGAATGCTGGAATCAACAGTGGCTGACATCTGATATAGTGCTGGGCAGTCAATGTCATGTCTCATCTGCAACTCATGCAAGAAGCCGCGCCAATCTTTAATGCGAATTCCGAAGGAGGTGTCTATCTGATTACTTCTTCCATCTCAGTAAGTAAAGCCATCATGTGCATTCTGGGTGAGTACGAGCAAGGGTTGAAACAAGAGAGTAACATTTTCAGGGAATAAGCAACCGCGGTAGTAGCATGGCCTACTCTGTTACGAAGGCTGCTGGACTGCAGCTCATGAAGAACCTCGCATTAACACAAGGGCCCAAGATTCGAGTGAATGCCATTCTCCCTGGCCTTATGCTTACTGAATGGGTTTGTTACCTCATTTTCTCTTACCTCTCCTGTTGATTTTTTTGTTTGAAATGATAAGTATTTTTAAACATCGCTCACCTGTTCGATGATAGGGCCAGCGTTTTGGGCCAGAAATGATTGAAAAGATCAAAAGTGCATCTACGCTGAAGCGCGAGGTATGTGAAATAGCCCCTTCTCTCGCTCATTTCCCAGTAATTAACTGGTTTGACAGACTGATCTTGATGACACTGCCGACGTCTTCATTTCCGCGGCTAAGAATTCTTCCATGACTGGCCAAGAGATTGTTATTGGTAGGTCATACAATCACTCCGCTATAAGATTTTGCTAATACTGCGTTTAAAAGATTCGGGCCTCACTATGGGAACGTATTGAACCAGGTAGAAAACAGGTTCCCATTCAGTGTCAATGCCCGGCACACCTATTTTATTCGAAATGGCCATTCACCAGTGGCAAAGACTTGTGTTGCAGCCGTATAAGAGAAACTTCTACGCCAACTAACAAATCTGTCTCGATCAGCCTGCGATCATGAAGCAATTCAGCTTCAGAGTTTTCAAGCATCACAACAATTGGGCGAATGGTCTAGTGGTATGATTTTCCCTTAGCATCTTTCTCCGTCTCAGAAATACTTGAGAGGGACCCGCTTGGGAGAGGTCCGGGGTTCAATTCCCCGTTTGTCCACTTTTTGCCTGTTTTAACCTCCCGACCTTGGATTTCCTTTCTCAAATTTTGTTTCTGTGTATATTTTGAGCTTCCGGGAATAGTGAAGCCGATATTTTGCAGCTCAATTGCAGCTCAATTGGTACGGCTTCATTCTTTCGTCCTTCTTTATAAACACAATCTGAATGTGACGCTCACGGTCCGTTCCCTTCCACACTTTTGACAACTCATTTGAGCTCTCAATCAAGCGGATTTAAGATAAATTATATGAGGGATATGTGACACCCGTGATATCATCTACTTGGCGAGACCGCGTTGACTCAAAGTTTTGCTGCTGTATTCTTAGGGACTATCCGAATGGCACTACGCTGAAATGTCTCTTAGCACAGCATGTGGGCTAGATGCATGTATCGGGTGAGGCGTATATTGTTAATAGCACTGAGCTTCAAGAGGCCATTAAATGCATGTTTCACCGGCATCGTGAAAGCTGCTAAATGCTACGTCTATCTCGCAGATGTCACGAACAACAAGTTCTGTACCCAGGCCTAGGAATCGAGGTTTTGGAAGAATAGATAGTTCACGCGTGGATGGACCCTTCAGGAATTTGATGCTCCAGCTTTGATTGACTTCGTTTCTGAACAGTGCGCGCACCAAAGAAACAAGCGCTCGCTGGAACAACATATCCATAATGAATGGGAGTTCCCGTCGAAGCTTTTTGGGCGGCCCGTTATGTGGCTTTAGTGTTCCAGAGTGAGTTGCTTGAATGGTACATCGAGAGACAACACGCAAGAAGACAAGGCGTACTCATTGCCTGGAATTCTCGACGTTCAAATGTCGCTTATATGGCGAAAGGAGGGATACGGCGTTCAGACGGCTGCTGGAGGAGGTCAATAAAGCTGCAAAGGACGAGCTAGTGATACCAATGGCCAAAGACGCCGCATTCAAATCCCAGGCCGAAGAATACAATGCGCAATGACATGTTGACCCCCGCATCGACTTGTGAACCCTGATAGAATTGTGGATTGATGATGCTGAAAGTGGCTGCATCTTCTAGCTCAATGGCATGGCAGGTACTGGGAAGTCAACTATTTCGTGCACAATAGCCTCAGGTTTCAAGGAACAAGGGTTCTGTTTCTTCTTTAAGAGAGGAGAGCGTGACCCAGCTGATGCGGCCTTATCCTTCACGACAATTGCTGACCAGCTTGTTTCGAAGAAGCCCCGGTTGTTGCCATTCGTTCGGGAAAATGTTGACCTCAGTCCCAGGATTGCCATAGGCTCTCAAGGAGTGGTTCGAGAAGCTCATCTGGCAGCCGCTTTCTCAAATCCTTTCCCAAATCCACCGTCCTGCCGAGAGTCACCAGACAGTTGTCATCGTCATTGATGCGTGCATCATTTGAAACAAAGTGGAAGCTGAGTCGCGGATGGAGGCTAATGCCACCTCTTGCTAAGCTCATCTTCTTCACTGATTTGAAGCATACCGCTTGCTGGAGGCAAGTTATTACAATGCATACGTGACTCTTATCGCACTATATCTGCTAATGTTATTAGCTAAAACTGCGAAAGATATTTTAAATTAAGCCAGCTGAATGATCAACAGGAGTTACTGCTAGAGTTGTCGCGTACATAAAACAAAAACTGTACCTCATGTTTATTTACTCATTGTATTTGAAGTTAAGAATGTATTGCTATATGCTATTTGACTAATCTTCGTCTTCTTCATCAAGCAGCGAAGTCCATGGAAGACGAATACGAGGCGGTCTAGATGCACCACTCACTTTCTGAACGGCGCTACTAGATCCATGATCCATTTCTTCCAAAAGCGATTTGGCCTGCAATATAATAATACATAACAAAATATTGTCCTGAAGTGATACCGGAATGTCGACCTCTGGTACGGTCCGCTTCGTAGACTGTTTGGTATCTTCCTCAGAAGACTTGGACTCTGTGACATTCTCATTCGTATTAACATCATTTGTTGTAGTCTTTGCAGGCACCACAGAACTCGACTGGGAAATTGTATCCTTGACAAAGTAGCTGCTCGCAGCGTCTTTAATCTCACTGACTTCTTCGACGCCACCCCTGGCAAGTAGAAGAAGCGAAGTGATGAAGAGTTCTTTGAGATATGCGAAACTGTATTCTTCTGTCAATTGTGCAATAACAGTGCACATTTCGTCCGGAAAATCCACGGTATCAGATTCGCTGAACTTTTGGCGCCAATAACGACAATACGCGATGCGCTCATCTTCATTTGGAAGCTTGAAATGATACTTGCGGTCAAACCGGCTAGGTCGCTTTGTCACAGCTGGATCTAGTTGTTCAATATGATTTGTAGAGCCGATCATGAGAATGCCGTCATTAGACTCAAGGCCATCGACCTCGTTGAGAAAATAACTGCGGGTACTGTCACCAACAAGGCTGTCAAGATCTTCGAAAATAAGGAGGCACGGAGCCATTCGGCGGGCCTTCCGAAATATCTGCTTAATTGACCATTTCGGCCCGGAGCAGGCGTCCAGTGATTTCACATAGAGAGATTGGACAGGATGCGGGCGCTTAGCAAGTGCGTTGATTATCGCTTTAATGGATATTGTCTTGCCGTTTCCAGGCACGCCGTGAAAGATCAAGCCACGCTTCCAAGGAATTTTTAGTTTTCCATACATATCTCGGCTGTTGAAGAATCCTTCAATGTCTTGAACAAGCTTGTCTTTCATCGCTGGATTGAGAATCACATCGTCCCACGAAGAGCCTTGAACGCTCTTCCAAAGCCCCTTGCTCTTAATCCACTCTGAGTTATCGTATACCCAGATTTCTTCATGGAGCTCAGTTGTCCATGAGCCTGAAGCAAGCAGTAGCGCATCAGTGAACTCATGGTGGCCATGATGCACAAACTGAGGCAAGTTGGAAGCTAGGACAAAGAGGAAGTGGATATTTTGGTGAAACTGGTTAACGTAGGCCAACTGATATACGATGAAATCTTTGCCTTGCCACTCGTATTTCCAACGGGCAAAATTCACAACGTCTTCAAGTTTTCCGGATGTTTCGTCCATCCTCGATGAAGGCAAACGATAGACACGAGTCGCGTCAAGGTCTTCTTCAAACTGGCGGATGGACGTGGCATGCCCAGCTCGGGCGTATCCCAATAAGTCGCACTTAGACGGAACGGTGCGTGTAATGTGGTATTCTGGATATGCTCGACGAAGAAACTCATGAGTGGTAGATTCAGTATCGATACGACCCACGGAATTATGGGCATTCCAAGCCGCCAGGGATTCTCGGTGATTTGTGGATTCGTCCGCCATTATGTCGGAACAGTCAAATAGAAAAGACTCCCTTTGTTTTTTTTATAGCGAAGTAGTAGGTTAAGAATTGTGAATGACCTTCCATATTGTGTGCTGGATGTACGGGTTCTTATACCCGTTGTAAGATAGAGGCATGCGGCGTTTTCCGTTCTTGGTTGGGCAGTGTTTTATGCTCTTTATTGGTCAAAGATCTGTCTACCCCGCAGCTGCTGCCTAGTTATCCTAACCTTTAGCTATTGAAGTATTATTGGTTAAAAGTATTTTGAACAAGACGCTGTCATGTCACCCAATGCGTTGAAGATGGGCGGTGCGATTCTGGGCATCTAGTCCTATTCCAAGAGCGTAGTTACAGATACATACCTATTACACTACCAATGTCCTGTTGAACCACTAGCAGCACTCCCATCTCCTTAACCTTTAGAATCACAGAAGACCTGAGTTACGACAAATGATTTTTTTCTTTTCTTCCTTTATTGATCTGCAGCTACTACTTTCACCAAACTTCCGACATTGTCATACACCTACATACTATATAACGATCTCTTTATTCGCCGCAAAGGACAACGCCATCAAGGTAATAACAAACACCATCATTAACTTTACACTAGACATATCATTTATGAGAATTTCAGACAGTACGGGTGATATGCTTAGCATTAGACTTACGTTGTATCCATTGTTGCAGCCATAAACCTTTCCATTTGACAATCTGCAAGTATTCGCATTAGGGTCGCAAAACTGAAATGAAACGAAGAAAAACAACGTCATTAGCACAATATCGACAACTTTTAGCCTACACCATAGATAGGAAGACATGATAACAGGTAAACTTTCCACTCACTCCTGAAGATGTCTGTCGTTTGACTAAATCGTTGGCGGGATTACTGGAGGGTGCTCCATTACTTGGAGCAACTACCAGCATGAAAAGCCAAATTTTTTTGACAAAAAGCATTTTGGATGGTCAAACGATCTCTCGAGTAATTGGGAAAGAGAGGCTTGGTGAGTAAGTTATTGAAAGATTTGGCGTTCAGTTTATGTATCATACGGTGGGCTATATAGGTATACTTATCCATTTATATACTACAAGCACAAAACAAACAAACGCAATTACAAGAACACGGGTCCTACTGCTCTAGGAAAATATTCATAACCCACTCTACATAAAGATAAAGAGTACTCAAATACATGCAGTTGCCTTCTTGGGTATAACATTTTGTAATTTTCTTCTGTCAGCTGCAAGTAAGAGATTCACTGTCAGCCATATGCTTTTCTTACTCAAGACGCTGATCATTGCAATAGTTCGCTGGATATCCCAATATAGGATCATACTATTTCTTTCGTATCGACATGAAGGAAGGCGACTCAAGCCCGAAGGAAGAACTTTGAAGGAAGATGAACTGAAGTTTGAAGGGAAGGATTCAAGTATGATGGAAGGCGATTCAATTTTGAAGGGAGAGGATTGCGATCTGCGGATTTGTAGGATTTAATTACGTTACCTTTTGATCTTGGTCATTTTCGGCTTTGCATGCCCGCTAGTTTATTTATAGGGCGCGCAAGTGTTAGGTGGGTGTACAGCCCACTTCAGCATATGGCTATTACTTTCATGGTACTAGAGTATAACGACCTCTATTGTATTGTGCAAATGTATTACAAAAAGAATATTAGAAAATATTGAAAATAAAATGGATATATTGAACTGAAAATAGTAAAGTATATCCTTAGTTTCAATTGCACTAGGCCTTAAAAACAACTGTTAACATGCTCATTCATTATCGCGGTTATTTAAAGAAGACTTTTCACACGCCGTATCCCCAATCTTTCAGCGTTATACGTTAACTAAATACCTCTTGTATTCTCCATTAGTAACTTCGAAATAATTTTACTCTTTACTTTACAACAAACTTGTTCTTCTTCGAATATCTGGACAAAATGAGAGCTTTCGCCTTTGCGTCCTTGGCTTTTCTCTTCACCGTAGTCACGGCGAATCAGGGAACTTGTGAAAACCAGTTCGTGGCTGCTCTTACTCTTTTTCGCTTATGATTCTAATCAACACATAAAAAACAGAGCCGACCCAGATAGTGGCATTGGAAACTACTGCTATTGCAATGGAGATGGTAGAATTACGTCTCACTGTGGAATTATCAAAATTGGCTAACTTGGTGCCTTTAGGGAAATGCTATTTTGACAGTCCTTCCACTGGCTGCAACCCTCCTGACTCGATTTCCATTCCCTGTCCTTAGTGGTGTTGATGACGGAGTAAATAGACCAACAAACGAGATAGACTGTTTGGAGGGAATAGTGCGCTGAGCATAGATAGCGTCAATAATTGACTTGAGAATATGCAAAAGTTCACGGAAATTCCAGGCAGTTAAAACACGATTATGTGAAAGCTAGAAGCATTATTCCGCTAGCCCTGTTGTTGCCGCAACACTCGTTTTTTCGTGTCGTATCGATGGTTAGACTAAATCGAGTTGATACAGGGCATCGTGGTCACTACATGTAGCTAGCTCCCTCTATATTGTAGCCAGTTTGCAGAGGAGTGCCGCACCTAAAGTTTGCGATGCTATTATGCGCCAACATTAGCTCATTATTGGTATCTAGTGATGGTACATGATGAGATAGATTATTCGTGATATTGTATTATGGTGAGCTAAGCTGAGTGGAAACAGTGAGAACTATAGTGTCGTGCATTAAAGCACATCGCGAGTTCAATTTGCGTCTTCTGAAATCAAAATGCTAGGTCATGACTATTATTACTACTTTTGTAACTCTACCTAGATATTAATGAATCTCCCATCAATATTCCTTTTATAGTTGTACTTAATGGCTCACATGAGATGGAAGAACGTCAATCGACTTAAAAATCGGTAAAGCAATGTACATATTCGGACATCTTTCGCTGCTCAAGACGTATCTAGCTCTAAAGACTCACTACTGCCACTGCTAAAATGCCGAGGCGCTTTGGTAGTAGTCTGTCATGGAAACTAACATTAATGACACCCGTTTCATCAACTCTGATCCTCAAACTTATTAGATATTCATAAAAACGTTCTTTAATCTCGCAAAGTCCGGACTACCAAGACCTGTCACAGCGTCCCAACCTTCAGTAGCCCTAAAAGCAGGATCGGCGCCACACCCCAGATTCGCGCCCGTTGTAATATCGTTCAGCGCCTCAGGGTGAGCATACAAAACTGGATTCACGAAACCCACTGTAGGCTTACCCGCGTTCAGTCTCTCGTTGTTGATGAGGGCTATGATAGAGGCAAAAACGGGAGCCGAAGCTGAGGTTCCGTAAACTGTCTCGAGCACGCCTTCGATATAGACTAGATATGTGGATGCGAGGGTAGAGACGTCTGGGAATCCCCGACCAATTCTTGTGGCATTGAAGAAGCCATTCTTTTGAAGGGAAGTTAGGTGTGCACCCTCGTGGCGCTGATCGAAGTACGTGGAAATTGCCTTCTGTTGATAAGATGGTGCTGGAAATACGTTACTGAAACCTCCACCCGATGTGGAATGCACTCCTGGTAGAACGGCACTGAAAGCAGTCTCTGCAGTCGCCAGTCGTGAGTTTCTTTTCATGTCTGTAGTTCCGGTGATGGAATCATTTGCGCTTGCAGACAGAGTGACACGCTGAGTTCCGCCTACTGAAGTGATCCAAGGGCAGCTTGCAGGCCATTGGGGGCTGAAGTCACCAGTCGTGGCGTTAGAGACGCCCGTTTTTCTGTCAATACAGGTTCCAGGTGAATAGCCACTTGCTGTTCCGTAATCACCACTGCTCACGACAACGGTGACGCCCATCAGCCCCAGTTTGAGGAATTCGATGCACTGCCGTTCCAAATAGGCTGCGGGGAAGCTGTCTTCAGGGTTCGTATATGAGATTGACAACACTTTTGGTGGCGTGACATTGCCGCAATCAGTGTGGTTGTAACCTCCTGGCTTCGTATCAGGGTACTGGGGATCCAAGGACGAGTTTAGCGATCCGCAATAGTATCTGAAAGTGTGTTAGTGCATTTCTCTTTCTCCTTGACGGCCACTCGCCTGCAATGTATGATGGGGACACTAACTTATCGAAAGCCGCCAACATGTTATTGACGTCTCCTGAGACAAACTCATCACCAACTTGAACATCCAATACTGGCATGGGACTCGTTAAAGCTAGCGCATATTGGAAGTCCAAATCGGCTTCTAGGTTGAATGGGGTAGAATTGTAATTTGTCTGCAGATATCCACCGTCGATAGGATCAACGACAGGGCGCTGGCCAACCAAATCTGGCTGAAACAGGCCGAAAAACTTATCAAGATCTTCAGGAAGCCAGGTCATCCAAGCGATCTCGTAGATTCCGAAAGTATTAGACGTGTTGACAGAAATATTTGTGCTTGGGGGAATATTGTAAAATTCTCTCAGGCACGAAGGAGCAGTGTATAAGCTGCAATTTACTGATGCATTATTGGACAACTCAATCTTGTCTTGCATCCGGTTTCTTGAATTGGTCCCAAGGGCGGCTCTTCGTTTCTCATTGTTGGTTGTTCGAACTGGCCGAGACGCGTTTAGACTGCTTATTGTGATGTAGTCGACTAGATGAGACAAAGATTTCGGAATGGTGTAATCTGTGCATTTTATCATATCCGTCTGACGGCTGTTGTAGGAACAAGTAACATTGAAGATCCGTTCGGCTTCGCCCAAAGTGGACCGGATCAAAAAGTGTCCTCTGGCGTGCGATGGCGACAGCCGAGCAGGCAGAATACCCTCATTGCTTAGCCAGTCCATGACAGTTTTTAGGCTCTGTTTTGAAGGAGCAAAAGCTGTAGCAACCTTTTGTGCAGACCAATGCTGTCCATATTCTTTTGATGTTGGATCTGAGATCTTCAACAGAGAAGCTATTGCTAGATCCACATTATCTTGAGACATGGCAATTTGAATCTGAACCGGGAACTCAGGCTCCGATAATTTGTTCAGGTTTCTACCTGCCGAGAAACCATTTCTGGGACGCGACGTATCTGCATTACAACATACCAGGATATAGGCTAAGGAAAATATGAGAGTCTGAAACAGGCAAACCATTTTGAGAGCTGTTCGTTCCAGCTACAAACAGAAAAGTGTCACAATGTGAAGCTTGTGTCGCTATTTTTCTGGCAATTGTGTATGTTATGTTCATATACGGCAAGGCAATTTGCAAATATAGTATCAGATCTTTTTAAGCAAGCACTAGACATGAAAAATGGTATATTATTCTGCATGTAGTAGTTTTTTATTCTTGTACTAAAATAATACTTATATACATTTAATTTACGAGGTATCCATATGCATTTTCTCAATATTATGACAATGCATGTTAACGTCTGGTTACAATAAGGATCAGTTGCTTACTATACCGTGAAACTCATATATGCCTTATCTGGAAAAAGGTGATGCACATCATATATTAATGGTAAAAATTATATGCGCTTTGTTCCAACAAAGGCATGCTCCATAGTATGTCATCGGGTGCCACTTCAAACATTAGACATTCCAACGGTTTAGTCTTCACTAAGATTTTGGGACATAGCTTCGGGAATATGTAGAAGGAATTGGTCCCACTCTTCCATACATACACTAGAGAAAAGTAACGAATAAATTATAAGCCCCCAAACATTGAGCTGACTTGTTGGAGGAGCTAGTTCTGCAGATCATGAATCCTTATTGCCGTGTGCTGAGCCCCAACTACTCACAGGAACAAGCTCTTGCCGATCATAAATCCTCAGCCTCTGCGTAGGCACTAAGCCTCGATATCTAATTCGACTTTATAAAGGACCTAGCTCTGCCGATCATAAGTCCTAGGCATAATTATTATAATCTTACCAATAGTGAAATGGTAATTTTTTCAATCTGAACTTTTGTTAAGTTCTCACCTAGCTATAAACATGCGCTTTATTCTATTCCTTTAGGATTCATTCAAGCGATTCGGTAAGGAATTGAAGCATTCCATTAGGATTTACAATAATAGTTTACTTTATTCTATACGAGAATATGACCAACAATCATGGAAATATTATGTAAATTGTAATGAAACTGCCTTTATAGTATATTTCGAACAGCTTGGGCTCCTGTAGGATTAGGCAAGTCTCACGAGATACATCCATCATTCTATTATCCACTCATTTGTATCTTTTTGTACAATATTGGAACAATAGCGAAGTAGAAGACAATAGCTTGCTGCAGAGGTATGTACAAGAAATATATATATATATTCACGTTTGCCCTTCTTTATTGTGCAGTTCAGTCAAGTTTCAGGCAAACGCGTACCCATTTACATTTACTTCTACACTATTTGAACTTGTCAGACTATTGTCACTCAATATGAAGTTTCTATACTGTTCCATCATTTTCGCTGCAGGCATTGCTTCTGCTGCCTCTATTCCTTCAAAGCTTGACCAACGCGCAGCTGGTATTCCGGTAATTCTTGTTGTATCACACTACAGAGCTCATAGCTCATGCTAACTTTTTGAGTGATAGGGAGCCGCGGTATGAGTTTTTCTCACAAAATGATATATCATATAGTACAAACCTAACGAATTGGTTTTCTAGCTTGCGTGTCTAGCTGAATGCGCACCTTTGGCTGAAGCCCTCCCAGCGTATGCTGCATGCCTCGCAATTTGCACTGCTGCTGGTGAAGAAGGGGCTCCTGTTAACTCGACAGCGGTCATCTCTACAAAGCGTGCTGATTAAACATATAGAGGGTTTGACGCAGAGAATCTTCCTCTCACTGCTTCAATCCCATGGCCTGGGGATTCAGTGTCTAACATTGTACCATCGGTCATACTTGGGAGGATCTGGCACGATCTTACTTTCACTCATTCTCGTAGGTGTGGAAAAACTGAGCTGGAATATAGCTGAAGTTGTAGTTATGTAGTAAGAAGCTTTTTGAAGTCATCATGAAGAATTATATACGTCTTTCAAATGTGAACTAGGTCTCATTTCAGCTGCTCGGCTCCCTGGCAAGCCCGGAAGCGCTGTGGTCATGGTGGTAGCTTATTGCCGTGCATGTGTAGAGTGAAATGGCGAATCACTATGTAAGTATCATTACCTACATAACTAGTAAAGGATAGAGAGAAGATGGAAAATCTAGTCCCTTGTTAGTTAGTACTCACGGGGCGAAGCAGACGATTCAGGACTCACTCTGGACTGCATCGACCGCCTCGTTATCGGGCATTGCGATCTCCCCGTGGGGTGGCGCCTTGACCAGGCTTTGCTGTCGCGCAACAACGCCAAATTTACAAAATATGACACGTTAAGGCTGGCCACATAGATCGGACACGTACACAAGGTCAGTCGTGTAAGTCAGTGCTGCCATACCCGGAGACCTGAAGTCATCAATAGCGCTAAATAGCGGATAAAAAAGGATATTCAAGGAGGATATGACTGGACTGACCTTCTTCAAACGGTTGGAAGCGGCAAGTGGGTCTAGGAGGGCAAAAGGCAGGCCTAGTTTGAGAGTATAACTGGGGTAATTCCAAATAAATCCAACCACAGGAGACTCCTGTTGAGCAGGAGTAAAAGTGGGCTTGCTGACACTTTTATAATCTCAAATTAGGAGATCTTACTGTTAATGTTACGAATAACATCACGATTAAATCCCCCCTTTGAAGATGGGTATCAAAAGTGGAACTAACAAGTAGTTCTACCCCAACTTTTTGTTGAAAGTCATTGAATGTGCACGTGATCGATAGGCGAAAGAATGGTTCTTCGCATCCTCCAGACCGTCCACGACTTCTCCAGATGTTGAACTGCGTTCAAAACACGAACCTAAAGCGGTTTACAATGTCGGCTCCAAGCCCCACAGGAGGCATGCCTGCCTCCAATACTGCCCATCATTACTTCAAGAGAGCTTATCAAGCTTGCATTAACTGCCGCCGTCGAAAGGTAAAATGTATCATGGAATGCAATGGTCAGGGGCTTTTGCAAGCATCTTGCACAAGGTGTAAGAGAGAACTACGCCATTGCACGTTTAGTGCAGAAAGAAATTCTCAGACCAACCCTCAAGATGGCGGGGATATGCAAAGGACTGTAAATGTTATCGAAGGTATTGCAAGCTAGTTACCCATTCAAGGGAATAGGATCTTTTATTAATGTTTTGACATTGACTTGCAACAGCTATGCCTGCCCATCCGGTTGAGGTGACAGGGCAAAGATCAAGGCAAAGACCAAGGCATAGGTCAGCTGAAGACTTCATTCATGCACAGGCTCGTGAAGAAAATACTGGTATAGACTATTTTGCGATTGCTTTTGCAAGTTTACCATGCCATTGTCAAGTTAACGGAATAGAAGTGTCGAATAGATCACGCAAACGCCGGCGTCAGAGTCCAAGAAGAATCACGAGTAGAGCAGTATTCAACGCGGCGGACGTCCAATCGCCGGGCCAAGAGAGAGAAGACCAGCAACCCGCAACAGGATGCTTTCCTCAGCAAAGCGGCCTCCCACCCATTGGTGCTGCGGATGAACACGACTTGAGGCCCGAAACACATATCCGGTCGAATAACAGCAGTTCAAAAACACCGGATCCGACAGAGAGAATGGGTATAGATGTACAATTGGCGGACCACGATTTCAGTTCCGCCGAACATGTCACCATATCGGAGCCCTGGCTTTCTTTTCGCCACCCACTCTCATCCTCATCCCCGGATACGTTACACCTCTGGAGCTCATGGCATTTTGTGAGAACTGGTCTAATCACTGCACAAGAAGCAGTCACGTACATTGATTTGTTTTTTCAGAACATGAATAGTCTATCCCCAATCCTTCACTGTTTCTATAGCAATCACATGAAGCACGGTGATCTCATCTCCCGAGAACCTGTTCTTTGCTGTGCCATAATTGCGCTTTCGGCACGGTATCATATATTGGATGTACATGGGGCCGTCACACGGGGCTTTTACATCCATGACCGCTTATGGGAACACTGCCAAACATTGTTTCAACGCTTGGTTTGGAACCAGCGGCGAGCGATTAAGGACCAGATGGCTCACCTCGGTACAATTGAGAGCCTTTTGTTGGCTGCGGAATGGCACCCACGCTGTGTCCATCTTCCTATCGAGACCGAATATTGGCAGCCAGAGATGGTTCTCTCTGATGACGAGCAGACGGCATGCCGCAGCAAAGGTGCGGAATGTCCCGCTTGTATCTTGTCGCTTCAACTGACGGCATCAAGTGCCAAACAAATGGCTTCGGGAGGTCGAGGAAGCCGCGCATAGATCAGATCGCATGTCTTGGTTAGCAGAATCCCCTCTCTCGCATCTCATTCCACGATTCTGAAATAATATACATTCCGTATTTTTCGCATTGTGTGCAACGCAAGGGCTCACTCACTATTTAGGATGCTCCTTGGAAATGCTTTATCTCTAAGTCACGAATTAGACATCTTTTCTGATCAAGATGATGCCCTAGCAGGTGCGCTTGAGTCAGCATCTGAACTGTCATTCACAAATTTTCTTCATCTCCGGCGCCACCGAGTGGGTAAACTTTTATTCGTATATATAAACCAGCTTGCTTCACGAATTGGTTGTGCCTTACCAAGAACGCCGTTTCACGATAGTGTGTTGCGCTCATTCCAAAACCCCGAATCCAAGTTGGACCATGAATGGCACGAGTGCATGACTTCATGGACAGAACTCAGCCGGCTAATAAGGACATCGTCCGACTTTCTCTTTCCCTCGAAGAAAGTGACGCAGGAGCTCTTACGAAGCGGCCGGTATGCAGCCTTTCTGGGGCATTTTAGCCCACTCCTTTCCCAGTGGTTGGACAAGTTCAAGAGGCATGCAAGTAAGTAAACGTCCTTTTTAAAATTATTCTTTATGCCGTAGTCCAATGGCTTATGTGTAGCAGCCAAGGCCACTTGCTGGCAGCTTATACTGGTTGATTACCATTTTGTTCGTGTCTACATTAACTCCCTGGCATTGCAAGCCGTTGCGGGAAGAATGTGGAAAGATGACGGGCGAGTGAGTCGTTCACAGGTTAAGGATAGCCAGGATTGCGACTTTGTTCGTGAAGTCATCGATGCAAGCAGTACAGTCCTGGAGATGGTGATCGAACTGTCTCGAGATGGCAAGTTAAAATACCTGCCTGTCCGCATATTCATTAGGGTCGCTTCTGCCTCGATGTATTTGATAAACGTTTGTTATACTCTTCCAACCATGGTGGATGGGGTTCGGTCACTCAAGCTGATTATTCAATTTTCTAGGCTTTAGCGCTGGGTGTACGCGGTAACGAGTTGGACCGGTTGTTAGGTCTGTTAGATCGTACAGTTGAAGCGCTATGCCTGAGCGCCGTCGATGATGTGCATCTCGGCTTTCGATATGCCGTATTATTGAAAGAAAACACAAGGGGCCTCCGGGAACGGTTCATCCGGGTTCATCCCCCGCCTGTGGAGGCGTCATTTACCTTCAATGATGCAGATGCATTTCTTCCAAACCTCGCGCCGCCAAATGAAATTGAGGTTGCACAACTTAGTGTTCAAACAGATATACCAGACCATGGAGCCGATATAGGGCCGAATTTTCTAATGTATACTCCAGAATCAGGACAAGAAATGCTCAGCGAGACCTCTATACCCAGTTACCTCCCAGCGGCAGGTGACTATTCCCAGGATGAGTGGTTTGCGTTGCCATTCACTTCTGAAGCTGAGCTTGGAAAGCCTTTCATGTCATACTTTTTTGGCATTGATCCTGGAGACGAAAGGTACTTTTGGGACGTTGCCTAAGGGCGTTTTAAGGAAGTGTTGGCAGAAATCAGGCAAAACCTATGCAGATAATCTATTAGCCGGACATGCTTAAGTATGTGTGAATAGTCTCTTTCCCTAGTTCTCCATCTAACTCTCGGAGATACTCTTCAATGTATCGTGTTAGAAGCAGTGGCTTTGGAAAGCTCTCGTGATATGAATGAGCTGCGGAATAAAAGTGCCATGCCATGCCAAACAATTTGCAAGTTGTAAATACTTTTGAGATGATGTTTACTGCGGCGGTGGATGTTTTGGAAGACTGGATCTTGAACCCATGTACCGCGCTGGTTCTTTCACTATGCGCAATCAATCCAGTGTTTGACCTCGCAAAGAGCTGAGAATGCTGACCACCCTGTTCATATCCCAGTATTTTGCTTCCATTTTATCCCCAATAACTGTCAACTGCATGTTCCTCGTATCGCATTTAGGCCATGGAGAGCCATCTGAGAACTGAGGTATTCCACTTTGAGCAAAGGTCACCCAGGCATTCTGGACATCGTCCGCAATCTGCACGTCAATCGCATCAAAGTCTCTGTCCGTAGCGGATAGACCAACATCGACGGCCGATGCCTTGTTTGCGAACCATGGCTGCAAAACTCCATTGTGTGACACGTTACCGAAAATATAAGGTATTTCGGCACCATGGTAGGCAAGCATGCCGGAACGACGGGTAGCAGGGGAAATACGCGAAAATATGAAGCAGTAAGTCGTACGCTTTAAGGCAGAAAACCTGTGGTAAGTAGCCATTGCCGGCTCCGTCCAAATAGCTGCAGTGCATAATTCTGTGAGCGCTTGATACGGACTGAACTTGGCATTGGTAAAATATTTCGTCATCTCATGGTCGCCACCGCGTGCTAAGATCTTGGCCATATTGGCCAAAGTGTCAACGGTATATATTTCTGACGGTTCTTGACCAGGACTCGTGTGAAGACCCGTTGGACGCCAAAAAGCTCGGGCTTCATGCTGCGTGCAGCCAAACAGAACTGGGACATGTTCATCCCAGCCGGAGAATTCTCTCGTTACAACCTCGTCATCGGGCACCGGGTACCATGCTAAATTTGCCGGAGAATGAAGGTATCCAGGAGGCGGTCGAGTCCCGCATACCGTAAATGAGGCGGCCCGAATCTGCTCTGTGGGAACACGACGGAGTACCTCTAGATCTTGGCTTCCCAAGAGATTCAGGAGTTCCTCGCTCGCGTCGTTGACACGCTCTGCATTTGGCGATGGTGTAGCAGCGTAATCCTCAAAGCCAGCACTTTGGATGATTGCACGGTGAAAAAGTCCACGAGCAGCTGGGGTACATAGCAAAGTCCGGACTGCGACTGCGCCAGCGGACTGGCCAAATATAGTGACATTCTGGGAATGTCCGCCAAACACCTCAATATTCCCTGATACCCATCTCAAAGCGGCAACCCAATCTGAGACGGCAAAATTGCCACCGGCCTCTGGGTGACGCAGAAACCCAAAAGCGCCGAGACGATAGTTGATGGATACGACAACCACTCCGTGACGAGCGAGGTTTCGACCGGAATAAACGTCCATCGAGGAAGATCCATTTAGGAAACCACCGCCGTGAATCCAGACCATGACAGGTTGCTGCGCTGACGGATCCACAGTCGCAGTCCAGATGTTCAGATACAGACAGTCTTCACTAGACTCTGCGCCAAGTTCTACCCCAGTATCAACAATTTGAATTGCCGCCTTTCCGAAGCGAGTTGCATCCCAGACACCATCCCAAGCTGGTGGAGAGGAAGCGGGTCGCCAGCGGCGGTCGCCCATGGGCGGTTCGCTATACGGGAGACCCAAGAATGAATAGATGCCATCTAGTGCAGACCCTTGAACGACACCCTGCTTTATGCGAACAGCAGCCATTTGTCTAGTGAAAAAATGAAAAATTGCAGAGCGAATGTTCAACAGAGGCACTGCAGGAGAAGCTTAGGCTTGACATTGTGGGAGGATGATGCCGGGTTTATAGGCGCTTTCATTGCAAAGTAAAGTGACTCCACCTCATCCGGTCTTAACCCACCATAACCGGTGTTCCAACGTTTTGGCTCACTGGCCTTGTCAACTTTGAGTTGTTTAATGGCCCTTCGGCAAGGTTTCCCTGGTGTGGTGGGGAGAAAATAAATGCCGCTGCATCGAATGTTAGGTTCATTTGCCCTTTTAACTATTCTGATCCTTGATGTAGACAGGCAATTTTGTTTGTCACGTTATCGTCAAGTATTATGCTACGTCTCTTGAAGTCCGATATATGTGATGAATTACATTGATGCTTTCCGATCATACTTGCTCCTCGAGCTGCCTCGTTTCTAGGTCTACTTTTACCAGCTACTTTGACAATTGTCGTTCAGCGGGTTGTCAAAGTTACTGTGTTAGTCTCGAGCCGGGAAGCTGGGCTTGTTGGTTTGCGTTACGGAAGTACTGGTCCGTGAACTAAGACATTAAAACAAAATTATAAACCCATCAGAAGCTTCGTTTCTATTGAATGATACTACATGATCCTACATAGAGTCCTTCAGCCAAGCAGCCAACCCATTCCGGAGATATGGGTTGGAATTGCTGGTGGTACGTCTGGTCCCACGTCAATGGAACATATTAGAAAGCCAGGTTGAACGCAAGGCTATCCTCGCATATTTGTTCGCGCATGTCATGGAGTCTTCTATACGTAAGTATTCATTCCGCATATCTAGAATAACCTTTGCTAACCTGAGATGATGTGGGTCTTTAGCGAACGATTTAAGATGCTCTTGGGTCTCCAATTGGAGAAAAATACCCATATCGTACCCTTGAGTCCTCTGCATATCGAGAGCTGGGCCTACTTCTAGCGACAGAACACCTGTAGAGGCCAAAAGATTAGATAGATCCAACCGGCATCTAGGCTATTTCAATTCATGGCTTTACCTGGAATCTTCCTTCCTCCTTCCTTGGATTCGGTGATAAATTGTTCAACTTGGGCTGCTGGAGCATCTTTCTTTAACCGAAAGAGTACTACTTATGGGGTGGAATTAGCAAGGGACAAGCATCAGTCTCACTTGAAAGGAGACATACCAACACGATAGACTGGCATGATGCAGTTGGCTGTGGGTGGGATACGAATATTGTAAGGAAAGCAATGGGCGAAAACGGATATTGTTCTGTAAGATTTTCCTCTCTAAATATGAAGCTGGAGATGACGACTTCACCATACAGCCCCCACTGTATGGTAAACGCCGGGATTTATACCTGGGAGCCCGGCTATTCACGGCCGTTCAAATAATCATTGTGATAATCTACTCGTGCTACAACTGGAATTTTTTGCCTTGTATTAAAGTTATAATTGTTCATCGCGGGGATGAATTTCTGATCATCTCGAACGACTCCATTTACTTGCCAAGGCCTCATTATATGATGCATTGGCTTACCATCACTATTCTCAGCTATGAGGAATGAGTTGCCGTGAAAAAGAGAAAGAAAGGGCGAATAGCTAACAAATTAGACACATATCTTTGTACCTAATGAGCAGACTATTCCCAACTTTAGCATCACTCCCGTCTCTTGCCCGGAATAGCCAGATAATTGGGGTATTGGGGTCACTAGATGGCCGAAATTAGATAGAGCACCGGCTCCCGCGGTTCGTTCCCACTCAGGCAACGAAAAGTTTGGTCGACACTGCGTAGAGACTTTCGGCACTGAAGCAAAACTAGTTGTGATTTTCATAGATTCGAAACCGGGTCTCGAAAAGGAGGTTTTCTTGGATATCTAAGTCCCCACAATGTGAGCATAGAAAATTGCAAGCCATACTTAGGTTGCTAGATGTCAGAACATCGTAAAGTGGTTGTTAATTTGCAAACTCAACGATGAACTACAAAGAACGACAAACATGTATTTACGAAGACGGGATGGTGTTCATCCGCCTCCGTGTATTCTCAGTCAATTTCGACGGACCAGTCAACAGATCATTCCGCGAATGTTTTGCCAAACTACTCTTCGCGACTTGAGTGTCAAATTATTTGGTCTCTTGTATAAAAGTCCAGTTATTATGGCTCCGATTGGCGTACAGGCAATTGATCACGATGATAAAGAGCTCGGCAGTGCGGAGGTCGCAGCTTCACTAGGCATTCGCGACTAGCAGCATTGTAGCAGAGGCAAATGCGAATGGATCAGGCCATCGCTGGTTCCAGCTTTACTGGCCCAAGGAGGTATGGGAACACATAATGGGTTTTCAGGTCCCATCTTCCAACAGATAAACAGACAGACTACCGGGAACGAGATTGAGGGCGATGTGGTGGCTGCAGCCCGTGCGTGGAATGGTGACCTCTTCTCTAGCCAAGGTGGTAGGCACACTTGGGAAGACATTGCATTTTTGTGTAGCCACCGGGATGGGCCAATTGTTCTAAAGGAGATACAAGACGTGGATAATGCGGTGATGGCGCTTTAATCTGGTATCTAGAGCATCATGGTCAGCAATCTTGAAGTGCGACAGGTAGATGGTGCCGTCAGAAGCCTAGATGTACTACCCGAAATCGTTGATGCCGTGAGAGATAACTTGGTCGTTCCTTTTGACTGTGAAATCCGAACCGGATCTGATATTGTGACACCCTTAACCCTTGATGTCAAGGCAGTACTTGTTGGACGGCCTTGGGTTTGTGGGCTCGGCATTGGGGGCAAGAAAGGGGCACAAGGCGTTTTACTAGGCCTTCTTGCGGTAAGTCGCCCCAAGGCTACCAGTGATATTGATTCTAACGTTTGCTGGGATCTCAGCCTTACGTTGGGCTTAGAAGGCCTGCAAGGAGCTCAGGACTGCAAGAGAGCTATTCTTCGGAAAGTGGCCTTCGGAAAGTGGCTTAGGGAGGCGATATTGGCTCAACATATTGAAACGCAGCTGCTCAATTCTACGCAATCTGACTTGAGGGTGAATCTTATCGATTTGTTCAGAATCTATTAGTCAAAAGACAGGTAATCCAGTCTAGTCGTATATGAGTAGTCACACAGTCCGATTATAAACTAGTTAAATGAAGGGGAATAAAGTATCTCGATATGTTTCTTTGCATAATTCGCGATGTGGTGTCTCCTTCTGCTCTTGAGTGGTGTGTTGAGCTCCAGCTTACAAGTTCATCTCTCACAGCAATTAGGCACTTGATATCTTGCTATCCTATCGAAAGATGCCTTACGATATCAACTGTGGAGATGTTTGGTTCGCAGCTAAATATTTGGGACATTTTTCGCAACCCTGGGACATGAGCTCAACTGGTCTGGTGCTTGATATTCGATGTGAGGGATCTCTTCGGCTGCCACAAGGTCAGTAAACACATAGTGTATCCAACAGCGAGGAAGTAGCTATACCAACAGTCATAAGGATATCAGCCAAAATAGCAGTATTAGAGATACCATGCGGTTCTCTTCACCGATCTACAACAGTCCATGACGTGTTACTCTCAGTTGGTTCCCCATCCCGCCTCGTGCCGAGCTTCGGTCAACTCCATCGCAAGCGGGCTTGTCTCGGACGGATAACAACGGGGATCTGGGGACCATGATGATCGCCACGATCAATCCTATGGGGCTAGCCTCCACTCCCCGGAAACACACGGGGTTTAATACTGGATGTGTGTACTTAAGCTACATGTTTTGCTAAATTTAGCTTTAGTTCAACAAATTCTACGCTCATCCGACTCCGTATCAATATCCCGTTACTTTAGAACATTGTATCTACTACCAGACTTACAAATCTCATTCCCCAACTTCAAGTCATGTCGGAATTACCGTATTTGGCAATCGTTGGAGGGGGAATTGCGGTAGGATAACGACGAATGTTGTATTCGTTGTTAGACACAACTGACAGCCATACATAGGGACCTGCACTGGCCCTCAGCCTCAAGAAACATCACGGGATTTCTTCTACTGTCTATGAGCTTCAGCCCAAGTACGACGTGCGAGGAGTTAACATCACTCTGGCACCTAACGCGCTGCGTGTTCTCCAGCATGTTGGAGTCTACGACACGGTCCGCCCCCAGGGCTACAAATACGAAAGCATTCATATGAGTAACGCCAGATCCCAGGCCCTTGGAACATTACTGCAGGGAAGTCCAAAACACTATAATTTTTCCAGCCTCAGGATACACCGAGCTATTGTCCAAAAAGCGCTATTGGACGAATTAAAAGTACAAGGAATTCCAGTTGTTTTTGGCAAGAAGCTGGTTCAACTACACGAAGAGGAAGAGTTTGTCGAGTTGGAGTTCGCTGATGGAACTGCCGCAAGGGCATCTTTTGTCATAGGAGCTGATGGCGTGCATTCAAGGGTTCGGGATGTCATCATGGACACTAAAACAAGCTATAGTGGGTTCATGGGCATCATTGGTATGGGCGTCAAACGCGAATCTCTTCACAAGTCAGCGGCCAAAGTGCCACTGCCAAACTTTGTATTCGGCAGCAGAGGTTTCGTTGCCATCATGCCATCCAGTTACGAGGGGGATATGGTTGACTTTTTCTCGACTATGCCCTATCCTGCCCGGTCGAGGGAAGAATGGAATGAGCTCGCCAATGACAAGATGAAAGTCCAAGAAATCCTTCAACAGAGATTTGGTAACGAGTGGCCCCAGTTTATTTGCGACATCACCAAGGATTATGACAAAGAAGGTCTGAGCCTGCTGCCGTGAGTATTGTAACCGTAGCGCATTGCAACTTGCATTTCTGACATGATTGTAGCTTTTTCGAAGTGCCGCCTCTAGAGCGCTGGACGAGTGTCAAGCGACGGGTGATTTTAATCGGCGACTCCGCTCATGCCTTTACACCTCAGGGCGGACAGGGTGCTGCGATGGGTCTTGAAGATGCTGAGACACTCTCGCATACTTTGGCTCGCCCGGATTTTAAATCAGACTACATGCGCCTGCTAGCCGCCTGGGAACGCCACCGGAGTGAACGGCTGCGCCTCGTCAAAGATTTCACTGACCTGAACGGACGATTGAGGACACCCGACACTGCCGTCATTCAATGGCTCAAAGAGTTACTTATCTGGGGCCGCTTCAAGTGGACAGGTGAATTGGGAAACTTGCAATGGCTCCATGGATACAATGCTGAAGACATTGTCCGCTGTTTTTAGCTCACCTTGTCATAGTACTTTAGAACAGTTCTACTGTATATAGGATCAATTGCCTCTATGCGAGACTTGTTATGAATCTACATGTATCATGGAATTAGGAGTGTGGTTCATAAACAGTTAAATAGGTGTTTTAACAATAATAGACTATATACTGCATCTTTCAGGCTAATGAGTTCATTAGAACCAAGTATGGAAGCTTGGTTGTTATATTATCTGGAATTGAGCATCACGCTACACTATGTTGAATCCTACCACAAAAACGAGTAGTGGTTACATTAATTAGTATCAGCCATTTAGAACGAGGCCAATTTTCTAACAAGATTTGCCTGGTGATGGTAAGCGTTATCATTGTTAATACTGTGTAGGTAGTCTTCATATGTGTTTTGCTTGTACTCTTATCCAGCTGCTGCTGCTTTTCCTAAAAGAGGCTGGCTTAAAGGCGGTGAGATAAGCCTTTTTGCAGCGACCTCTGTAACAAGTAAGTTTCTTTGACGCTAAAAGCATTGTGTCATGTTTAACATTATAGTATAACACCAAACAAGAAAAAGAAGCAAAAGTAACACGGACTGACTCCATGGCATCTCCTAGAAATGCATGCAAACCATGTAGAAGTAGTAAAAGAAAATGTGACCGCACTTTACCAGCGTGCTCTACCTGCCTGCGGTAAGATACGCCAATGATCCCATCCAGCTCCATAGGGCCACAAGCTAATGGCATCAATAGCATGGGCCGGCTTTGTGCGTATGACGAAATTCCGGAGCAGGGCTCGGCCTACAGCATTATTCCAGAAGAACAAGGCCTTGATAGCGCTAGAACATCAGTATGTCCTGCTCTGTTTGACGTTTGTAGATTCGAAACCCGCTGACAACTAGCAGATGCTCAGCGCCACATTTGGAATAGCGCTGCAGAGAGAAGTTCGCAGCTTCCTAGGCACGCCAGATGAGATGCGCCGAACCTCGAATGCCTACTTTAGTTCCATTCACTACCGGCTACCTATCATTTCAGAGTCGAGGTTCAATCAGAACTTTCCAAAATTGTTCAATCCATCAACCATAGACTTTACGACACTATGTTTGTGCATGAAGCTCGTTCACACAAGTCCTTCACAACAGGCTGTAGGAGGAACAGATGCTGTATCGCCATCCTATCTTATTGCTAAGAGCAGTATTGGTTTACTTGAAGCAACCGGCTTTCTTACCTTGGATGCCATTCAGTCTAGACTGCTTCTTGTCTTATACGAGGTGGGCCATGGCATTTATCCGGCAGCTTCTGTTTCCATTGGTAGCTGCGCAAGGCTGGCTCGTCATGCTGGCCTGAGCCGGGATTTCTGGCATGCTCAAGAAGCAGCCGTTGCAAATCCTGATGCAGAGGAAAGAAGGCGGACATGGTGGGCCATACATAATCTTGACAGGTACGTTTGGAAACAGTGTTATCAGCATCTCAACGCCTTGGAAATAACTCGAACCATTCATATCAGATTCATTGCTCTTTGTGGAGGAGATGCGATACTTGCTTCCGAAGATGCCACACCAGATACTCATTTGCCTTCCGACCCTGAGCAATTGCCGTGCATAGTGAGTGTATAATTGTGGAAAGAAAGGCCGGCATGTTTAAATCAGAGTCTCACCAATAGTCGCATATAGGTCACTTCAGAAGCCGCCAGGCCGACTGTTTCTACGCCAGCCCCGTTTTCTGTAGGACCATTTGCGAGAGAGTGTCAGGTAGCGCATCTGATGGGTCGCGTTGTTCAGCACATTTATCATCCGGTTGCCGACCTTGAATTTCGCTCTCGCGAAAGTTTTCAGCTTGAAAGTACATTGAAAGCTTTTTTGCCAATCTTAATTGAGGAAGAACTCGAATTTAGCTCCTACTGCGGTGCTCTGGGAATTTGTATAAGGTAACAATCTCGGCATTGCTCTTACATGTTTTCTTTCTTTTCTGCCCTTTTTTCTAAAAAATAAACCATTCGCTGACCATATCCAGTTCGCTCTACGCATTATATAGCGCTCCTACTGCTCCTATTAATCACAACAGTGAGGGCGATAACCACAACTTAGAAAAGATTTCTACGCAGATGACAGGACTTTCACAGCATCTGCTCAAAAGCGCCGGTGATGAAAACACTCTAACAATGATGTCGCTTTTCATCCCATATGCCTTGTATCAAACAGCTGCGATACAACTGAATTTATATCAGAGAAGCCGAAATTTCGCCTTCAAGGCAAACGCTGAGTTAATCATCGAAATCTTGACGTGCATGAGTAAGAGATGGCGTGCCGCAGGTCAGTATTCTGTTTCGCTACCTTAGCAAAGTATACCATAACTAATTGAAAATACTCCCGCAGTGAAATATCTGGCGGCGTTAGAGTCTGACAGCCCTCTGGTGATGTTACCACCTCAGGGATTTTATCTCGGTTATTCGATCTTGGATGAAGATGCTGGCAATCAGTGACAGTCTAGCGATTGAGCAGCATCAGAAGTCATACCACGATAAGGCTCGAAGACAAGATGTGACAACAAAGAAGCTAATGCACCTATAACAAGCTCTGTCGGGAACACTGGTTTGACCCGCACTCTGAGCGGAGAGCTATTCGAAAGGGGCGGATATTCATGCTCAGATTGGCAATCAAGTGAACAGCCTTGCCTTGTGTTTTGGGACTTAATGATGCTTTGGGGTTATAGTCCTTAGGGCAGTTAAACACTGTCCTGGGTGGCTTTCATACTCCGCGAGACTTGTTTCGCTAATCTGTTGGCGAAGTCTGGACTGTATACATATAGGCAAAACATACAGGGTGAGAATTTCTTACCTTACTATAGAGGTCTAAGAAGTCAGCGTTAGGGATAATTATATTAAAGGATTAATGCTTTAGTTAAGTTAATAATTATCTGGTATTGTACCTGCTTCCCTTTCATAAAGGATATCAACCCGTCTGCCTGGAGACCGTAGATTTTGAGAGCTAATTGGCCACTGGCAGGTATACCGTTCGCGATTCAAATGGATCTGGCGCACAGTGCCGCTTTTCATCGGAGCATGATTATATATAATTTATAACACATTTATTATGTATAGGGACCTGTTATCAATGCTAAATTACTCCTGCGCTATCCTTATAATAAAACCACTATTAACTAGGTTGGTGACTATAACTACTACTAGTGCTGTATTACAGCGCTCTTTTACTCTAGCATACTTAAAGATACTTCAGGGACTTAGTAGAAAACTAATGACTACCTCAAGTAAGAGATGAAAAGTCTCTTTACTTTGCGGGCTGATTATAGAAATCTGCGGGCTTGATAAGGTGTCCTTGTATACATTATTCTTTATTCTTTTTAAATACTTTTTGCTATCTTTGAGTTATTAAAGCTCTTTAAACTATCTGGTATTACCTTGGAATAGCTGAACTATATGGAAAAGCAATACGAAAGGCAATCTCGATTTCGTCTAGTATAATACAGCAGTATTGTTAGTAATAAGTGCAAAGTTATATATTATAATATCTGTGGAAGGCCCTTGGTAAATAATTTAACTCACCTCGCATGCCCGCAATTGCTTCAAATGCAGTTGCAAAGTTGTTCATTGAAGAAATGATATCTTCCAAACCATGCCGAAGTTCGTCAACAGTGCGCTCTGTATCTTGGGACAGGTTTCCCAATAGTATCGGCTGAGCATGGGCGGCGTGAAGTTTATAAAATTGCATAAGTAAGACGTAACTAGCTTGCATAGCACAGCATGTGCATGTAGGCATTGCCCGAGAACTGGTTATCCCGATGGATGTGCTAGGGAAGGGTAGTCTTTGTAACTGTCTTGCGATTGTTAACGCGGATGACACACAAATCTCGGTCGACTGATCATAAGTGAAAGCAGGCGATTGGAGTATATCGTATGGAGCAATATTCGTCTCATTCGAGATGTTGGCGGAGGTATTGAAGCTGTTTATGGTCTTGAGATCACAGTGATTCGCGCTGAAGAGGGGAGTATCCGAAAAGGCTTGAAATCGATGGAGGCGAATTCTCGTGCTGTCGTATGAGAAAAGGAATTAGTCTGAATCCTGCTACGGCATGGGATTGGAGTTATAAAAGACCTAGATAATCTGATTCGTGCAAGTCGTCGCATTACTTGCGCAGTAGCAGACTCGTATGCAGGATCAAGTTCCACGGAGCCTGAGACGGGTACATAGCTCTCTGCGCGATTAGAGACTTGTAGAACCCATCTGTCGAGTAATTTCATCTGTTCATTGACAGCGGACATGTCCGCGTGGGAATGTAGTTGTTCGTTATAGCTGGACGTAAACTTGACACTTGCTACTCCGACTCGCAGAGCATCGAGGAAGATTAACCATGCCTGGAAGTGTCAGAGCCTGATGTATATACTAATAATACACTGAGTAAAAACTGACTTCTGGATCGCATTCTAATCGTGGATAAGGTGTTGTGAATTGGCTGTCGTCATCAATATTTAAACATGCCTAATGGGAACAGAGCTAGATCAGCTTGTGTCTTCAACTTGCAGGACTAACGTTGTGTGTATCAACTCACGCTTTGTCGAACCAAGGAACACAGATGCGCGCAAAAGTAGGTCATCCACCAAGCCCTTCTCCTTGCTTCAGAAAAAGTGTCATTTTCGAGTCCCAATCGATGGAGAGACATGTTCTTTGCTATTATCAAAGCTTGACTTGCTCGGGCTGTCATTTTCAGCAAATTGGCTCGTTCAGTGTGCTCATAGTTGCTCAAGAGAAGTAGTGCTAAGATACTTTCCAGCTCCACTGGTGCTTGTGGATGAAGAGGGTCTCGGGGTACTGTGACTTTCCCAGCGACGGCTGCTGAGCCCACATGAAGATCTGAAATGAAATCAAGGAATTCCGAATCAGCGTCGACGCGCTGCAGTGCCGCTTGTACAAATCTTTGGGCTAGAGATTTTCGAAAAGAAACACATGCCGCCGAAGCACAGCGCGCCTCTTGTGGTAAGGGAATAAGTGCAAGTATGGCAGAAAGGGCGAGACTAAGAGGTGATTCTGATAACTTCGGAAGAGCCTTCTTTGTTTCCGCCAGCGGCCAAGGAATAGGGCAATCGGGTGTTGAGCGACTTTTCGGCGGAGGGAGTATTGGGAAATAAGGATGAATGAAGATGTAATAAGCGTTTAGTCTTTTTCTATACATCAGCCCGATTCAAGAGAGACAGTGAAGTTTTGGATATGATAACAGCCACACTTACATCTCCTCTTCCTTTTCATATACTCTAGCTCCATGATTACCAGCTGGACTGGCTATTGAAAGGGTTTTGTCTTTCCTATATGATTGTCCCTGTTGTTCAATTGTTTCTGGTCGCTTTAGGCCGGCTCCTGGAATGACAAGGTGTTCGATACTTTCAAGAGTGAGAACTTCTAGGATGAATCAGCAATCCTGTTTATAACACAAATCTGGCGGAGATGACAGACGTTGAGTTGGAGGTGACCTTGATATTTCGTCTTCGGTTACGTGTTCTTTCTGGACGCGCTTCCTTCGTGAACCGCCCCTCCTACTGGGGATGTAGGAGCAAACCCGATCTCTTATCTTACACTGCAATAGAACAATCAGATCCTAATTTGTGCAATGGTCATGCTCTTCTTCCTGTTACTTACCCCATAGCATGGTTGTTCGCCGTTGCAGCGTGTTCTCGCTGTCCGGCTATATTCTGTTAGAAGTAAATATCAAAGGGAAGAAGAAAGCATATGTACCAATGCAAACATGCGACCTTGGCCGGCGGCATCGGTAATTTTCCCCCTGTAATCTTTTTCTGAGACATAGTGTGTGGTAATTGGGTTAAATAATGGGGTGAATGTGAAGCAATTTTTTCTTTCACAAAATATTGTAAACGCGCGCGTCAATCGGAAATGTATTTGTCTAGTGGACACAACCAGGCTGAGAAGTGCGGCTGAAATATATCCATGGTGTTCGCTCTTGTCCGAGATACAAACGCCGCGGGATCTGACTTTTGGCTAAGGAGACCGACTGACTAATAATGGTGGCAAAACGATGCTGCCGCAGAAAGCTTGCGGGAATACAAAGGTAATAACCCGCTATTTCTATGTTGGAAGCGCCTTACGCCGGAGATCCTGCTTGCGGAGCCTTTTTCTACATAGGACTTAGTCCATGCGGGCCGGGGATTGATCTTTCTCGGTGTTTGCTCTGGTGATCAAAACGCGCTTCTCATTGGCTCATGGACATGGCCGATGGGGAGTTCTTATACGATAATATGAATTCTTCAGTCTACTGTGACGCGTGAAATGATTGTTGATGGGGCGAAGTCTTTGCTAATCTTGTGTATTTTAAGAGAATTGTGCTGAGTCTGGTCCGGGCCGATGTCCCATTTAAATCAGGAACATGCCGCGGCTTTCAGGCGATATTGAATGCTATATATATGGCCATTGACACCTAAATTGATATAAATTTATCACCCACCATATACAGCCTTTTCTTGTTATTTCGGACCTGACACCATCTTCCGAGCGAACGTCTATTCTTGTTGGAAGAGGATGCGCAATGGACGGCTCTCTGGGACAAGTATCTTCTATTTATAGAAGTAATGCCCTAGCTGGTCCAAGACCTGAAACTACAGCCGTGGCTACGTCTTCGACATCTTCGAACGGCAACCTTACAATACATTCCGCGGCCAATGTTCCGCATGCCGATATGGAGAAGCCAGATGACGACCCCGTCCCTCGTCAACAGCGCAAGAAAACTGTATGGACTGTTGTCCATACTTTTGTTCCAGCGTAAGTGGGCATCTCAGATTCTTCGTTTCATGTTGTCTGGCAATTAGAGCATCTCCAATGACGCGTCTATAATATATAATGTGCGAAAATTCTAAAGCTTCTTTTTTTCAGGTGGTTCACCGTCAACATGGGCACTGGTATCGTCTCTATCCTCCTTCACAACCTCCCTTACAATGGGGCTTGGTTGTATTGGATCTCAGTCATCTTTTTTTGTCTGAACCTCTTTCTATTCATTCTTTTCACATTCATATCTGCACTTCGGTACCTCATTAATCCAGGTCTATTTATGACCATGATAAGACATCCTGGTGTACCCCTCTTATTGGGAGCATTTCCGATTGGTCTCGCTACAATTGTTGAGATGATTGTTTTGGTCTGTGTGCCCGCGTGGGGCAGCTGGGCAGTTACCTTGGTAAGCTGAAACGAGACTTGATGAGACTTGAAATAAAGCTTACTTTTTTTTCTTTAGGCATGGACGCTTTGGTGGATTGACGCTGCGATATCGATTATAATCTGCTACTGGATACCATTTGTCATGTAAGTGATGACCATCGGCTTGTTGCTTCAATTAATATAACTAAATGAATTTTCTAGCATGCATGTTCACGATGTGAAATTAGAGACTCTTTCTGCAACCTGGCTTCTTCCCATAGCTTCTGCAATCGTCGCGTCAGCTATCGGCGGAGTTCTGGCTGAGGTCATGGAGAATGAGCGACATGCTCTTTGGACTCTTATGACTTCATACTTCCTCTGGGGAACCGCCATGCCGCTCTCTCTAACCTGCTTGGTTATTTTGTATCAACGTTTGTCAATGCACAGCTTACCGCCTCCGGAAGCCATAGTATCCATGTTTTTACCAGTTGCGCCCCTTGGCCAAGGTGGATATGCGATTATGCAGCTCGGCAAAGTAGCAGCTCAAGTTTTCCCCAAAACCGGCGTCCTCGGGAAAATGGGAACCAATTCTGGAGAGATTTTATATGTTACAGGTTGGATTCTTGGCTTCATTATGTGGGCAAATGGTCTGGCGTGGATTTTCTTTGCTTTAGCCAGCCTGAGTCGTTGCAAGTTCGCGTTCAACATGGGCTGGTGGGGATTCACGTTTCCTATTGGTGTCTGGGCTGGTGCAACAATAGCAATTGGCCAAGAAATGCCGTCTAGATTCTTTAATGTTTTAGGAACTGTAAGTTGCATCCTTTTTTCTCAACGCCCCTTATGTTTAAACGAGTTTTTTGGGGATATTTCATACCAAGCAATGTCTTGAGAAGCTAATGCACATGAATAACAGATTGTTGCGGTTATAGTAGTACTGCTGTGGATTATGGTTGCTGTCCTTACAATAAGCAAAATCATAGAGGGTAAAATATTTATGGCACCAGATTACGAACAGTGGAAAAAGAAGAAGAGCCAAGCCACTGAAGCTGTATAAGTAAAACAGTGGCAGAAAAGATATAGCTGTGTTTAGATATATAGAATTACTTAGAATGTATATAAGTGTGCTGTGCTTATCGAAGCTGATACATTTCTCCCGTCTTGCATCATGACCGGATATGAGTGGATTTCAGAATCAACCACTAGCTAGTCCAGGTAAGATATTGCTCTATGTCACCAATACCTTTCCATAGTCTTATCTATGAAGTAGGCACTTGACGAATAAACATAATGGGACTCTAGTCTACGTTAGCGATGGGGCAAAAACGAAAGGACATGCCGATACATTGAGCTGCTCTACTTTACTTTTCGCCTTTGCCGATATTTACTTGTATGGCTCTGCGAATCTCGTCATTGTCCAGCCCCTGTCTAGGATATTACCACACCTGTTAGGCTGACAATTTCGAGGCATAGTGAAGCCATGGTGGGCTTATTGGTATCAGCTCTTTCATAGGCTTGTTCTTTTATGGGCCTCCTCCACAGCCAGCGCCTGAAAGAGGGAACTGGACCCTTACCGGCGGACTAGCGTTCTGGTGAGCAGCGGACTAGCGTTATGTTAATGTCGAAGTCATCAGGGACAAGTCGCTATTTATCAGCCTGGGCTTGAAGATGCGACGCTACGTTTATATGTTGGAGCTTGTCACCTCAAAGACAAGGATATTTCGCTGATAGATATGAGAGAAACTATGGCACATGTGACGTAGCTGGACAGAATTATGCTTACCAACATTACCAGTCAACGACCAATCACGCATACTGCAGTATATAAACTCCATGCGACCCTGGCCACTCGCGGCCTGATCTGTCTCATAAATTGTCCAGTAAAGAGTATTCACAGATCCCTAACAGTTTTCATTACACACACTTACAGCACACAAGTACACACGCACACACGCGCAAATAACCATGACGACTGGAAGCTGTTATTGTGGAAAAATAACAATCGAGTTCACAGGCGAGCCTGAAAGGAAGGTAAGTATGATGCCCTGCGATTATGTTTACGCCAAGAAGCAGGCAGCGTTGACCATGATGCATAGGCAATATGCCATTGCTCAAATTGCCGCCATTACACCGGCAGTATGTTCAGCAACAATTATGTCATTCCGAGTGATCGGTTCAAAGTTTTCGGCGATCCAAAGGAAATATCGAAAATCGCCGATAGTGGGAAACGAATCGTAAACTGTTTCTGCAGCGACTGTGGTAAGCCAAATTTTCTTGCAACGGCTTTGATGGCCTTGGCCTGCGCCGAATGGTGTGAGTAGCTTTCGTCAAGAGCTAACAAAATGATATCAGGAACCACAATGTACCGGTGGGGCGACGCTTTCGGAGGCAAGGAAGGGATGAGAATCATCCAGCCCGGGATTTTAGACGACAAAAGTGTCATAGACGGTTTTCGACCGGATCTTGAGATGTTCACTGAGGATCGAGTGAAATGGATTGATGCTATTGACGGGCTTGCGCAACATGAGAAGATGCCTCAGTCATAGTAGAGCAATGCGAAGCATCAGGATTTATGATAGTAAGAACGTAGAGGCAGCACAGTATATGCAATCGTTGGCAGATAAAGGAACTTTGAGTAGTATTGTCTCGTTTGAAGGGCGTTGCTGTTGCATAATATAAATAAATCTCCTTTATACTTCTTAATTCTTCATAATTCCTGCTGTAGCCGTCAGGTAAAGAAGTCTTAGGGCAATATTTAGACTGCTACATGGATAAGTTGGCTTAGTTGTTGTAACATTCAACTCAATTGAGTAAAAGTGCCAATGCCACGTATTACAAACCGACGTTTCGGCCTTTACAAGACACAATACAGGCTCCATGACCTTACACGTAGTCCTGCAGCCGCCCGTCCGTAAACTCCTGTACCCAACAAAAAGACCGCCTTGGCTAGAGACCTGTAGATCTCAGAAACGAGTGTCAATTTATTAACAGTAGCAACGATAGGGCAGAATGCTTGTACAACAAAAGCCCCAAGCGTTGTTGAGGGAAGTTCTTCTTAAGCGAGCTGTCTGTAGGCACGAAGAGTTGGATACGTGTCTTCGCAGCCGGTTGACACAATCGACTTTGGTGACGACGTATGCGCACTAGCGTGCGGATTAGCGGCGAGTTGAAGTCGTATTGCAAATGCCGAAAGAACGAAGTTGAAAGCACGAGTTGAAAGCATATGCCAAGGACAGGGGTCACCATTAACTGCAATATAAAATCCTCTGATACGCCTCTGCATCAGAAATAATCCATCTTCATTTCAGCAATATTCTATTAAAACTGAACTCTCAAACGTTTTCAAGATGGCTCCGTTTGTTTTTCCAACCGAGAGTGTTACTTTTGGTGATCTTCTCCTTCGTAACGAGTACGTTCTTACCCTTTTTTCTCTCTTGTTTTTCTTCTTCTGTGGATTGAGAGTCAAATCTGACAATAAACACAGAGAGAATACGGAATTAAAACCAGTCCTGCATGTTTCAGACGCTCCGAACAATGCTGTATTTCCATCTATTGCTATCTGTACGCTGTTCCCAAACACGGACGTCTTAAGCAAGTTAACTGACACGTACAACAAAGTTTCCTGCTGTGACTTTCGATTCAACCCTGAAGAACTCTTTCAGATTAAGAAGGGTGGTATGTACCGCAAATTTCTGTTTAATCTGATGTGATTATTAACTAGATTTAAAGAGGCTTTTATATTCAGCACGGTTGGCGGCAATGTAAAGCCTTGTTTCAACGATTTACTTTTCCTGGAGGCTCTACTCGGCAATAGCATGAAAGAAATCATTGTTATTCATCACGAAGGTGCGTAACCTACAATGGTAGCGAAACCCCGTGGCTGACCGTAGTAGACTGTGGAACAACTCGGGTCACGTCACAGATGATTCGGGAAAACACCAAGGCGAATACCAATGCCCCAGCCTTGGAAAAGGAAATTGACCATTGGCATTTTGATATGCATAATGGGCAAAAGTAAGTCACGGTTCAAAAAGGTAGCACAGAGAATTCACTGACACAGCGATAATTATAGCCTCGAGGAAAGTGTTCGACGTGACTTGCAGTTTCTCAGAGACTCGCCGTATCTTCGAAAAGAGCTGAGTGCAAAGGCAAGGGGTTTTGTATTCTATTTGAAGGCGAACAAGCTTGTCGAGGTCAAATTGTAACTAGGACACGCTATTTACGTAGGCTACATGTAGGCTTTTACAACCAAACAGGCAGTACACGAGCAATCCGCTATTATCACGAATTGAGCACTAGTTATTGCATTCATCTGTCAAACTAGGAAGATGCCATTATACAGTTATAGTTGCAAGCTAAATATATAAATGCGTCCTGAGATTCCTCCAATATGTACTAGATATGGTCTCTTCTCTTTCACTTGACAACGGGTCTAAATCTAGGTCGGTGAGGTTAGAGGAAAAGGTAAGAGTTATTGCTATTGGAACTGCCATAATCGCTCGCCAATAGCGCCCTTGGTTCGTCGTTGTATGGGGGCGACGGATGATGCTGCTCAAGCCTTTTTCTTATCACAAACTCATTATTACTGATCTTGCGCAACTCTTTATATCTTCTTAGCCTCGCAATCGGCCCAGTCATATTTGGACTATTTTATGAGCACAGCGGCCGTAGACCTGTGCTTATTAGGAATCACTTGGCTGTATAATCTTCACCTGGGTGTGCCCGGTCATATCTACATATGTTGAGCATTCCGACTCAGCCCTGTTTCTGGATGTGATGATAAGGAACCGTTCACCGGCCACAGCCGAGGGGGGCAGCTGAAGTGCAAAGGCCGTCAAAATTTGTTGGGCATGGCTAAGAAACTGACCGAGTCCTCTGCACTAAGCACCTTTAGCCGTGGTTCATGCAGCTAGCACCCGAGTGGCCACTTCTCGGCGAGGCATCGATGACCGTCTTGTATATCGAGGGATATGGTAAACTGACTGCCAGCAGCCGTTGGAAGCGCTGCTGCAAAGGTTCGACTTCGGGTGTAGCCCTTTGGCCCTTGGTGCCACCAGCGGCATGGTCCACCTTTGCGAGAATGGATACTGACAATGGGAGCAGGAGAAGAGTTGCTGACCTAGCGTCACATCTCGGGCCTTGAGAGGCGCTCAGCACGATGAGAAGCTGTGCTACATTCACTGCAGGTATAGCTGGACAAGGTGGAGTGGCAACGTCTCGCAGGAAACCAACAGCCACTGAGCTTGGAAGCAGTTGAGACTGAAAAGTGCGACGAGGACGGCGACGAGGATACGAGGATATTCATCATACTGTAGTTATTACAGATGGCTTAGGGCGCAAAGCTCATGCTGTTGTCTTCGCAACATGGGGGCCCTTGTCACCTCGCATCTGCAGACTCGTTTCCCCTAAAGCCAAGTTCAATGTCAGCCCTGCAAGATCTGCGGTTTATTGGCGGCAAACCATGGAGTTCAGCGTCGGGGATATGGCTACTGCAGACTGCTCTGTACGGTGGTTACTATTCTACGAGAGGAGTTTATGAGAGAGAAACAGATGTAATTTCCATAACTATAGTGTGTAGACCCAGTACATATACCGTACTGAAATGGCTAGTTCATAAGACAATCAAGTTTGCTGCAGGTTCCTATCGACACATTTGGCTTTTTCCAATTTGGCTTCTTCAAAGCACATTTAGCCATCCAACAATACATCCACGGATGAAGAAGCCATCAGCATTCAAATACGCGTCTCATGGCATCGATGCCTTCGGCCGACTGACCAACCTTCTCCAAGACGGTAGTGAGTAGCACGACCAGGTTGAGGTGGCTCGAGTCAATCTTGCGCTGAAGATTTGCCACAGAAGTCTCAAGCGCATCACATCGACTTCTGAGAAGTGCATTTTGATTGCTGAGAGCTTCTTCAATATTGATGACACGTGCTGCTATGGTGGATAATGGACATGTTGTCGGCGTGAGAGTGAGATCGGCAGCATTCCGGGCATCGAGGGGAGAGCTCTGAGTGTGAGTCGTGGTGACGGTTATCTTCTCGGCAGGCGTAAACTTGGGCGATTCCCTTTTGACAAGACGTCTGGGAATGTCTTCATCATCGTCCGTTTCGACTTCTTGTTCTCGTTTGCGCTTTTCGAGGTGCCACCGGTTGTATATCAAGGTGAAGTCTTTGATTTCGAGGGAGCCAAAGACTGGTTCGAGATCAATCTCAAGCTTTACCAGGAGTTTCTGGTTGAAGGTTTCTTGGTCGTAGATGGCTTTCAGCATCACGTACTTGGGCCACGAAGGGCTGGTTTCCAAGTCTTTGTACAGCGGATGATTGCTGGGATCGTCGGAGGCATTCTCTGCAACCTTGAAGTAGCCCTTCTTGAGAAGTAAAAGGTAGATTTCCTGATCGACTTTCGTCATGTTGGCCGCCTGCGCCCGGTATGCACTTATAGCGCGATGTGATCGGCGCCAATGCTCGTAGCCATTGGCTGGGAGTTGATGGCGGTCGAATCTGATCGGCGGGATGTGAGGATTTGGGCACGGATTGACCGATGCTTTCTGTTTGTTCATTGGAGGCGCCATATTGGCAACAGGCAGCGCGCGATGTTGGGATTTGAGGAAACAAAAGAGAAGTCCGCGGTGGATATGATGATGGGATCAAAGGGAGAATGTGGAAGAAAAGATCTTCGTGGGCAGGGTGAAAAGTGTGGAGAGAAAACGTGAGATGGAGAGTGAAAGAAAGGTGAGAGCAGGGAGCGATAAGGCTGCTTCCTTGGAATTCCCTGGAACAATAGCAAAACACGTGTCTGATGACAGCTGCCGGCGGCGGTTGCAAGCAGTTGGCGGCGTGTTCTAATTATTGCAGGCGAGGCTTGCTGAAGAATGATGAAGAGTGCTGTGAGTTAAAGGAGAGGAAGAAATGAGATGCTGTGGTGGCACCCGGACTACCGTTGATGACCCTGCTATTGTTATATATGGATGAAGGCGAGTTGAACCAAATGCGGACGTGATTGCATCGAAGCTTATTACTGCCAATTGAAAGCTTGTCGCAACATGTATGACATCGAATGGAGAAGATTCAAGCAACGACTACAAGCTGAGGCTTTCTCGCGTGGGTGTGCAACTGCCCTCTCGTGATGATAAGCTTCTGCCTCCAACATAGAGCAGTGTATTATTACTCGCTGTCTAAACTGTCTATTGTACCATTTACAGCCAAAATAGATGGATTTATACATCTTTATAGCATCTCGTCAGTCATCTTGCTCGATCCTACAACAAGTGGGCCATACACGGCACTGTTTTCGTAGCCAAGAACAAAATCCGGAAGAACGTCTTCAGAGAGGTAAAAGCCCGGGCTCAGCAACTGGTCGACATCGCTAAACTGCGGCGATTCGCTAAACCATTGGTTCGCTGGCTGCTGGTCGCCCATCATCATCGAAGTGTCTGGTGTCATGAGCATGGAGATTCCATCAGGCTGGGGCTGTTGTGGCGCTGGCGCTGGCGCTGGCGCTGGCGGTGGCTGCAACTGCAATTCGTGCTGAACCTGGATAAAACTTCTCTCGTCGATGCTTTCAGATGTAACTACTCGATTAAGCTGATGGTCCGAGATCTTTTCTCGTTTTGGTAGTTGGGAACTCCCTTTCTTTAGGATGGTCTGAGCTCGCTCAAACAGCCGATACATGACATCCGCGCTCCAGTACGTCCCTCTTAGATTTGAGAGCACAAGCATATGAAGCTGAAGTTTGTTCTCTGCAAGGCCGCGGATTAAAGAGTTGGCAGATTTGCAGTCATAGAGATGAATCTGCATTGCCGGTATCATTGCAGTGATTCTTTTATGGTCAGTGTCAAGACTCGTTGCAAGTTCTATTGAAGAGAAATGCTGTCACTCACATCATTGGTTTCAAGTACCGTATCGCGTCAAGCTCAATGAGGCTCTGTAGCAGCCCATTCGTATTTGAGGCAGCTTCACGAGCTCGGGTCGTGGCCGTTTGTCGCCAGTGTGGAAGTGCTCCAGCTGGAAGAGAGCTAGATCGACTCAAGGCGTAAGGCCGATATAAGATTGCGATTGAAGCTCTGCTAAAATATTAGCTGCCGTTGGCAAATCGCCATCATGGTCGGGGCACAAACTGGTAAAGTAAATCGATCTGATATGCATGAATGCTCAGCTCCTCACTAGAATCGCCCGAGATAACTTCGTCTTGCGCCAGCGCTTGTAGCTCTTGTGCATATTTGTCAATCTCCGCCATAGTAGGTATGATGCCGTTCACACGATAATGAACTCTTACGATGTTCCCCAGAGTATCGCATATCTTCACAAGCCGAATCCACATCTCGGTCAGAGCTCTTGAGTCAGTGGGGATAAACTTGGCGCTCTCTGGGCTTGTAACGGCTTCTAGCTCGTTCAAGACGTCGTCTACTACAGGAAATGGTGTATCGCAGTCTTCGCTATGAATGCGCATCGGACGGCCCCGAGCCAAAGATACCCATCGATCTCTGACAACGCATGCCCACCATATGCGACGCATCAGAGATTCTCGTGCGGTCGAAAGGGGCTTCTGTGCACGCCCTCTTAGGCGAACAGATCTGTGGAGGCCAATGTTTTGGGCTAGAGAAATGGCAATCCCTATCCAATACCAAGCTCCAGTATGGTCTTGGGGATCGGTATACCAAAACCCTAACAGAATGACTGACTGGATAAGAATGAGCTTTTCGGTTCCTCGATCGACATCGTAGAGACACTAATTCGGCTTAGCATGGGCTGTAGTTAAACTTTTCGTGACCCAGAGTTAGACGACTCACTTTGGCACGTTCATACATGGCGGTCTTCATGGCCTTCCTACTGGTGAACCCTGCTTTTTGCAAGACGTCTGTATCGACAAACTATAAAGAAGCGTCACATAAGTATTTTCAAGTGTTTTTGAGTTGAGAAAGCAGACTCACATTTGCTGCGGCCAAGAGCATGCTCCAATACAGCAGCAGGCTCACATTGCGGGAGCCATTGCTGCGATACTCGTTGAGAAATGCAGGAGCATCGATGATCGGGAGGAAGAAGTGGACATGCTGAAAGTAGCATCGCACGAGCTCGTCGCACACGTCATCTGGAAGTTTAGAAAAGACGCCCTGGAGGCGCATGTATTCCAGCTCATGGGGTTTGTGTGATATTGCTGCGGATATACTGGAGGGCATATGCAGGGTCTCTTCCGGGGATTCGGGATGACAAAGGTCGTATACAGAATGACGTGGACCTCGTCTATCACCTGACAGCATAGTATAAGCTTTCTTCTTACGCTCTGCATGTCCCAACTATTGGTAGAGAAAAGAATGATGCCTACCGATGTAAGTGAAAGAGGTGTCTTCAGTCGAAACTGCCTCCGTCACGGCCTGGTCATAATCATCATCTATATTCACGACAGTAGAGTTAGACTCTGGCCCTGACGTCAAGAGAACGTAAGTATCAAGGTCTCTGGAATGACTCTACTTTGTATAGCATCAATGGGTTGCTCCAACATCCTGCCAGGGGCAGTCTTTGCGTACGAAGTCCCAGACCCATCTCGGTTTGTATCCCGTAACGCGAGCACTTCGCCCTTTTTCCTTCGAGGCCTGATAATAATCAAGTCACAAGCGTCAACATGTCTTAGTCGAATTGTTGCAACTGAACTTCTTCTACTTACCGATGCTTTTTCCGAGGAAGTACTACACAAGATGCCCCATCGCGTTGGCAGTTTGAGCACGGATTACCGCCAGCGTGGACCACGTCGCAACGCACTTTTCGCTGGTTACAGCTCTGGCAAGCAACACGTGAACGGTTTCGTGGAGCAACTACGCCCGCATTGTTGGTACCCCATGCGTTGCTGCTGCTGAGCCGAGAGACAAAAAGTGCCATCCCCAGATTCCATGATCGGTAAAAGATGAGTGAATATCTGGGGAAGAAGTTTGCCGTTCGGCAGAAACGAAGATGAATGCAGGGAGTCGATCCAGCTTACTTTTTACCCCGGATGAAGGATCCGAGCTACCCCACAAACCCCCATCTTTTCGGCGCCGCGAGACTACAATGTCGCGAGCTAGAGCGGCTAATTCGGCAATTAAGAATCTTAGTTCTGTTGTTCGATTTCTGCCGATGAATCTTCACGTGGATAATTCTGCGGTGGCGGTCTAACACGAGTTCTCTCCTTTCATGCTCTCTCGAATGACAGGCAACAGGATAGCCCATCGAGACGAGGAGCGGGGATGGGCGTGATAGGCATTATTCCGCTATTTTCCTTGCGTTGTAAACTTTGCCGAGATAGAGTCAGCCTTATTCCTTATTGAGCCACACGCTGGCTACGCCTAGCGAATCAGTATTATAAGACGTCTACACCACTTAGCAGCCAGTATCTGGAGCATCACGATCGATCCGTATCATGCAGCAAGACAGCCTCTCAGCAGATTACCCTATGAACATGGAGCCTCGCAATATGGAAGCTGTGGACGAATCAAAGATTGATGCGGCGGAGGAGATTGAGAAGGTCGAGGACGATCCTGCCAATATGAAGCCGAGTAACGATCCATTCACTCCGGAGGAAGAGAAGCGACTTATACGCAAACTCGATTTCTGGTACGATATTGCCCTTTTTAACAGCTTAAACTTGATGTGGCCTGATTCTCACCAAAGTCTACAGGATCATCCCCCTTATGATGGTGACGTATACGCTGCAAAGCTACGACAAGGGCATCATGAGTGCTGCGACGCAGTTCAACTTCAATGCAGATTTGAAGCTCACCACCATTGTTGGTTATGAGCCTAATGGCACTCCCATCACCAACAACCAAAAATACGCCAATGCGTCAATGATTTTCTACATTGGATACCTCGTTGGCACATATCCCATGATGTTTCTGTCACAGCACTACTCAACCTCTCGCGTGGTGGCGTGTGCGACTTTTCTGTGGGGAGTTGTCCTCATGTCTACGGCCGGATGCTTCAACTATGCCGGCATCATGCTGAATCGCTTCTTCCTTGGCTTCCTCGAATCGGCTGTCGCGCCTTCGTTCACTGTCTTGGTAACTTTTTGGTGGACGAGAGAAGAGCAGGCTTTGAGGACCGGTTTCTGGTACAGCTGTGTTGGCGTTGCCACGGCCATCTCTCCGCTTATCAATTACGGTTTGGGCCAGACTCATGGCTCTCTTCCTTCTTGGAAGCCCATCTTCCTCATCCTCGGCGGCATCACAGTTCTCTGGTCCATTGTTCTCTTCTTCTTCCTTCCAGACAACCCCATGACCAGCAAACACCTGACCGACGCTGAGAGGCAAATCGCCATTCGCAGACTCGAGCGAAATAACGCTGGTACCGTCAGCCACGAATTCAATAAGAGTCAATTCTTCGAGGCTTTCCGCGACTATAAGCTCTACAGCTGCTTCTTCATCGTGCTTCTTACCGGTGTGCCGTCCGGTGCTATTGGAACTTTTGGGACCATTGTCATCAACGGCTTCGGCTTTGACCACTTTGACTCTCTAGCTCTGACATGCCCCATCGGCGCGATTACCGCCATCTCGATTCTTCTTTCGGGCTACATTACGCGTAAATGGAAAAATACGCGTTATCTCCTCATTGTCGTCTGCGGCTTGATTTCTATTGCCGGGACTCTCATATGTTGGTTTGGGCCCCGCGACAACCGAGGCCTGTTGTTTGCAGGCATTTTCCTTATTGCGGTACAAGTTGCCTCTGGCGGTCTTGCGGTTTCTCTAGCAGCATCAAACATGGCAGGGCATACTAGTAAGTTTTCTCTTTCGCACATATTATACATGAAGCCTAGTATCTTATTGTTTCCCAGAAAAATCCACTGTCAGCGCATCAACTTTCGTTGGATACTGTGTTGGAAATGTCATTGGCCCTGTCATCTTTGGTGCATCGCCAGGGCCAGTTTATCACGCAGGGTTTGTTGGAAGCTTTGTCTGTTTGTGCGGCGTAGTCGTCATTGCATCGATTACGTACTTTCTTCTGCGCAGAGAAAACAATAAGAGGGATCAGCGGGTTGGCTCGCCAAGAGGCCTGCACTCCATTGATGAGGATCTTACGGATATGCAAAACGAAGAGTTCAGATATGTACTCTAATCTATTGGTTCTTACTCCTACAACAGCTATTTAACTTGTCATTTTGACAGAAGAATAAATGTAGTAGCAAGGAGAAATATACAAAGCTCATTCAATTAATTTATGCCCATTATGGTGCTTACTTATCCGAGATTACTAAGAATCGATACACAGTTCTAAATCAGGCAACACTATAATATACCAGCATGCTCTTACCAAGCAATGTCGTGGCTATGCTCCCACAGGGTCAGTGTATGATGTACGTGTTGTTAATTGAGAAGACCAAGACAGGCTAATTTTGCAATATCCACACGGAACCATGCGTAGTGGCTGATTCTAGAAAACAATAGCGCGTATCCAAGCTAGTTTGCCGACTTTCCGGCCGACATTGCCAAGCTTCCTTCACAACTTGGCTTCTAAACACGAGAATCTATTACACGATAGCTCGTAAATAGCGGACGATGGGCTTATACTTGCGGTGAATTCGGTACTGGGTCAAAATAACAGGCAGAGTTCGGCAGAATGTTATAATTTAGTCTCTACTAATCAGCCTTCGCCGGCTCAGACGGCTCATCTGTCCAACATATAGGGGCTCAAGGGGTAAAAGCTTTTTGGACGTGAATGCAATTGTACATAAGCTGGACATTCCGCTGAGACAATTGACGTCAGTGGAAAGTTTGTTTCATTGTTCCCCTGTTCTCTCATCCCAATCAAGAATCTACCTGTCTCTAAATCGTTGGCTCAATGTTGTTGCTTAAAGTTGCATTTGTAACTGGGTTGGTTGAAGCCTTGGTGATCACCAAAGGCTCTTCACTAATCCCACTTGAAGGATGTCTTAAAGCTTTACCTCACGGCCAAGCGGCTGGGAAAGTTGCCAACATAACGATTAAAAGCGGTGGATTGTCGCGCTACTATCTCATCTCCATTCCACCGACCTACCAGGCAGAGCTGCCAACCCCTGCCATCTTATCGTACCATGGTGGCAACCGAACTCCAGAGAGTCAGCTAGAATTGGATCAGTTGACCAATCCAAAATTCAACACGGATACATTTGTAGTCTATCCACAAGGTTTCAATGTATGTGTCTCGAATACGCAAAGCTGCAGCTACTGTGACAGCGCCAACTAACAGACCCAAGGAAACATGGCAAGGCGTTCCGGGTGTCAAGATAAACGACGTTCAGTTCACCACAGACATCCTCAACCATGTCCAGAGCCAATATTGCATTGACCCTTCCCGCATCTATGCAACTGGAAAGTCGGACGGCGGTGGCTTTTGCAATGTCTTGGCCTGCGACCCCGTAATGTCTCACCGCATTGCGGCCTTTGCTCCGGTCTCTGGCGCTTACTACATCGATACGCTGCCTTGCGAACCCAATACTGTGCCCATCCCGTGCCAATCTGGCAGAAACGACATTCCACTGCTTGCATTCCATGGCGGCAACGACACGACGATCAGCTACGACGGCGGCGAGCGCAAGAAAGAATGTCTCCCATCGATTCCACATTTCATTCAACAATGGGCTACCCGAGACGGACTTGGTCTACACAATGTCACAACGAAGATGGCCTCGAACACTGTATCCTACAAGTTTGGGAAAGGGGTCAATTTTGGCATGGTGGAACATGTATATGATGCAGTTATCGGACATGACTGGCCGAGTACTGAACCAAATGCGGATAACCTCGCCGAGGGACACCATGTTGCGAGCTTCAACGCCACCCCGATGATTATGGATTTTTTCAAGCAGCACCCTTTAAACTTTTGGGATCTGATTTCTGAGATCTAGGGTTGCGGGCATGGAGATGAGGAAATTAATTTACGTATGGAGAAAGAATACGGTATACTTGTGTAAATAAGAATACATTCTAATCTGTTGCTGATCGCCATCGCATATTCATGCTTTACTTTGCCTTTTCATACTACGATATAAGCTTTGAACACATTCTCTTGGTTCAACCTGCAGAACCATGGATATTCGATTAGCAAGCGTACATTCAATAGAGTGTCATAGCGTAGCAAGGACCTAATCTCAGATGCCGATCACATTGTGTGGGGTGCGTGGCACTAGTCGAATTCCAAGATGTCTCAGCTGTCAAAGCATTGATGCCAATATTAGAGTAGTCGCGTATTTACTGGAGTTGGCCGAGTTTGCCGAATCTACCGAATCTCCCTGCTCGTCGGTTAAAAAGGAGGTGTGTGGCAGATAATTGCCGAGTAAGCGTTTCCTTCATTAGGATTGACTTGGACATAATCGTCTGTCTCTTTTACTGCAAGAAATGATAATAAAAATGAAATGATAGTGAGCTATCCGTAAGCCACATCTTATTACCTTTTTATTTCCCAATATTTCTAAGAAAGGTCTTGGCAGCCTACCTCTTCATCTGTACACGCATTCGAGAAAAAATCGGGCCACCATGTCAGATTCGCTGCCCTCTCCAAGCACCACGCCAGATGGCCTAGAACCACGATTCTCTCTTCCGAGCACGACTCCACGTTCTAGTAAAACCTCCATTGCCATAGGCGGCGTGATAATCTATGTCTATGGATTAGAAGAGCTCACACAAAAATCCGGAGTGGAGGTGGGGGTGCTTTATCTAGCTCACAACCGGACAAGAACGTACTTGGTGACGGAAGGCATTGCGCATGAGATATTGCATCGGTATAGAAATGATGGAAGAAGGAAAAAAGTCGAGATGATTGCTGTCACGATGAATATGAGGAACCATGGCGATCGAGAAGTATGCATCATCGGCTGTGCTCTACAAGACGGCAACTAACATACTATCTAGGTCAGTCGAGACGCAAATTTGACTTGGTCAGGTGGGAATGAGAATCATGCGTAAGTCATGGAGCACACCAAAATGTGATCTGAATACTTCCCTCTTATTTTGTTAAAGGTTGCTAAGACACGTCTTGTTGGTGTATACAGCATGGATCTGATGTCAATGATCTCTGGAGCCACCCAAGACTTCAAGCTCGTTCTCGACTTTTTACCAGCATATCTTCCACAATTCACCACATTTCACAACATCATGCTTGGTGTATCCCTAGGGGGCCACACAGCTTGGCGCATGGCCTTGGCCGCACGAAGCCAGATCGAGGCTTTCGCAATGGTTGTTGGCTGTCCAAACTTGACGTCTCTCCTCCTCGAGCGTCTAGGCATCGACGCCGCAGTATTTGGCGTAAAGGGGGAAGAATTAGAGACGATTGAATACAGTCAGCTAGAAAAGGTCATGAACGAGCAGCAGCGAAGACGGTGGCCACGAGCGCTGGCCGAACTGACCCGCAAAGACGATCAAAGGATACTTGAAGAGTTTCCCACTGATGTACCAGTGTTTATGTGCAACGGCGAATACGACAAACTGGTTCCTTCGCGGTATACATCGGCATGGCTGGAAAGGAGAAAAGCGATGCTGAAAGGAGACGTAGCCTCAGAAGAAAGCAAAGCTAGGCTGTTTGTGCAGGAGAACACGGGGCATAGCTGCACGAAAGAGATGGTGGCGATGCTGGCCGACTGGCTAGGGGACTTATATAAACTATAAGCTTGAACATGGACTGGACCGGAATGTCTCTTTGGTGGATTTTTAAACGATTTCACATATTAACAAACGGTATAGGAAGAGGGTATAAGGGAGGCTGGGCATTGATACCTTCCAGGCGTTATTTAGAGCTTTAATAGTCCCGTAGTATTCAAGTTCTTCTAATAGCTAAAGTTCTATCCTAACGTCTTGAATTGGAGGGAAATGCTAAAGTGATAAAAGTTCCTTGGCATCTCAGGAGCTGACGTGGAAGTCTCACGCTAAGCAGTTTTACGGTCAAATCTTCACATTCATATGTACTGCCCTAACAAACAAAACAAAGATCAATTAAGCTATATGTTAAGCTGTTCGCCCTCCTAGGCGTGCACACCTCTGGCCAGTCAAATATTGCCCAGCAAGTCACATCCAGGTACAACGCAAGATAGGTATGTGACATTATCATATATTGATCAAATTACTCTCAGAAGATCCCCCCACCCCCATTTCATAATCCCATTCCATTCTCTTTCTTTTCTCCTTTCCGCATATTCCAAAGCAAAACACCCTTTCCCTATCGGCCAACTCCCCCAAAAAAGACAACGATTTTACAAGATACCTGGAATGAGAATGCCGCCCAAAAGGCCGCCCCTGCGAACACCGCCACACAGTCCTCCAAGCCCACCCGTCAAACCTCCCAATCCTCCAGTCAGTCCTCCCAATCCTCCAGTTAAGCCTCCCAATCCTCCAGTTAAGCCTCCCAATCCTCCAGTTAAGCCTCCCAAGCCACCAGTCAAACCTCCAAGACCACCAGTCAGGCCGCCTAAACCGCCAGTAAGGCCGGACAGCCCAGAAGTCGCAGATCCTAGCCCAGAAGTAGCAGATCCCAGCCCCGAAGTAGCTCCTCCAGCAGCACTCGTCGCATTCGCCAGCAGAGCCCCCAAGCCCGGGATATTCTTCAGAATGCTAAGCAAATCCGTGGCCGAACCAGCAGCCCCAGCAGCAGTGTTGGCCACGCCAGACGCAGCACCACCAACCGCGCCAACGATGCCAGTCGGAACAACAGCACCGGGAGTCACCCCGGTCAAAGCACCAAGCACACTTCCAAGGCTGCCCAGAGCAGTAGCATTGACGACCGTAGGAGTAAGATCTGTGATCGCAGTCGGATCCACATCCGGAGCAGTAACCGAAACCGAAACCGGAACCGGCTCTTGTCTCTTGACAGTAACAGCAGCCTCATCATGGAGCACAGCCATAAAGGCATCCATTATGTCCTTCTCCTCCTGGCTCATGCCCAGCTCCTGCTGATGCTCCGAAAGAACCCTGAGCACGGCCATCTGGCGCTCGTTAAACAGGCTGGCCAGACGCATGTTTGCGATGGAGGAGGCGTCTGCGGACATGTCGGATGCCTTGTTGGCGTTCATGTCCGTAGGGGCGGCAATCGCGGTGCCTGCGAGGAAGGAGACGGCGGAGACGGCTGTGAATCTCATTTTGGCGTCGTTGTGTTATGGGTTTTGCAGTGAATGGGTGGTACTGTTATGCTGCTTGGCTTGGTGCCTCTCAATGTCTGAATGAGAATGGAATATCCGTGGATTTATATCTGCATCCGCCGTATGCACAACCTCCTGCATTGTCGATCAATTTATTCGGCTTGTATGAGAGGAATGGTGATCTCGACGATGCTATGTTTCTTGCTGTATCCTGTTGTATTGGCAGCAACACATTCATCGCAAGAATGCATGTTTCTGTTAATGAAAATCACTAGGAATGTAAAACAACAAGCTCCTTGCCAATGCTGAGACACACATCATACCAAGTCGCAACGAGGGGTCTCATTTATAAGGGGCTGGCATCCATTCATTTCTGATACCATGAGTAGGACTAATACGATTAAGATTGTACTGCACCTGTCAGGTATCCTGTGAGCCTTTCTTAGTCATGTCTTCATGGCCTTTTCGATATGAATTTATGCATCTCCCTGGATTGGTGAAACGTGGCTCAAGACACTGCACCAGTCACGGCCGAGCTTTTACTGGAAAGATACACTGTTGAATTAACGATTGCCTCCTTATTTGCCCTTGTCATAAAAACAAGCCATGTTCCCATATATGTGTCAGCCATCAACTTCAACCGTCTTCTTCTGCGTATGCATCTAGACTACATGTATTTCATCTAGATCAAAGAGTTGTAGTTCATAAGTCTCATCATGCGTGTCTATGTGATTCATACAGTGGTATAAAGAATATGGCGTGTCATCATCGCTTCTCAACTATTCCGACACCCCGCCTATATGCATCCAAATGATCTATTAAACAACACATCAGTGCTCCTCAAATACTATTCATACACAGACATGATATATATAAATCGGTTTCATCATCCCAGGCATAGTTGCGCCGTTGAAAGTATGCATCCGTCTCAGCCAAATCGAATCCCCGAGTTGGCACTCCATGTTCCCTCTTGGCCTTGAGGTCCTCCCGCCGGCGGCGATCCTCCAAACTTGATTCCCATGGATGGGTTCCACGTTCCAGGCATTGCGCTCGACTGCGTCTGCCCGGGTTGAGGCGGCATCTGCTGCTGTTGCGTTGCGCCCCCAGCCCAAGATTGAATCGATGCCTCCGCGGGACTCTGTACTGCAGGCCTAGGAAATGTGGTCTGTTGCTGCGGTTGTAGCGGTTGTTGATACTGTTGATGCAGTGGCGGCTGCTGCTGGTGGTATGCCTGCTGATACGACTGTTGAAACTGTGGCTGTTGCTGCTGTTGCTGCGGGGCAAATTGATGGTTGTGGGTGACAGGCGGCGATGTGTATCCTGGCGACGGATTACGAACAGGCTGCTGGCTATGTTGAATGTTGAGACTCGACAACGTCGGCATATTGAGTTCCCTGCAAACATCTTGATTAGCCCTGAATCGATCAAACATTAAGATCCCAGTTTTCCAATGGTGCTCACTCTTCCAGGCTCCTTGCCTCCATCCGTCGCTCCGATACCCACGCTTTGATAGGGTCCCGAAAACCATTGGCAACGATCCTATTGAGATCATTGTAGAATTTCCTTCCCACTTCCAAGTTGTTGCCAATTTCCTTGTACTTAAAGTACGCGCCGTTCAGTTCCTGTAACACCTGTTCGCGCTCACGATGGCCTTTTCCGTCAACGAGACGCTTCTGCGACTCGAATTCTCTGTTGGAGCGCTGAAGCTGCAGCAAAAGATCCTCCTGGTCTTGCGCTTCCTTTTCAATGGCTTCAATCTCAGGCTCGTAGAGCTTGTCTAGTCGCTTTTCAAAAAACTCTTCGAAATGAACCGTCTGCAAGGGCGTCGTCGTATAAGTGCGCTCAAGACGAGCTGCTTCTTTGAGAATATCAGGCTTGATATCGTCGCGCCGGACTGCCTCCCGTAAGGTCTCAACCTTTCTTCTCCTCTTGCTTTCCATTCGAAGGATATCATTATAAACACTTCGTACGCGCCCGACAGAAGCTTTCAGATCGCTTGAAGTTTCAATAGGCGTACTTGTGGGCACGTGATTCATCAGAGATTGGTTTGAGCCCGACAAAATCTCCAGCATCTCTTTATTTGCGATAAACTTGTCACGCACGGCATCGTCGCTGGCTGCGCTGTTTTGAAAGTAGCCTCCGATTTCGGTAATGGCAGCCCAAAACTTTGAGCCATTGGGATCGACTTGGCTCTCGGGCCTCAGCCATCTGCTGGTTCCGTATTTTTTGCGCAACTGGTCATCCTCCTCTTTCTCTGCCGCTAGCGCTGCCTTGCCCTCCTCATATATCGCCCAGTCGTTGGATCGCAGCTTGTCAATGTCAAGTAGGCTTCTCTGAATCTTGTTTATCGCGTCAGACTGTCGAATCTCCTCTGCATGCTGAATCAAGCTCGGTGGAAGACCAAGTGGCTTTTCCAAGGCCATTAGGGATCCGGGCAAGCCAATGGTGCTAAGGAGTGTATGTATCTTCTCTGTTAGAGTCTCTAGCTCCTGTATGATGTTTTGGTTCACCATACGGTCTCTGCGTTCCTCATAGATCGATATAGCAACATGAACCGAAAACGGGACTAGCTTCGAGAAAAGCGCTGGCCCAAGCTCCCCATGGTCACTCAGATAGTCGAGAGGATTGGCTACATGGAGGGGCGTTCGCGCGGCGGCCATATTTGCCCTCTCTAGGATCTTCAGCTCGGCTTTCGGAGGTACAGGGTCTTAATATGTGTTAGCGCGAATACCCGAAGCACAATGAGCGATAACATACTGAGGAAGATCAAATCGTTGTCCTTTTCCGCTCTCTTCAAGTCTTCTTCCAGCTTGCGCTTCAAAGCCTGTAGGTCCTCCAGGACTGTCTTGTTTAGCGATGCAACACGACCTTCCTTGATGCCATCATTGGCGCAAATGACGGCGTCCTTTAGCCGAGCAATCTCTTCTCCGTATTTTCTCTTCTCTAAGCAATCGCACGCGGCGCGGTACTGAGCAGCAGCAGCAAAGTGGTGATGCTTTGCGTTCATGTGATGAATCCACGCGCTGCTGATGGCCTCGCTACTAACCGCGGCATCTGCAGCCAAGTTGTACAGGTCAGACACTCTTGCTGCCAGCTTCGCAATCGAGGCGTCCTTGTAGCCGTCCATGACGGCCTTCTGCCAGAAGCACTCTTGGCTCTGCGCCAGAAAGAGCTGCACGAGGGATTCAAGGGTGTTGTTGTCCATATCGTCGGGCGGGTCCGACATGCGCAGCTCGGGAAGCACGGCTTTCTGGACATGCGAGAGGACGCCTGCGGCCAGTGAGAAGTAGTTTGCTGCCGTCTTCAGACCCTCCGTGTCTCCTCGAGGCGTGTTGAGGGCAAGCTGGGAGTAAAGTGCGGCAAGATTGTAGAGAATGTTCATCAGTTCGTATTTGAGGTTGTTGCGCGCCATCGGCCGCTCGGTGTGATAGCCAAGAGCGGGATACCAGGTGAATTCGGCACCAATCTAGATGATTCAAATAGTCAGTACCTGGAGCATAGCACAGCACAGAATCTTCCCCTCGTCTCTGCCTCTTCCCGTGCCGTGTTTCACAGAAAAAAACAGTTCGCATAGCGACAGTGACGCACGTCGATTGGAAACTTGCCGCCTATCCACACGAGCTGTCCCGCATAGACCTGGAGCTTCTTGATGCCGCTCAGATGCGGCTCTCGCACATTGGTGGCGTCTCGCCGCAGCGCGTCAATCATCTCCAGATCGTGCTGGAACATGTCCGGGTGCTGGTCATATTTGGTGTTTATGTACTGCCGGATCGTCGTCGAGAGAGAGAGCTGCAAAGACCGGCGGAACGGGATGCTCAGGATGTTGTTGGATGGGCTGCGTTGCAAGAGCTGTTAGCACAACGCTCGAGGCAGAGAATAGGCAGACGCGGGATATGACATACGTAGACATGGTGGGCGCCGGGCCGCCGTCGAGAAGACAGACTTTTTGGGGACTGCGAATGGCGAATGTTGTAGAAAGGAAGCGCCAAAGCCATCATGACATAATAAAGGCTTGATGTTGGATCTTTTGCTGGTTGGCGGGGCATCTGCCGGACACCCATCGAGGGGCGTGGATGACTCAGCAATGCTCTTGGCGATGGCCATTATGAACGACAGTACAGTTAGCTAGTAATTACTACTAGTAGGTAGTAGCTATACCCTGCACTTGGACACTGAATGATATAGTGTCACGACACGAGCCTGCATCATTGAATGTATAGTGTATCATTGTCTATGTTTCTCCATTTATCAGGAGTATTCGGGTCTATAATATGGCCGGGTTGCCTCCTTCCGGCCACTCAGTAGCCCCAAAGCCATCTTGCATCATATAAGTCAAAGCGATGCGGCGCTGCACTAGGCCGACATCACCAAAGCCAACAAAATCTACATGACATACATCCCAAACCCATGCTCCGAGATGAAGAAAGAAGAAAAATAAAAGAAACAAGTACAAAACAAGAAGTTGAAGCACACAAAGCCGGTTCAAAAGAGAAACATAGCTTCATCCGCTTTGGCCACCTAAGTAGACAGAGGAAAGCTCCGAGTACCTAGCTACCGCATAAAGCCTGAGTGTTTGCTCCGTGTCCCGCGACTAGACCCTGGTTCCCGGTTCTATTACACGAGATACAAGTAGAAGATGATATCCAGCCCATTTCCGGAACGCCAGCCCTTGGGGAAAAGAAAAAAGTAGAAAAAGGAAGAAAAAGAAGATGCAAGCTTTCAAATGATTGCGTTTAGGAGGGCTTCAAGTTCACCGATTGGCCTTATAACGGTCACTTTTCTTCGCCGCCTGTCTTCAATGCGCTGCGCTATGAAGGCCCTCTCTCTGTTGGGAAAAGAAAGTGGCCTACAGTCATGTTGTACTGGTAGGTAGCACAGCTCACCAGAGTGAGCATAAATGGTGACATTCGGAGGAGATTTAAAAAGGAGCCCGCCTCCAGATCTGTTTCAACGTTGCCAGTCTCGCCTCCAGACATGAAGAATTATTTGGAGGTAGTGCCAATCATCATGGGGTGTACAATGTTGCATCGAGTCAGAATTTCCGTCTTATGATGGGATCCAAACAAGCTCAATGACACCATCGATATTGCTCATCGGCTGTTTGTCGGCGTGGACCCATCTCTCGTCATCCCTCTTGCGCGTGTATGTTTGCAGCACGGAACCATCCGACTGGACTTCAGACTCTTGAAGCTCCCAGGAGATCTTGCGGCCCGTCTTCAGCAGTGACTGTCGGCGCGGTCCAAACATGAAATCAAGGTTCCAGCCCTTGTTTTCCGGCGCCGCGTACAGAGTAGCTTCCATTTGGTTGGTGTCAAAGGTGATGCCCTTTGGGTAGTGAGAGATGGAGTAGCCCGAGATGATAAAGTCGTCGGTCGTTTGGAAGCGCATCAGAGAGCAATCTTCGCCACAAGCATGGGCAATCTTGGTGTACTGGCCAGGCTTGGCAGTGTGCCAACCTCCACCGCGGTAGTGGTGCAGCGAAAGCGGCTTGATTCCCCATTCGTAGAAGCCGCTGGGATGGCCGAAGAAATCGAGCTGCCAGAGGTCCCAGAGAGTGGTCAAACGGACCTCTGTATTCTCGTAGATGCACTTGCGCAGGATAATGTCTCCCTGAGGACCCCAGCCAGAGTTGGACTCGAGGATTTTTGCTTGCGTGGTGCAGCTGCCGTATAAGCTGGTGATTTTCTCAGCCATGGACCGAGACAGGAAAACTCCGGCACCTCCAAAGGCTTGTGAGCCGTGGCGCTCAATGGCGCCCACGTCCTCGGACAAGGTGCCAATATACATGTCTCTGGTATGGTCGAAAGTAGCCATCTTCTCAATGAGGCCGTGCATGTTGGGGAAGAAGGTGTCATCGTCGCAAGTCACCAACCACTTCTTGTTTGCCGCGTCAGGGTGGGTGTAGAGCGTCGGCACGAGATTCAAATAGCGGACAGCCATCTCGACGGAGGAATTGGAGTGATAGACGTCGACGTCAATGCCGACATCGCCCAGCATGTTGGCCACTTCTTGAAGCTGGTCGTCGGTAGCGTCGAGAAGCATGAGAAGCAGCTTGCCGCCGTTGGAGTTGCCGTGATTGTCGGTGAGCCAAAAGATCCACTCGTTGATGGGCGTCGTGTTTGGATCCAAGAAGCGTTTGTAGGTGGTCGAGACACCAAACATGAACTGGGAGGCGTCGACGCTGCGAGGGTAGCCAGAGGCAGGGACCTCGACTTCCAAGGGGGCGGCACAGACATCGCCTCCGCCTAGCCGTTTCCCCAGCTCAATGGTCCGGAAGCTATCGGGCAGCAGCTTTTGTGAAAGCTTGGTCATTCGCTTGCGCTCCAGGCCATCCTTGCGGGTGAATCGGACATAGCGCTTCATGTACTGGAATCTATCTTCAAGCTGGTAGCGGTCTTTGATTTGCTTGAGGTGGTCTAGGTCAGCGTTGCAGTTCATCTTGACGCTGACCTTGGGAGCACTGGACTGCTCGGTGGTCTTGTTTTCGAGAGGCTGCTGGTTCTTGGCGTGCGAATCTGCTTCTGTCCTTACGCCAGCTTGCTCGAGGATCTTGGAACTGACGTGGAGGCTGTCGTTGCGCAGGGTGGCCATGAGAATAAAGAAAACGCACAAGGCGCCCAATATCGACCGGACGATTGGACTCTTCATGGTGATAACTCGATGGGGGCCCGGCAGCAGTTTGGCGCCCATGCTAGAAAGATCAGGATAAGTCGAGGATTGTATTCTGGCGCAAGATGTGGACTAGGAGGCCCGTGTTTGGCGCGAAATCCAGCAAACAAGGCGTTGCTTCTGGTGCAAGAGCCTCTTCTCAGATATGGCTCAGGAGCGGGTGAAGTCGTGCTGAGAGTTGCGAGTCGACCTGTGGGTGATACGAAGCGAGTGTAAAGTGTAATGAACGGTGGTAAATGAGCAGGTGGGAAAGGCGTAGGCGAGCCGACGATGCAAACGAGGCTCCGCGGCTTGCGAAAAGAGGCGTAGGGTAAAAGAGTGACACAATCAAGCCGGTCCGAGGGAGCTTGGTTCGAGTTGGGGAACAAGAGGAGAAGCAAGCAAACACGCAAACAGCCGCCGCAAGCCAAATCCTACATAGGACGATCACGATCCAGCAGACTCGACTGCGAGTGATCAGCGAGGGACAGAGGGAATGGCGAGGATGGAAGAGGAGAGAATAGAGAATGAAGAAACGAGTTGACGAAGAAGTGAAGAGAAGAGGAGTGGAAAACGATCTGGTGCCACAACTGGCATGGGAGCTCAAGCCATAAGGCAGGAGACGGTGGCCAGGCCGGAGTAGCAAAGCGAGTCAAAGGAATTGCCAGTCTGGTGCAAAAAGAGGGTCCGCTGAGGGTGGAATTGCGGCAGGGATTCTGGCTTGTCATTGAGGTGGGTGTGGATGGATGGATGGGATGGGGATGGAAGATTTTGGTGGGGGCCTGTTTGGGGCCTGGACATGGGCGGAGGGCCAGCTGAGATACGAGGCACAAAGGTAGAGGGACTTGGGGGCTGCAGCTGCAGCGGGAATGATACGGAGCCGTGCTGGGCTGTAGGTACAGGTACTTTGCATCAAGCCTCAGCAGGCGTACTCCGTCTGGGACTGTCTGTGACACTGTGCTTTCATTTTCCATGTCGAGCTGCAGCACATACTGTATATACTGTACCTGGATTTACTGCGCACTCCAGAGTGCTGCTGCAGGTGGTGAGATGCAGGTAAGCCAGCTGAAGTGGTGCATTGTCCATTGGGTTTTTGCAGAAACAGTTTGCGAGCTGTGCCAAGTTCACTGCCCGTCCGGTCCTGGGAATATTGTAAGTACTGCCTACATGTAATGACGCTGCATAGGTGTTGATGCTGGTTTCTGTAGATAATGTCTAAGGTAGCTTTGAGTGTACCTGGTCACTTGCTATAGTACTCTTCAGCCTCGTATATCGCACTGGCCTTATCGTACAAGCATGTAAGTACGGTAGTAGTATGTATGGTAAATATGTATGTCCTCGCTTTAGCTCTCCACATCCGGGCTTCTGGAATTTCTTAAGCCAGCCTCGCTTGTGTGGCTTGGCCCGCCGAGACTTGATGATGAGAGCACGGGCCGAATGTTTGTTTGCATCAAGCTTTTTGCCTGCGCCATTGCTCGGTGTAAAGTGCGCAACCCAGAGTTGAACTTGCTAGGTGGCCGTTATATCCAATTATTTGCTGACCACTGAGATAGGCATATCCAACATAAACAGATCAATAATAAGAGAGAATGGCCACTACACCGCTGAGATACACTCCGTCTAGGGCTAGCATGGCCATCAAAAATACTCACCTGCCATATCCATCAGCGATGCTACGCGCCCGGAGCACAGTGCCCGGAATCAGGGGCAGCAGTTGTTCGTCTGCTCTGCCAGCGTCCGCCAGCTGGTTTTCTCCTTCTCCTTCTTCTTCTTCTTCTTCTTCTTCTTGTATCTGCGCACAGCTAAACACTCCTGGCTCTACTATCACGTGCTCGTTGTTGCTCTTCGACATCTCCTACTGCACCTTTATCCCTTCTTCTCGACTATTTCGAACACAGCCTTGCTATCACGCCTGTGGATCCCTCTCTTTCCACCATGTGCCAGCTAAAACCCCCTGGGCGGCCGTTGATCGCTGGGTCCCCGCGGGCAATGCCCGTAAATCCATGCCAAGAGCGGGACGGTTGGACGGGGTCTCATTTCGTCAGAGCTCGCATCGAGCAACTCCTGAGCTCCCTGGCGCAGGACTGATACTGTGCGAAAAGGTACGTGTACGACATGTACGACAATCTGAAGCTCTGAAGCTCACTACTATAGTACATACTGACCGGCGCGCTAGTCTCTGTACCTGCAGACACAGTTGCTCTGCCTCGTTGACCGCTGAACAGCAGACGAGGCCTGCGTTGATAGGCGAGCAGGCGGATGCAGGGGCCAAGATTACAGCTGCATGAAGCATCTCGTCTCCTGCCTATCAGCCATCTTGACGTGATGTCGAGGCTGAGATGGCTGAGATGGCTGGTGCGAGATATGCTGTCCGCATGGCGTATGGAAACTTGCTTCGCCCTGCGTCAACGCCGCAAGCCTAAGCCAAGCCAAAGCCAAGCCAAGCCAAGCCAAAGCCAAAGCCAAAGCCAAAGCCAAAACCATGCTTCTTGAAATTTGCGTTGCAGCATCGTGCTAAAACGACAGCAGAAGCAGCCAAGCCGCACTTTTCGCCCGCTCGTTGCAGCTGCTCACCAACCGTCTCCCCCTGAGTTATTAATCCTGCTCTCTTGCCCTCCATCTCCATACAGTGTCTCTGTTGATATTACGCATTGCTCCGATCGCCGCCATCCTGTAACGCTCGAGGCGGCGCGATGCAGAATCAGAAACGGGGCGCGCGATAAAAAAGCCAAGTTTTGGACCCTGCCTTGTCTGGCGGGGCTGCGGATCCAAGCCACGATCCACTGAAGAACAGCAAAACAGACTTTTCCTCTCTTTGCACGTCATTGGCGTCTCTCATTTGCCTTGTGCGGTTGAAGGATCGGCGAGAGAGCCGCGCAATCTGCGCTGAGGCATTGACTCAGGGGGAGATACTTTGCCAAGGGAGCGTGCAGAACCGATTGGAGGGAGGTTCACGGAGAGATGGAAGCGTTCGTTTTTCGTCGCGAATGCGGTCCAAGATTGAGGTTGGGGCTAGAACCTCGAGATTGGAAATGGACGTTGGCCGTGACAGGGCTGTTGAAGCTAAAAGTTGACGACAGGGGCAGCACTTTTGATTTCTCCCCATCTGTGATACCACAATGCAGCAGCCTGCCTGCTACTAATGCCAGTGCGACAGCAATCGTTTGCCCGAATGCTGATTAGGGTGTCGAATATTACCGCCTTCTTGGTTCATCGAAAGGAGACGCCGAGTGCGCTACGACGACAGTGGAAACTGTACCTACACCTAACAGTACTGTACCGTATTGCTCCTGGTATCCACAGACAGGGGCGGCTGGTTAAGCATCAGCCAAGGCCGGCTTAAGCGTTGCGATCTACGTTTCCAGTGCTTGCCAAGAATCAATCTGCCGCCTGGCTCAGTTAGACTTGGCTTTCGGAGATCCTGGTCGTGCTACCGTTCTCCGTAGAGGCCACAGGGTTTGCCAAGGAAGTGGATTGCAGCCCACAACAGTGCCGAACTGCAATGTCGTCCCTGACTTCGGTAGGCAGGCCAAACCAGCAATCTTGTCAAGCTTGTGTCCGTCTACTAGTTCGCCCGAGGCTGTCGAACCGAGCATCTTGGCCGTTGGACGCCACAAAGGGCGCTTCTCAGATTGCAGCCATTCTCTCTCCATCAGACCGCAGGCTCCCTGCGACGGCTCCAGACTGCTGACAGCATTGCAAATCTTGCCCAAAAGGATGGCGGCATCGAAAAGCATATTTGGCACTAGGTTGCGCAACGCCCGCTACCACCAACGGTGGCCTAATACTTGATAATGTCAATGGTCTTTGTTAGTATTTGATGGTGTTTGATGGTTGCCATCAAATACTACCTCCCGGTTGGGGCACTGTTTACAGTACTCACATACAACAAGCAGCGCCGCATGCTATTGGTGGCGCTTCCGTTCATCACAGGGTGCAACGTTGGCGATGTGCGGGTCGGCGCCCTCAAGTCCAAACATGTTTCACTGCCCAGCGAATCGTGTGATGATGCTGCACATAAATAATCAGCTGGCTGCCGTTCCCACATCGCCGTCACATTTCTGCGATTCCACATACTCGCTGTTACATCTACACAGTACAAACATACACAGTCGCAGCGTGCCGTGGCAAAACATGTTGAAACTCGAAGAACTATTTAATCTCCCGACGCTCGGAGAAACAATGTTAAACGCATAACACGCTACCTAATCCTATTTTTAGCTACACTAACTCGACTCGGCGAGTGGCGACACTTTTGGATGTTTGAGATGTCAAATCTGGGTTTCGTATCGCTTCACCAACGTTCTTACCTGGTTGCATTCGCTTCATCTGTTCATCCAGAGCGTGATGAGGCAGCCACTCAGCATGCGCCTTTTATTGAAAGCGCTCAACGAGCGGCGGTTTATTAGCCACAGCTCCACTCGCTTCTTAACTTCTTCTCCATGGACGCGCGTATGCAAAGTGGGGTTCTTTAAAGCACATATGATGACTACTATCAATGGAATACGTGAGTCTATGGGCAACGCCTTTATCTTCGCAGCCACCTTGGAGCTTGATAAGAACTCGGATCAAAGGGCACTCGAACTGGCCAGATGACAATATCTAATCGCTTATTGCTCAAAAATTGAGGGTCACCAGGCGTGTTTTCCCAATACAAATGCAGAGCTTGGCAGTAGACTTGGCGCAGAGAGCTGCAGTTGAGGGAGCTGGACGTACGTAAGTATTCGATACTGACTAAATGTTGGCCATTGCTTGATGTGCTGCAGAGAGCTAGCTGCACGCTGACGGGCCAGAGGCGGTAATGCGACCAGCTCTCAATGGTTGGATTGGTGTCTTTATGTGCGTGGCGGTGGCTAGATTTTTAATCGAGCATCAATTACCTTGGCCAGTCAATCCGTCGCATCAAGTTTCTTTAAGACAGCGCGCAGATATCCGCGGTTTACATTTGGCCACCGGGTGTCGGCTTAATCGCAGCCAAACATGACGCCTATCGCTACGCATTATATATACACATGTGCGTTTGGCCAGGTAAGTTCCTCATGGCTCCCTGCGCGCAAAATGCAGGGAGTAGCTTCCTGCAAAGCTTAGATGGCTGCTTCATCAAATCGGAATCCATGAATGTGCATCCACCTACGCGGCTACCAAAATCTATTCAGCTTCACATAGGACGGCCAATGTGATGCTGGCGCTTACATTTGGGCAGCCAAACAGCGTGACGCTTTTTCTTCTTCTATTCTAGTCAAGAGCCAAGCGGCTTGGCATCTGCAATATGACCAGCCTTCCCCTCATTCTTGACATTCAATATGCAGATTCTTAGAGATAGTGCACGCCTCGTGATGCATACCTTTTAAGCTTAGTTGGCATATTACCAGGGACTGAAGAGAGCGCACTTTTTAAAGTTACACGAATTTGATATGCTCGGCGATAGATTTTGGCGCCGATGGCTTCGTTCATACACTTTTTTCCGATATTGAGACGAAGCAGCCTCTTGGGAAGTTTTGTGGACAGCGTAGTGAATAGCATGGTGATGAACAGACGCTCTTGTCAATGACGAAAAGAGAAGTAGCTGCTTTAGTCAATGCGTTGCCGCCAAAGCTTCTAATTATGTAAAGGAGCATATAATGCTCCTCTGTTTCAGAAGGGAGGCTAGAAATACATATTCCTAGTAGTACCCAGGAAGTAGCAAGTGACTAGCAAGTATGGCCTCGCATGAAAGAATCGCATGAATATATCCACTTGATCTTATCATCGCCTTTTCTGTAACAACCTAGCCAGGGCAATCCCAAGTTATAAAGCTCTGATTTTCATCTTTAGGTTGCTTAGTTTAATAGCAAATGCTCTCTAGCCAAACTGCCTGCGAACAACAGCATCAACTAGCATCGTCATGAGCAATACCGATGAGGATTTGCCTCCAGACTATGGAGCTGAAGATCAGATTATGCTGCTCCCTCCGCCCTACCACCGTCGGCACGATGATCCTACTGCTCGGAATGACGGGGTTATAAGATTGAACAACATTCTTCCGGGGTCTGGAAAAGCGTCTAGCACGATATCGAAGTACTGGAGGTGGATCGCTGAAGAAGTGGCGTCGTCGACGGAGCGTCACAGAAAGAGTAAGTCTATCTGTCTATATATGGCGTTTAGGTTCTATCTAACGTTGGCGTGTTAGATTCAGACATGTGTTTTGGGGCTTGCTGTCGCGGCTGATGCAGGTCTCGACCTACGGGTACCGTTTATAAGAGAGCATTTTTCCTTTGATGTAGATTTGGAAGATGAGAGGGTTATTCGCGCACGCATGGGTCATTTTCGGAGAGGGTATTGGGATACGATGGATATAGTATGTTGGAGCTGGAGTAGTTGTTGATGTAATTCCAGGCTTTGTAGTGCACAGTCTTGTGAATGGTGATACGTGCTGCAGCGGGCATTCGCAGCCGAGTCAACTGAATGACTTCGTGTTGCAGCCTTCAATGTCCTTTCTTCCTTCCAATCTCCCTCTCACACGTCAATCAGCGGCTTCGCTCCTCTACAGGAATTCCATCATCGTCTTGCTGGCAACTGACGGCACGAAGAGAGCAACCCTAAGACTTCCACATCTTCTCAACGTCGCCCGCATATTCGACAATGTCGCTCGGCTCAAGCGTACTCCATTTCGCCTCATGCTCCACGGCGTCAATGAAGTGCTTGAGCGCAAGCACCGTCTGGCCCGCCCACTTGGCCGGGCTCACGCCCCCAACGCCCGTGGCCATGGGGACCATGAGCAGGCTGTGAATCTCATCCTGCTGCTGCTGCTGCTGCTCGCGCGCGCCGGCCCTGCGCACACTGCGGTTGTGCTTGTCCACGGCGCACAGCAGGCTCCAGGTGCACTCGTAGACAACCTCGCGGTCCCATTCGACGTTTGACGGCACGCGCATCAGCGGACACAGCGCCAGGTACTTTGTGCCCCAGGCGTTGCGCGAGCGCTGGTGGAACTCGTCCGGAATGCGCAGCAGCGTGCAGGTGCCCGGGGGCGCAAAGCCGCGCCAGTCGTCGTACAGCCTCGCCTGGACGGCTCTGGTGAGGGCGAGGTAGTCGTCGCGCGGCGAGAAGGAGCGCGAGATTGCGTCGTCGAAGCCGCCGTCCAGCCGGCCGTACGAGTTTGCCGGCGACACGATGAGGTCGAACCGGGCCTCGACAAAGGACAGCGCGCAGTTGTGGTAGGTGATTGCGAGGGACGAGAGGCCGTGGGATGCGAGGGCGGCGTGCAGGGCGGCGCTGTGGGCGTCGTTGATGCACAGCATGTGGATGTGCGGGATGGGCGCCGTGTTTGGCTGGGATGGCGGCATGATGGCGGTTGCTGTGGTCTGTCTGGTCAAGGCATCTAATGCAAGATTTGTACTGGAATCTATATATTCGATTATCTCGTCTGCGTGGATTGGTGTTGGCGTTGGTGTTGAAGCTGTTCTCACATGATTGTTGGAGCGGATTACATAAAGCTGGGGCTAACGACGTGATCCCAGTCTCAATAACATTTAGCCAAACGCACGAACACCCCGGCGAGACGAGAGCTGTTTTACATACGAAGACCGGAAAAGAGCATTGATGGCGAGCACTATCAAGGCTTCAATCGTTCTTCTCAGCAGGGCAGATCAACGGGCCATGATAACTTTCCTTCGGTATGGGGATCCATCGCGGGATAACTATTGGCAGCCTGAAATATCGCCTCTAATAAGTTCTTTGCGGGGTTCTGATGCGGCGGGACATTGACTGTATAGTAATCCAGTGGCGTTTCCATAAACTCATTGAAAATTACCTTGAGGTAATCACCGGCGAGTAAATTAAGCTCACCGGAAGTTTTAACATTGCACCTACACCATAAAAGATGACATGGGGCTCTTCTCCATCAAAAGAGAGCAACTGTCAGTTACACAAGTTACCGCAATGTCTTCATTTCAGCTGTTCTCTCTACTGCCCGCAGAAATCCGCTGTAGAATATATAATTTTGCCGCACCGCCTCGGGTCGTCCATCTTCATCAACAAGTCGAGAGTTTTGAAGATTTCGAAAAGAGACTGCCGCACATAACAGTCGCGGAGCGTAATCTGGGCCCAGATGTTGTTTACTCTTCATTCTATCATCATCTTCTGGAAGCATCAGCCATTCTTCGTCGTCAAAGACGATCATTCTTCAAGCAAACCAAGCTCGAAGCATACGGATTCAAACAAGCGGGCACAATTCTCTTGGGAGTTTGAATCCATCGTTCCATTTGATGTCTTGATGCAAACCCCCACATTGGCATTTCCCCTGTATCAAAGAGCCACCATCTCCTGCCACGCAGCCATTCCACCGCTTCTCCATACTTGCTCCGAGTCACGGTCATATCTCATCCGGTATGGGTATCAGCTTGCGTTTCCTTCCACGGCTCAGGGCCCACAGACGTGGTTTCATTTTGAGCAAGATACACTGCTACTTGACGACGATTTTGAGAGGCCGGAAGAGAAGAAAATTGCAAGAATCCCATATACTCCTCATCATTTCAGACCTCAAGATATAAGTCGCGTTCAGCGACTGGCATTGGCCGTACCTACCCACTCTAGTCCTATATTTCTTGGGCACAAGCTCAACCCGGAGCTCAAAGAACTCACACTCGTCGAGTGGGGTTCTAGCGAGTCCGAGCAAGCACTGCGTCAGTCAATTGTTGACCCAGCTATGCTTCGCCCAGCACCAACCATCTCTCAAAATTATTACAAGGGAGAGCACTTGTGCATGCTACCAGTCGAGGAGACTGATTCTCTGTGGACTACATTGGAGCTGGAAGTGTTTGGGGTCCGGGAACACTGGTTTTATACAAACCCAGAAGACGCGAAACTACTCAAAAAGCATAAGCTTGACAATGGCTTCCACAGCCATTTCATGAAAGACAAGTTGGTTATGCTAAGAGAAGAATACGAGCAGCAGAAGGCGGACATTGAATATAGCAACAAGGATTATTACAATTATCCTTGGCTGCCATTGCAGAAACACGAGGAGTACCCACCGTGGAGCATTCATCAGATACGTTTTGCGCATATTTGCACACCATCCACTGCTGAGAGAATAAGGGAGAACCGTTCGAGATTCATGGAACAATTTACCAAGCTGGCAGCGGATGCAGCGCAAGAGGAAGATGGGTATGATCTCACGTGGACTAAGCAGCATCGTCTGCCACATCCCTTTGTCCTTCAGAGATACAGCAACTGGCCTGGGGTTGATGAATCACAGCATAGCATAGAATTAGAATGGTGGTTTAGGAGGGGGCTCCCTGTGATTGGTAGCTCGATCTAGACAGACACATATCTAGCCATATAATATTGAGTCGCTATGATCTACTAGACACCTCTGGACACAACCCTAAAAACAATTGCAATAAACGATTGATACCTACCTCAATGTCCTAACAAGCTACTTTAACTCTCCCTACTTGACATGGAAGATACGAAACGTAATCTACTTAGCCTTGTCTCTTAGTCACCGGATAATTTCTTTCGATGCCGATTAAAGTTGCATTGTACTTGAGAGCTTAAGTCTCCAAGGAAAGCGTCCATAACATGGCCTTTGATGGATAACTAAGGTATATAGCACTTGTATATATTTCACTTTTCATGACCTCTTATCAACATTAATTGACGCTATCAACGGTATCTGCCCCATGCTTGCTGTCCTCGGGCGCTTCGTATATCCAAGGCCCCCCCGTTTCATTTGGCTTGTCAAATCCTTTGTTATCATGTGCCTTCAGGCATGAGACTATGAGCTTCGAGTGATGGATGGCACTGCAAGCTCCGACAAACTTTATTTACACCCGGCTGGGCCGGTGATAAAAAGCGAACAAAGAAAAAAAAAAGATGCCTGGATCTTGAGTACAATCTAGGTAAAGTCGGATGGCTACTACCTTGGGTAATTGGCGGTTGGACAACATGGAGATTGCCCCAGACTTGAGCATCTGGTTACACGATGCTGATAAATGCATGCATTGGCTTGGCAATTGACGCTCATCTGAAAATGCACAGACAGCCGTCAAAGCGCAGGTGTATTTCCGTTGTGCGGCCTCTGCATGTCCTTGAATTCTGCTGCACAGTACGCTAGCTCTCGTCTTGAGCTCGCTGTAGCTGTCAGCCGTCCCTGGCCTAGCCTGTGCTGGTTTGGGCTGCCGTGGACTGGCCCGAGCGCGTGCAGCGGGTGGCGCGGCGTGGCGTCTGGGCTGGCGCTGCGGTGCCTCTCACATGTACCTGATCTCGGTCAGATTCCTTGGCCATCCGTGTTGTTAGTGCCATCGACCATCATATGGACATCAAATGTTAATTGCGCAGATGGCCTTAATCCCAGCCTACATGACTCAGACTTTGATATATCAGGCGTTAAAGCCTCAAGTCAGCATGAAGAAAATGCCAGTAATCCACTCATCCCACTGCCGACAAAAAAAAAAAGCCTTCTACATCAGGTGAGCCTTGCACATTGTGCAACTTGGGATACAAAAGTCGCATGGTGCATGTGATTATAGCAATAGCTAACTGAAAAAAGCTCAGTGGTACGACTGAGCCAGGTTCTAGTAGGATTATGCTAATTGCTCAAGCCAATCTCAAAAACTCTTGCTCACGAGCGAAAAATCTTCAAAAACATATGCTTCATATGGAGCACCCATGGGACATAGTTGCCATACAAGATCCCCCTCCTGGACTGCTGTGGTTGATGAAAGGTATCGACCGCACATATTCTCTCCAATACGGTACCAAGCGTCCTGCTACAGAAAACGATCATCCAATGCATTACGGTTATGACAAAGTATGTGGACTTATAGAGTTATGCAAATTCTGCCTTTGATACTTTCATGGATACTAATAATGTGATAGAAGCCTCCAGGCGAACTAAAGGCACAAGTTGCCTTTCTCATATCTCGTGAAATTCCTAGTACTGACTGGCGAGCTACGGATCCTAAATGGGCCGAAGGGATGCTAAGCTCTCTCTCCCTTCGCGGGCCGTTTGGGATCATACATGTTCATAACATGTATAGGAATAATCACCCAGCAGAAGAAAAGCTTGATATGGCCAGGCTTATTCAGGAATGCTGTTCCGGAGATAACGATTTGTTACTGGGCGATTTCAACCTGCATCATAAACTATGGGCCGGTCTGGATTTGCCACCGAACAAAGTGTGCTCAGATTCCAAATTGCTGGCAGAGAAGACGGAAGAGTTTGGAGTGAAGCTCATCACAGAACGAGGTGCGATTACTTACACTCGCTCTGAAGAAAATCAGTCTACAATCAGATCAACCTTGGACCTTGCCTTTATTAGCAGGCAATTGCATCCTCAACTGATTGACTGGGAGGTCTTAAAGGTCTCTGGATTTGGATCTGATCATCGAATTTGTCAGACTCGTTTGAAAACAATCCCAAATCGAAGACTCGGTGCACGGTTTCAATGGGACAAGACGAATATATGTCAACTTCGTCAGATGGTCGAAAAAGGCCTAGGGAAATTACACCCTAAAAATGTGACAACCACGGACGAGACTGAATTGGCAACCGGGGAAGAGGTCGACTTGCGAACCACAGACGGCATCGACTCCTATGTTCAACATATTAACCAAACCCTAACGAAAGCTATAGATCACTTGGTCCCAAAGAGATATCCTTGCAAGTTAGCTTCGACTTACAAGCATCAGCCTCAGCAAGAACCCAAATCGTTCAGGGAAGCTATATCATCTACGGATAGCCATCAGGCTGCGTTGCGATGGTCCAAAGCGGCCCAGCTAATGGCTAAATCTGCGGGTCTTCCATATTGCCCAGACTTCCAATACAATGGCAAGTGCGCAAAAGATGGCCTGGAAAAGAGCATCATGTATATGGATGCTATATATGGGCCTGGCAATACGTCGCAAACTTCGCCCATCAACCCCGACCTCCCCAACAATCTTGACTGCAGCGTGCCTTCCGAATGCAAGCTGGATGAGACTGACATTTTGTATGTCATTAAAGATTTGCCCAATCGAAAGTCTTCTGGAGTTGACATTATTGGAAATGAAGCTCTCAAGATGGTTGCCGATCTTGTTGCTCCGCATCTGAGAATACTCTGCGACGCTTGCATGAACAAGGGCTATTGCCCAGCTCACTTCAAGCGTTCCAAGACCATCTTTTTTTTAAAGCCAGCAAAGACAGCCGACAATCCAAAAGCTTACCGGCCGATTGCGCTCCTTTCTAGTATTGGCAAGATTTTCGAAAAGATCATGGTCAAGCACATCACAGACTTTGTTGCAGATTCCGCTTCAAAGAACAAGCCATTACTTCCACGGAAGCAGTTTGGAGCGCTAGCCGGCAGGTCAACAACGATGGCGCTGCAAGCTTTGACAAACTTTGTTTACACCGGCTGGGCCAGTAGTAACAAGCGAAAAGTGTCCTTGTTGGGTCTGGATATTTCCGGAGCTTTCCCTCGCGTCAACCGCCGTAAGCTTCTCAGGACCTTGGTCCAGAAGGGCCTGCCGGGCTACATTATCAAGTTTGTATGGTCCTTCCTTTGCGACCGCCAAACTGTTTTGGAATTACCCGGCCACTATCCTGTGGATTTCTATGAGAACAGTGGCCTTCCCCAGGGCAGCTCTTTATCCCCCATTCTCTTACTCTTCTTTGCAGCTCCGCTTCTTGACAATCCGAAAGCTTCATCTCTTTCCGGCCCATCTACCATGACTTTTGCCTTTGTCGACGACACATACATCATGGTGCGATCCAACTCGTGGGAGAAGAATTGCGAGAAAATAGCGCAAGTACACGACGTGCTCAATTCGTGGGCAGAAGAAAATGATGTCTCGTTTGCGCCCGAGAAGTACGGCCTGTTACACTTTCTTCCTCCCAACACAAAGCCAGGCAGTGTCAAGTGTGTGCCGAATATCGACAAGCTACCTCCTGCCGAGAAGCTCTTTGAAAGAGAATACCTAGACATCTTGGGTGTTCGAGTGGATACCAGGCTTTCATGGAAATATCACGTCGACTTGATTTTTGACAAAGTGGCCAGACATAGACGCTATTTGAAGTGCATTTCTGGTTCAATGTGGGGTCTCAGCCTGTTCAGAATGCGACAGCTCTATGTTTGTAAACTTCTGCCCATCATAGCGTATGGCTGCGCGGCATGGTTCTTTGATTACCAGGGGACAATTCGCCAGGGACATATCCTACAGCACTTAGTCAAGAAGCTAGACACGCTGCAAGGCGAGTTGCTTGTCCAAATATCTGGAGCGATGAAGAATACATCGAGGATTCTCCTACGAAAAGAGCTACACATTTACCCTCTTTCGCAATCCCTTCGAATAAAGGCAATTGCTCACCACGCAAAGGTCTATGACACTGATCATGCCAAAGAACTTCGCTTAATAAGAGAAAGAGCTGGCCTTGGTGCTCACAGGCTGAAAGCACATCCATTTACTCAACTCGACATATTGGCAGAGAGGTTGAGAAATATGGCCAAAGGTCTTCATCACAACGTCAAGGAAACAATGTCTGACATTTTGAACTTTCAGGCTTCTGCTGAGTGGGACCAGTATCGAAACAGCCATGTGCCATCCTCGCCTGAGAGCAAGGCTCTTACCCTTAGAGAACCTTGGAGCAAACGGAGTTTAAACTATTATAAAAAGGTCAACCGCAAGCAGAGTACCATGTTGCTGCACTGCAGAACGGGCTGGATCGGCCTGCGAAGCCATTTAAAACGGCTCAACCTCGAACAGTCAGACCGGTGCCCCCACTGCAACAATGGCCCGCATTGCGTCGAGCATCTGTTCATCCACTGCAAGCACAACAGTCTGGCACTGCCGCGGATGAGGCTGTTCCGCGAGGCCGGCACTAAGAACTTGGATGCAATTATTACAAGGCATCCGCAGCTGGCTGCTAATTTTGCCATTACCAACTTTGGCATTGAGCAATTCTCAGTAAACAGGAGCTGGAAGACTGCTGTTAAGCGCCCCTGCACAGATAGCGAGCCGCTGCCCCCTCGGAAAAAGCAGAGGACCCTTGCGACGGGAAGGAGTTGGACAACTAAAAAGGCATAATGGGAAGGGTTTCTGCATAATGTTGAAGACATAACTTGCACGATAGGGATACAGTGAGTAACAGTGCATATAGTAATATAAGCCTTATTTACCTTATTCCTCCTGGGTATGGAGAGATAAACTACCTATTATTGTGACTTATTATTGGACCTTTTTTTTGGTGTTTTATTGTTGTTGTTGTTGCAGTTGCCTTCCTCCATTACGTATTCGGTATGGTACGTCCAAATATTCATTCCTCTCTTCCATCTATTCTACGGACACAAAACTGTACTTTTAAGGCAGCATATGCTAATCTGACACTAAATGCCTTGTGTGGCATACAGATGACGTTGCTGATGAGATCATGTTCTTCACTGACTCGTTAAAGGTAAGAAATCCAATTAAATCTTTTTGGTTATTCCGAATCTTACTGAGATACACTTCAGAAGACCAAGTCAGGTTTTTAGCTGGCAGGTATTATTCTTATTGAAAATTATTATTCAAGCCTTACTAACAGCTTATTCTATAAACCAGCAGTCTTGTTCAACAGCTTTTTAATCCTCCTAGGCGGCTGGGGCGCTCTGGTGTTGCTTTTCTTGCCCTTTTGCCCATTGCACCATTGCTTCACTTCTCCGAATTTATCAATTTCAACCCGGTTGTCAGTTTGCTGCTGCAACTCTTCAATTTTAGCAGTCGTTGCCGTTGCTTTGTTATCTCCTCTAGCCATTGTTATCTGTATGTGGTAAGCTTACATGATTGACTATCTAGTCAATTGGAGCTGTGTTTTTGCTAACCCTGCCTACGGCTAGGAAGATCACAGTTAGTTGTGAGGTTATCCTGTAAGTGCATCTTCCTTATATATATATTTGAGATTTTATTAATACCATTTCGAGAAGCTGTTGCGAGGCTGCCTTACTGTATTGTGAGTGTTCCTATTTATGTTTTTGAAATGGATTCTCCTTTCTGAAAAGGTATGTTTGACTTCTTCTGGGTAAAGAAACGACTAAGTCTATACAAAGCGCTGATTGTTAAATAGCCCTTAGCTAACCTTTCAGGAAAAGGGATAGTGTAGGTAAGATATCAATGTTTCGTTCTGTAAAGATGATAGTCGACTTGGGATCTAATATAGAGCTTTTGTAGGTAAATCGCACACATGTTTTGTCTCCGATCTCTTAAGTGCTAATCTATATAGTTGAAGTCAGGGTTTTGTGCGTTGTAACAGGGCCTTGTCTATTTGATCGTGCCTGGCAGTTGGTGAGTAAACATATACAGCTCCTGCTTTCAAGAGTGAGAGTTTCTAACTTTACATCGACGAGTTCTATGAAGAAGGATTTCTTCCATCTTCCAAGGTAATTCCCACACTGCGATCTCATCGGAGCATCTGCTTACAAGATAAAGAAGGGATCATCAAGGGCTTTTATACCTGCGATTAAGCCTCGTTATCCCAGGGATATAGGACAATGAGCTAACAAGCTCAAGGCTGGCTTCCGTATAGGTGGCCTTATCATTGGTAAGCCTGGCTACATATTATACACCCTCTAAGCATCTTATTAATAGCTTTGTTACTAAGTTTAGCTCCAGCGTTGCGTTATTGAGTCACCGGCGAAGAACTCTATCTTCGGTGTGGAAACCTTATCTTGAACCTTATAAGTGATCTTGACGATCTGGCGTCGTTGGCGTCGTTGGACCCAACGAGGCTGAACATGGCGCTTTTTTTTTTTTGGATATCCTTATCCACCCAGTCATTGAACCAAGGGCTAGGTACAGTCCTCTTTTGCACCGGCCTTTACAGGTCTTTTGAACCTATACAACTGCATTAGAAATAAATCTCGATAAAGTGGCGGGTACCTCCGTCCATTTGCTGGTCCCCTCATGCAAAGAACTGTGATGTTTGGTGCCATGTACTACATGCATTCTTCTGTCTTACCCCAAAACAACATGAAGCTCCGCAAAACTCCACGTCGACGATTGGGCACTGTGATACTAACCTAATAATCTTTTTATGGCTCCACGTGATAAGGAGTCCCGCATTTCTAACTCAGCTCTCGATTGCACGGATGAGTCAAACGCTGCCTTTGTTCCAAACTCTAACTGAACACTACGGCGGCCTGAGCCAATGAGCCTGAGCCAACGCCATATATAATTGTCGGTGTGACCCCAGAACAAAAACAGTTTTTCATCCTTCTTTATTGTGCTGTCGTCGTAAGATACATTGTCGGAACATCATTTATTTGCAACACAAGTCATGTCTCCAAAGCTCTCTTTTCTTGATCTCCCCTTCGAGATTCGCCATGCGATCTACTTGCATTATGTCACTGTAGAACAAGGCTATGCGTTTAACTTGAAACAGGAAAACTGGCCGCTCTCGGAAGCGACAAAAAAATGAAGCCAATCGACCACGCTCTCAAGTTTACATGCAAAACAATCGCAGAAGAGATAATGGGCCTCGATTTCCAAGTGAATCCTATCAATTTTTCTACTGGCTACTCCGACCAATGGCGCGTCAATGCGGCTCGGTTCCACAATATGCAGGCTTATTTCACCTATGCGGCGGTCAGTATGCTACAAGGGCCCCGACCAACTCCGGAAAATGATGATGGCGATGGCAATGCGGACCAAAAAGATCCAAGGGAGAGTCAAGATGAGAACGTGATTGGCGAAATAGTCAGCGATGATACCCAGGACCACGACCAGGATCCTTATCCAGAACAAGCACAGGAACAAGACGAAGAAGATGACCAAGATGAAGATGAAGATGATGATGAAGATCAGGGCGAAGACCAGGATGAGGAGAACCCAAGCGAGCAAGTCCTCCTCCCTCCTTGCTGTACAGATGCCATAGTGGAAGAAGTAGCACAACGATATCCCGACTTTAAGCCCATCCTCGAAATGATCATGTCGGGCAGAGATATCACTACCCAAGGTCAACACTTTGGCTTAGTGCCAACATTTAAACGGCAAGCAGTTTTATATACGCTAGAGCTCGCATTGCAGCACGGGTCGATTCCAGAAGACTGGTATGACCATATGTTTCATCGCCCCAGGCAATTATTCGCCCTACAGAAACGTTTCCCTCCTTGGCTCTGTTGTCTAACCGAATATGAATTTTTCGATGTGATACGCCAGTCTGTCACTACTTGCTTTACTAAGAGGCAATATGAGGATTACTGGGACAAGCCTCATTTAAGCGGGTTCGGACGTCGCGAATATACGCAGGGCAAATATCGCTTCTCCGCAGCGGCGCTGGCTATAAGATTTCTTTCCAGGCTCTCTGTGGATTTGCGAATGCATTTGCGGAAGATTCGCTTGCATGAAGATTCGGTGAGCGTAGCTTATCCGGAAACACATGCTCAGGGGCTTATCAGATTTTGCATCGAAAACCCAAAACTTCGTATAGAACGTCGTCTTGATTTGTGGAGGAATGTTTTCCAATCTTTGCCATGTACAGATGAAGTGGAGTCCTTTGACTTCACATTGGAGAAGAGCTGGATAACTGACACCACCAATAGCGGCAGAGGCCCCGGATTGTGGTCTCTGACGCTTACAGACAAAGTTGCTCTCTGGATAATGGAAGCCTTGGCCCTTGTCCCACTCGGCATGCCCAAAGAATCTTTCACATTGGTCTTGGATGGAGGAGAGGCACCCGAACAATGTTCAGAGATTTTTCAGCAAATTGTCCAACGTGATGCTACATGGCAAGCCGCATGGGAAATGGTGGCAGCCAATGAGTTTGCCGAGGAATCTTTCTCAAACAAGAGGATTCATCACTGCTGTATGTATCTATGACTTATTTGCCAATATGCTTTTACGCTGACACATGTATTCATACAGACACGATGGACGGCTTTCCCGAAGCGATGCGAGACATGGAGAACGACCTCCACGGGTTCATCCAATGTACATTTGACCTGCGTCCAAATGTTTGGGATGTTGACAAAGAGACTGAAAAGTTCCGTCTTCTAACACTGCAACAATCTCATGCGATGCCTGTGGATCACCAAATGTTTTTCCAGCCGCCGGAACCGCTACCGAGTTGGCGAGATCTTCTTGCTGAGAATATACTGCCAGAATTCTTTGGTGAACAAGCAATCGTCGAAGGCGAGGTTGATTACGACCGATACTTGGAGGGCAGCGACGATGAGGAGTCAGAAAACCACGAGCTAGGGCCTAATGCAAGCGACGAAAATTATGCGAAGATCCTGAAACAGAGAGACGATCTGTTGATGGAACGGTTAGCCCAAGGCTTTATGTTTTTCAACCTCCCCGACCCCAGTTCCGACTCTGATGACGACGACGACGACGACGACGACGACGACTAAAAGTTACATTCGGTCGCTAGAAGCGAGTACTAATGAAGAATCGTTTTTCCCTTTCCTTATAATATTTCGGTGCTTCTGTCTTTGGGAGGGAGCGGCCAGTTAGCTATGCCAAAAATAGCGGTTTGCCAGTTTGTCTTTTCTTTTCTTTTCTTTTTAAATTGTCCTATAGAATTATCAGTTACGTTACTCATAATAAGCATTGCGTATCTTCGGCTTACGTGTGTTGATTGTTATCTCTTGTCTCATTGGAAAGGAATTTCTGGAGAATGCTTGTGCGCGCAACACACACGTCACCAAAAGGGTTGCCATGTTCGGGTCAACAATCGTTATTTCGTAAAGTGTAGTCTACTTAACAAAATCTACCGAAATCACCGGCTGTCAAATGAATGAAAAAGTTCTGCAGCACCCTAATTCTGTTATCCAGCACTCCAGCATTAGCACCAATCTATACGTGTACATGTAGGCTATCAGGTACTGCTGCTGCTACATTTTTGGTATTTTTGAAGGGTGTTTAGTAGTTATGTATTTTGATAGGCTGGTTGGCTGCTTTATTAAGCTACAGCTGGGGTGTCGAATAAAGAAATTGTGGTGCTGGATGACTTCTCCCTTTAAAAAAAATAAACCATTATGCGAGCCGTAGGGATCGAACCTACGCGGGCATGCCCATTGCGGATCAAGTTATCTCAGCTCAACGAACCAACCTAAACACAACGCCTTAACCACTCGGCCAGACTCGCGAATATTTTAATGGATTGTTAGAGATGAGTTTAAGAATAGATTCGAGTGGCCACACTTGCGAATTGAGATACACTAATACTATCATAATGCGTCCTCTGCATTTGATGTAAGTAGATTCACGCCAATTATCATGAGGAGTCGTAATTACGGTAGTCAATAATACAACAGAGTTATATAAAACTGGGATCCGATATATTGACTATAGGAGAAAATATATACTCAAACGAGCAATGCATGCTCTTGTCTTTCAACTAGCGCAAGCACCCTAACAGTTCCAGAATTGCTCCATTCTGAATAACAACAATCTCTCGCCTTTTGCGTCTTTTCCCAATCTATCTTCCCTTTTTTTTTGGCGTTGTAGCTTTACCATTCAGTTGATCTTTTAACCGGTGTAACTGCAGGTAACACCGCTGCTGCTGGCAGAGCAGTCAGTCAGGACCTTGCCCGACTGGCTCTCGATATCAATGATGGTCGAGCCGCTGGGCGTGATGGTGCCAGAGGAGCCAGAGGCAGTGGCGTTGGAGAAGGTGACCTTGCCAAAGTTGGCAAAGGGAACGAGCTGGCTGCCCTCCTCAAAGTCCTCGACGATCCACTCGGCGTTGGTCTCGCAAAGGGTCGAGGGCGTGTTGGTGAAGGTGTGGGAGACGGACTTTCCGGTGGTCAGGTTCTCAAGAGTGGCAACGCCGGTGGTCTTGGACGAGGCATCGACAGTCATGCGGATCTCGTCGCCAACCTTGAGGGAGAAGCCGGAGAAGCTGTAGGAGTAGTCGGGAATCCACTCGTACCAAGCGTCGAAGCTGCCATCACCGTAGAAAGAGACACCAGTCTGGAGAATGGCACTCTGGCAGGTGTCACCGTCAATTCCTACCCATGCCGAGGCAGCAGCGTTGGAGCCACCCGAAGCACGGGGGACTGTGATCGTGCCGGTGACCTTGGTGAAGCCCTTGCCGATCTGGACGGCGCCGGCCCAGTTGGAGGAGTACTGGGGGTACTTTGTGTTCCTCTGGTTGGGAAGAGAGTGGGCGCCGTTGCGGCGGCCGTACTTGGGGGAGACGTTTGAGGGGGCGGCGGCGGCAAGGCCAGCGGCGGCGAGAAGAACGGTGGAGTACTTCATGATGGGTGGTGATGGAGGAGATGTGCGACTCTTTCTAATGGAGATTAAGCTTGGCTTTGGAGCTGAGTGCTGAGGAGAAGAGGATATTTGCTCACGGCATCCGGCCGACCTTTTATATATCTCGAGTCTTCAATGCCAAGGCTGGTAACCGGCACATCTACCCATCCTCCCTAAAACACCACGGGTTTGCATGATGCTTGGTTTCACGGATCACTTTCTTCGAAATGGAAGGAGGTTGTCGAAAAACAATGCCCAATGTCTTTGCCAAGCTCAACTCGTGGCTCTACTTCCTCTTCCAGCAACTCACGAGCGTGCAGAGTGGTAGCATACCTCCTCTACCACTGCAAGCCAAGACACCGGAGGTTAATCGAAGCCATCTCCAGTTGTTATCTAGCTCACATGCTTGCCCAAAAAGGTCCAACACGAGATTGGCCTTTGCAGTTAACGGAGGCAGCAGAGATATGGACTCAGAAGCTGATAGGCAGGCTGCTGCTACTCTGGCAGCAAACTTGAGATAGCATCAAAAAGCAGGCTTCAAAAGATCCAAAGACGACAGCCCTCACCTTCCTGATTTGCTTTCATCCGTGATGGCATCAAGGAGTTTAAGATCCGCTTCGAAGCTACACCATCAGCCTTCAACCTTCTTTTTAGCGCCTCCTGGCCAAACAAGCCGCATATGCCTTTAACCAAGCTTACTATCCAGAGTTATTCACCCCTGGCAGAGTCGGATAATTCGGATCTAGTGCCCAGACTTTAAGGTGGTGCTAGTACTCATATGTCCGATGGCCAGCCAAGGGCGTGAAGAATGAATACTCGGATGATAGAGACTTCTCAAACAATCAGCACACGGCTCTCAGAATCATGAATCGCCACAGCGCTGGGATTTGCTATCCAACTGGTAAACCGTCGTTTATGTTTCCAGTTTATGTGTGTATTTTTCTTTTGCGAGTACCTTCTTCTCCCTCGTAGCAATTGCCAGCCTCTTGTCATCGGTCCATCGCTATGCGAGGTACAAACGCCAAACTGCAACTCGAGAACTGATATGAGCTGCCCCTCCAACTCATATGCCATGTAGCCAGCACTAGCACAAATGCGTTATAACTCGCCCCCCCAAAGCGCCAAGCGGAGATGGCTTCCCGCTATCCGTAGATCGTGTCTCAACAGGGCCAAACGAGCTATACAAAAATGGTAGGTGGCTGCACACTGCGGGGCGTGAAGCTGGACTTGCCAGAGCGCCAAGGAGAAAGCCTTCATAAAGGCGATTAGTACGCTCGGCAGCGGTTCTGGAAGGTAGTATTGGTCCCGGCACTGAGATGCCGATTTGTTTGTAGATAGCCTCAAAGGAGTAAACTAGTTGGGCACTTTCAACGATAAACTGGAACATTTGAAGAAGGGAAGTGGAAGAGAAAAGAAACAGTGGAATCCTGTTTCGCGAAAAGGCGTCGGCTTGACTTCTCCCGAGCAGCCTTGGTGGAGCGCGTTCTTGAATTGGCTCTTTATGGCATGAACAGACATCTTCGGGCGGCTCCGGACGCATCCTCTTTAGAATGTTCTAAAGCGTTATTTATCAGCCAAGTTACTAGATACAGAACTCATTGGGTATCAAACTTGAGAACTGGATAGACTCCTGCGTCCCAGCAAGCCCAGCCTTGTCAGGTCTCTCATTACTGATGAACTATATTCGTATACATGCACTGTGGAACTAGAATCAGAACGCAAAGTATTCGCGCACAGCAGCGAAAAGACGAGTAGAATTCGTCAGGTAGACGGCTTAGCTACAGACTCACCTCAGGCATAACAACCGAGGAAGAAAGCTACAGGCTGGCTTTGTGCAGGGCCCTTTTGCATAGTGTCGGGGATCAATCCCCCCAATGGGAGTAGGCAGAGCAGCTAAAGCCACGGCATGAGAGCAGGCTGCTCCTTTCAGTGTTTCATGCTTTATTTTCGTTTTGCGCCTAAGCCGCCGCGGCTATTGTGTCCTGGTCGTAGTCGCGGTGGCGGTTCAAGTCGCGTTACGTTTAGAAATATTCTAGCATGGGATTCAAGTGCGACCATATATGGCGCTACGGAGCTATTTACGCTCCAGCTATGCATAAAATGGTTAAAACGAAGCTGGGGCCCTACCCGAGGCTCATCAGCACTATAATTGCAAATGCCTCTTTGGCCGACAAACTTGGTGTTGCTTTTGCAAAGAAGCAATGAAGGCAGAGTATTAGTAGTAATTGTACTACTCATAGTCGTAGCCGGGCTAAATGGAGGAAATGCCAGTTTGGACTGTTCTGTCGTATCCCCGCCCTTTCTTGACCATTTCGTAAATCCCCGCTGTGAGCTCTCCGCACTGGGTTTAATCGCTGACATGTGATCTTGCCATGAGCTGTGTAGCGAGCCGGGCTCATCTTGCGATGATCTGAGAGACAAAAATTATTAAAATTGCAATTTCACGATGCTGGTGTAAACAGTGTTATTGAATACTTTCTGCTAGCCGTCTACGCAACGATCATTTCAATGAAGATCTACTAATCCACTGCTAACGGGACCTTTTCCATTTTCCAAGATTGCCGCCGTAGAATAAGGCTGAGCCAAGCACGATGGCCAGCTTGGCGATTTCTGGGCAACGCACTAGCATGCATGGGACTGGAGAGCGAGATCCGAGTGTGCTACAGTTGGAGTGACAATTCAGAGAGAGTATGATGGTTGCAAATTGATATTACCTGATATCATGGCTGCCGTAGTGCCAAGATTGTCGCCAGCCGTTGAGAAATGAATGTCAAGCATCAATTCATGTCGAACATCAATCAATTCATGTCCAGCCACAAGCGAAACCAGCGACCAATGGAATAAGCAAATGCCCATCTCGGATGAATCATAGGCGCGAAGACAGCTTTCACCCACATTGGCAATACTAACCTAGAGTGAGTGCGAGAGCGAGAGGAAAAGCCGCAAAATCACTGTATTGCTGCCTTCCTCTTTTGTTGTCTCTCATTTTCAGTGAAAGACTGCATGTGCCCTACATGCTCTGGCTGCAAGTTGTTGTTTCAAACGTCAACTGATCTCGTATGCTTAATTCTCGCTTGGGCCATCTATCTCGTCTTTAACCGGAGTACGGCGCAGCTAGATCCTTCGAGGTTTCCACCTGCTCCAGGGTCTTTATTACAAATGTGAGTGGGGGCTGGCGTCGCATTGATGACGGAGGTGTTTTATGCAGCGCGGTATTTTTTCCTTGCTCTGCGCCTTTATCTCGCGGTCGCGAGGTATCCGTAGCCTGTGGCCTGATATGACCTATTTTGGCTTCATGATTGTGCCCAGCTTGTGGCAGAGAATTTATCCACTACATTTACGTATAATTACCGCCGTTTTCCAACTTGCCATGACTAAAGCTTTCCTTGGACACTCTCCAGGGTTATGGCGCTTATCTTGACTACCTATATAGGCACCAGTCTCAGATTTGCTACTCTCTGTTGTCTGTTCACTATCACTATCAACTGTTTTCAAAGTTTCATACAGACATTGTATATTCAGCAATCCTCAAGATAAGTTTTGTAAAGCGGCCTGTTGAGCCTAAATGTACTACCATTTCACCGAAAGGCATTCAAACGCAATTGATATTGTAAAGGTCACAGAAAGTCGTTGAAGAAATAAATATCGTATGTTCATTGCATTACTCATAAACATCATTAACATTCTTAAACAGCTTCACCCATCATACAGCCCATCACTGCCCAATCTTGTACGGCTTCCCAGACTTCAAAACTAAATGTGGCTTTCGCTCCGCCAGGTCCAGGATCATTTCCGCAAAGTAGCTGTTTGCCCAAGCGAACCATGGACGAGTATACACGCTCGTATTGTAAATGTTGACGCTCTCGTGGATCAGTCCCAATCCGCTTGTATTCTCCAAGATAAATGCAAGTCGCTGCTTGATCTCATTATCGTCGTCGGTGCCGAATATGCCAGAAATATGGCTCATGGGCCAAGGATAAGTGGCATTGACATGAGGGCCGCTATGTCCTTGTGATTAGCATGGATTTACGACTCGTAGAGTTGTCTCATAGAAGGCGCTTCAACTCAAAACTCACCCAATGCCATTCCAAGATTTTCCAGCTGCATAGTATGGATTCGCCCTCGAAAACATAGCTGCTTTGGTCTTTTGGTATGTAGGATCGCTCCTCTCCAAGAATCCCAAGTAGGGTAGCGATACAAGACTTGGGACGTTGGCATCGTCCATGATGTATTGAGCGCCGATGCCATTTGTCTCGTACGCAAAGATACCGTTGGTGGCGCGCGTATGCGCCCATACAGCCTGTTTAATAGTGTTGGAGTACTGGCTTAGCTGTGTGGCGAGGCTTTTCTGGACTCCAATCTTGCTAAGCATATTGGCAACGTTGGCCAGCTCAACAGACATCATGGCGTTGTCAGATGTAATGAAGTCTGCCGAGGTCAGTAAAGGTTGATACATGGGTATTTTGCTACCAAATTGGTGACATTAAACTCACTAAATACGCAGAGATCGTCTGAGGGTCGGTGGCTTGAAGCAACCAAGCCATTCGCCTGCTTCGGTTCGCCATTACCACTGTTGGGCACCATGGGAGAAAGGGCCCCAGCGGTACCAGTCCAGTTATAGTAGCTGACCCATTCAAAGTCGCTTGACCAGCTGCTCTGTGACTGTTCATACAAGACTCTGACGATCTGGCTCATCGCAGCATTCCCTATAATAAACTTGTATTAGCATCTCAGCTTGTTTCAAAAGGAAGATGGACCTGTGAATCGTTCGTACAATTGTCATTGATAAAAGACGAATCCTTTGTGTTGGCATAGTATGAGCGCGTGATTTTGAGAAATCCTGCCAGAGAGTCAAGCTCGTACTAAGAAATGTGAGAAACAGCCTCCTTATTACACACTCTATTATCATCATACCTTGCATTCAAACACCGTCTGGTTGTTGACAGGCCTAACAAGATAGAGAATGGCGTTAACTTCTTGCCACATGGCGTCCACGAGAATACGTACGGATTCACAACAACATCTGTCGCCCAATCCTGAATAAGCCATTAATACGATGTTCATCCACAATGATGGTTTGGCTTGTAGCTCACATTGACAGATGGAGCCAATCCACTCTCAGGTGGTGGCTGAAACGAACCTAAGATCTCGTCGTCAGTTTTGTGGTCAATCGCAAGCTCGCATAACTCAACACACCGCAGTAGGGATACTGTGAGATGTATCGCGCCTCTGTATTGATCACGGCTTTGACGAGAGCCTGAAGATTCTTGTCGTGCGGCAAGAGTTTATACAGATGCGCAAATTGATTGCCGGTATCGCGCAGCCATTGTGCACTTTAAGCAGTTAATTAGCTTCATTTATCTATACCATCGCGCCCTAGAGCTCAGGAATGTACCTACGTGATATCCTACCCAACAGTTAGAATTAAGGCAATTAACTATAAGGGCAAAAGAATCCAGCGCGTTACTTACACCAGTGATGATGAATGCCAGGTTCAGCGAGGGATCAAAGTACTTGACCGTCGTGTCCAGAGTAGATGGAAAGGTGTTTTCGAAAAGCCGAGCAACGTCTGGGTCTTTGAGTTGAGATTTCAAATCACTAATGACTTTCTATAACAAGTTTGTACGGTCAGTATATTATCAGAGAAAATTACGCCTCCTATCTCTCTCCTCTTAAACATGGTTCCAAACTCACCTCGACTGCCGGGCTCTTGAATGTCCTGCATTCCTCGCTCGGCCGCATGTACGGCAGCTTCAACGATCCCGAGGAATATGGGCCATGCGGCTGCTCCGAGTAAGAGCTGTAATCAGGGCACGACGATGCTGTGCGGCGATGGGGCGGGAAGTTCTTCCAGCCAGCAGACGCGCCAACCGGGAACGCTGCCAGAATGCCGAGCGCGGCGCCGAAGACGCTCTGAGGAGACATGTGGAGCGGCATCGCGATTTCTCAACTGAGGCTATCCAGAGACGAATCTTTCTCGCGACCTGCCAATGGTCACGCACTAAACAGCTTAAACAATTGACGAGTTTCGCGTTTCTCCGTGAGAGGAAGCACTAATAAAGAGGGGTTCAGTTGCGAGGGCAGGTCTCACCGACCATCGTCCTCACTTTCACTGCCGGGCCAGCCCTTTTATTTATCGTCATCTTGCCTCGTCCAGAGTTACACCCAGATCCAGTTAAGTGGGGGAAAAACAAGACATGCATGTCGATCTTATCCTTGGGAACTCGTCCTTGGGTAAACAGCGTGCGGGGGAAGCGGGGAGAAGGACAACAGGGAAGCAGGGAAGCATCGCCAACAAGCTGGGATTGGAGCGTTTGCGGGCGGCTTCCGAATGAGAAGAAGGATCGTAGATGTTATGCCGAAGTCTGCTGTTATGTGGAGAGACGCGAGGGTTTGGGGTGTTGAATGAGGCAGCTGGAGAGAGGCATGGTAGCAGTGCTAGCAGTAGTGGCAGAAGTTGCTGTTGGTTGTCGCCGTCATGCTTGGCTACAGATGAAGCTAGGCCCGGGCAGTGTCTTGCGGAGAGACACGATTGTTTTGTTGTTTGTTATTCTCCTGGCTTTGTCTGAGACCAGCGACTTGCAGTGCGCATAAAGAGCAGCGCGGGAACTGGCATTTGTTGAGAAGACCTTGACGCGAATCCCAGTTTGTAGGAAGCAATTCGTACTGATAACCTACCTGTATACACGGCGTTGATTATGGCTTTGTGGCCTTGGAGACGTTGTGTAAAACGTCCAGGCCGAGAAATACCCCATCTCGTCTCAATGCCTTCTTCCCCCGCATCCGACGGCTGCCGATATCTAGGCTGCAACGCAAACTACCGATTCAACTCGGCTCATTTGGGACCTGATGCCACGTCTTGGCGCCACATGCCGACAACGGTTGATGTAATGTACGTTGGGAGTAATTATTGACTTAAAATAATCTGGATAATGAATTCGATTTCTCCTATTCTGATGCAACGTAGAAAATATAAATCTGAGGAAATTTATGCGGAACGTCTACCCTAATAAAGTCTGTTCAAATTGATCACATTCGGATCATTAAATACTGTTCCTAGCTGCTTCAAGTGCTAGTAAATGACATATATGCATGTGTTGAACAGTAACATGAGATAATCTACAGTGTTTATTTATTACTTCATGGTATTAAGTTGAGTATAAATCCCTTTTCTCCCTTCTGACAAGGTCTCTGCGGGTACCGGGTCTAGTGCAAAGCTGTCGCCATGCTCTCATCAATTATTGCTAACAACACCGCAATTTCTACTTGCGCCAAGAAGCAGCAGATCCCCAAATCTACATTTTCAAGCTTTTTCATCCCTGAAAGGATATTGGAAATGCCCAGATTCATTTTTGTTTTTAATTGGCGGTAAAGAATAATACGCAGAAGTGGTGGGTCAATTGTCCGAGAGGTCCAAGTACGGGCAAACTTTGGTTTTGACAAAATGTGCCTCCAAATTTCTCAATAATATTGCATTGCTCTTCCATGTTGATAGAGTGGTAGATGACGCCATACCCTACGTATTGGAAGCTAGACTTGAGTCGCGACACTATAATAATCTGCTCCCTAGATGCCCGTGATGTAGATCAGGTTAAATTACCATTAGCAGCATAGTCCAGGCCCTGCAGGTTAAGCATGCTGGTAATCGAGTGGGACAGCATGCAAACAGTTCTTTTTAATAAACTCGTTTCTACACGACGTGTATATATTAAGAGGAATCTTAAGGCCCCTGTGTAGAAAATGAGAGCAATAAAAAGCCTCATAAGCCTTATTACTTTAGCATCCAGGCTAAACTATCTATCTCATGATGTCCCCTGCGCACTGATTTGTTGCTGAGATGTTTGTAAGCGGAAACTGCGGCAACAACACCAACAACAACTTCGCCGTTGGAATCTCAGCTCATCGCCTGCCCACAACTATATTCTTCTGAGGGATTACCCCAGACAGCAGGACCGTGTATGATGACTGTCTACAGCTTGAATAGGCCGATCGAAGCATCGCGTTCGATTTTGCGATCTCATATAAGGGCGCGAGGAATAAAATGCAACTCTACTTATCTGTATGTCACTGCGTGTATTATATATATTCTTCAATCAATAAACATAGGTGGCCTCGCTGTAAATGACGTGATTGAACGACACGAACAAACCACCCCATCTCGAAACTGCGGCCCCGGCATCGAGGCATTAGCTGGCAACCCCCTCCGGCATCCGTTGGAGCCGCGACGGCACGATGTCACCCACCATGAGTTCATGTGCACTTCAACTCTGATTTCGGAACAAAATGTTCGGCAGATGAATCCATCTCACATAGTGGCGCAACTACTTCAAGCACCGAGTCTCTATACTACGGTCCACTATTTTCTTTACAATCAAACTCTGAAGGGTCTGTTACATACTGTATAATGTCGTTATTCGTAACTATCTAAGCAGCATACCTAGTAAATACATGTAATAAAATGTAATAAATAACACCAACTAAAAAGCCATCAGTCATGCTTCTTCCTCAACATTTGCCCACCTATCTATACATACACAGCCTCTTCTCACCATCTAGCCAATGGGCAAACATCTCTTTACTCAGCCAACGCCTTCAACACCACGCCCGTCATTGCAAGCACCTTTTCCTCTTCCAACCTCCGCGCCACCAGCTGCAAGCTGATCGGCAGTCCGTGCATCAGGTCAGGTTCATCTACACCCATCTCTGTCAGTAACAGGCCAAGGATAAAGGATAGCAAGGATTAAAAGGCCGTTGCAACACGTACAAGTCGCATGAATGTCTTTGCAGTCGTTGCTGAGGGGCGCGTAGTCAGGCCCATCTACATCGACACCTTCAATCACACTCAAGCCGGTGGGAAAAGACACGGCGGAGTAGTCTAGTACGTTGTAGACTCCGGTGTATCCAACTAGCACAACGTTTGTCAGCAAATTATAAACGAAAACAGGGAACCACTTACCATGCTTAAAAGTTCCATGCCTGACCGTATTAAACGGTATCGTAGGCAGCAAAAGAGCATCAAGACCCGCCCTGTTCCATCTATCCAAGTGTCGGTTCTGAAAGTCTGTCCTCTCCAAGTGCAGCCTCCACATTTCCGCCGTACCCAGCTCCCTCGCCACAGAGTAAGGATACATCTCGTCTCTCCAGGGTTCGCCCGTAGGATCAAGTTGCGACTTGATAGTCAGGCCACCGTCAGCCACAAACATCCGCTGCAGCAGCCGGGCTCCCTCAGCCTGATCAAAATTATCCCACTCCACAATCTCATGCCCAGCTGCCTTGAGCTTGGTGACTGTGTGTTTCAGGGCACGAGTTACAGGAGCCGTAGGCTGAACTATCCCGTCGTGCCACATAACACCAATCCGAAGCTTCTGGGGCAGCTCAACGTCTCTCCAGGGGATTGGCAAACACTTGGGGTCTCTCAACCATGGCTGTCCACCGATAACTGATTTGCTGTACAGCTTCACATCTTCAAGCGTCGGAGCCAAAGGTCCATTGACAGAGGGCACAGCTTCCTGGCCAGGCATGCCAGATCGACAGTTTCGCACGGGAAACCGACCCAGCGACGGCCGAAGAGTGAAAATGCCCGTGCAAGCAGCCGGAATCCGAAGCGAGCCGCCTATATCTGACCCAACACCAATAGGGCTGCCCTTCATGACAATGAGCGCAGACTCTCCGCCCGAGCTGCCACCGCTCGTCGTCCGCCTGTTTCTCGGGTTCAGCGTGCGCCCAAACACGTTGTTTACCGACTCGGCAATCATCATGGCCGTGGGCACGTTTGTCTTGACATAGAAGACGGCGCCGGCCGCCTCCAGCACCTCGACCAGCGTTGCGTCAGCTTTGGCGGGATCGCCCACATGCGTGGCCATGCCCACTGTGGAATCAACGCTCTTGACATTGATGTTGTCTTTGAGCGAGATGGGCAGGCCGTGCAGAGGGCCGATTGGCTGGCCGGTTTCTGCCAAGTGTTCGTCTCGAGCACGAGCCATGGCGATGGCGCGATCGAAGCACGTTTCAGAGAGGCAGTTTGTCTGCATGGGGTCAGCATTGCATTCTTCACCAACAGAGACACAGAGAGACAAAGGCTTACAAGCTGGTGAGCAGCAGATGCTCGCTTGCAAAACGCTCTGGTGACATCCTCTGATTTGAGAGCACCCGAGGATAGTTTCGACACCAGCTCGCTGGCGGTCAGGCTGGTCATGTCCAGTTCTGCTCTGGTAAACCATCCAGATGTCTCAGGCCAGGTCGTCACGTCGTCCTGCGAATCTGGAGGCAGCAGATTCTCTGGAATGCGCCATTCCGGCGGGATAGAGGCCAACAGCTCGCTGCGCTTCTTGGCGCCGAGCTCTTCCCACGACAACTTGACTCCATTGGTCTTGGCCCCGTTGACTCCATTAACACCATTGGTGCTATTAGCACTGTTGGTAATGATTGAGTCTCCAGAGACTGTCATCTCGACTCTTCCACGCTATCAATAATGTTCTTTGGAGAAGCAACAAAGAAAGACTAATAGGGATAACAGAAGAACAGCAAGTAAATTCCAGACAGGGCGTAAAAGAGGAGAGTGTATAAGGTCAAAGTCGGGCTGCCGCTAGCTTCGACTCGAACCACGAAAGCCGTCTCCTCAGCTTTAAAGTATCTCTTTGGCTCCCCGTCTCTCCCCAGATATCTATCGCGCCACTTTCCAGCTGGTCCAATGTCCGCACCGATGCCGGATTTCCTGCCTACGATAAGGTCAAGCCCACAAGTCCCATATCCGCAGTCTATACGACGGGCTTGGTGGCGGCCCAGTGCGGGGTCTTTCACAACTCCGAGGTCAGAGTATCTTTTTGCGATGGGCCCCGTCGCCGGTGTGAACAGCGGTAGCGGTAGTCGTAGTAGTAGTAGTACATGGTATGTGATTCGTAAAGAGAAAAGAGGAAAAGCCAAGATGGTAGTACGAGTTGGTCTGGTCCAGGGGACGGACTGACGAACAAGCAATGAGGGGTTCCTCGATTTCCAACCCCCCAAAGGGGGACGAGGCGCCCTTTTTGCTCCACCAACGATCGCGCGCTTGGCGAGGAGACACACATATCACGGTAGGTTGATTGCCTGATCAGGCATGGGCCACGACGGCCTTTCGGGGCAAGTCGTGGTACAATAAGGTTCTGATATCTCTGTTGTGGAGAGTCCCGGAACTGGAGCAAAGAGGGGGGGGGGGCCGTGCTTACTAGCCGGTGGCTTGATGCTAGGTATGCACCCCAGTTTTTAGCTGGAGATGCTACTGGAGCACTAAGAATGGGTAATGCTGTAGAAAGAATGTGCTAATCAGTTGGCACGGCGTGGATTTGCTTGCTTGGGCAATTCTCGATGATACCATGTTGCCCGGATGGGTCGCCCACTGTGATTGCATTGATATCCCGTCTCGTCGACCTGCAGATTTCCAGTTGCTAGCCTGGTTCAGCTCACAAGCGCGGCAATGAACAAGTCGTTTATGCAAGTCCATCTTTATTAGGTTTACAAGACTTGTCATTGCAGGGCGTCGCCCATCCATGTTGAATGCAGCGTCAGTCTATGGGTATCAGCTCTATCAGTCTTGAACAAAGAGTGAAACATGTTTGGAAGCAACAAGAGTTGTTACTCGTGCTCAAGAGACGTGATGCCTTGTATGATTCTTGCAGCTCTGCACAATAAGTTGTCAAAGATTCTCAGAATTTCAGCAAACATCTCAAACAAGCCATCAATGAAATGCTCTAAAATAAGGCAACACAAGAGCCAAAGAGAGTGGGCTGGTCCTGCACATGTATGCCGCCAAGCAGCAAATATTGCGTAATAACGCATGACGCATCAAACCGTAGGTGGTCCGTAAATCCGAGAAACATGTCTTTCTCTCAATGCTAACTTGATCAAGATACATTGTATATGAGATATGAAAAGTCCTTGCAATGCTGATATCTCATTCGGCCAAAACTTTCAAACAACACAAACCAAGAAAAAAGCGCAAAATCCGTTCCACCTTTTCAAACGTGTTTTTCCATACTTTTTGCTGGCTCCATGTAATATATTCCTCCAGAAGAATAAAAGTAAATAGAAAAACTCCCTGTTCCTTCGCTGTCCCTGCTTAAAGATAAAAGAGCACTAAAGAAAAAAGAAGAATGAAATATTGCTGCCTGACTCACCCAGCCTAAGCCAGACTTTTCAACTTCCAGCGTTCTTCGCATCTAGCCAGGCCATCTGGATATCTTCTCACTCCAGCATGGCTACAGTTATGCCAGTATGACCTCACAACGTCACATTGCTGCGTCGAGGTTGCGTTCATCCCAGCTAAATACGCCGGAACAGCCATGTGGATGTAAAACTGCGAGGATGACGGCGTTGCTGCGATAATCTGACACGTCCGGTCCACCGCCTGCGAGATTGTGCTCTGCGTGGACGAAGTTATGGGTTCACCACCGGCCCGGGTTAGCACGGCAATGACAGCAGCGCAGCGATATGCGTCAGCTGAGCGATCCCAGTCAGAAGTTCCCTGCCCCAGGCTTAGCAGCTGCTTGATGGCAAGAAAGGCACTATTGGTCGGACTAGAGGCAACCTCGCCGCTGGCTACTTTAGTAAACAGCTCAAAGGTCTCTGCCGCGCAGCCAACAGTGCGGAAGAAGCTGTCAGTCAGCAGCTCGCGGTGCCAGTCCTCAAAGATGAGGTCCGTAGTGCCCCGGATGATGCTGCCGCAGGTGTCGAACCACACCAGGCGCACCACCATCTCGCCCAGGCCCGTGACGCTACGCGACAGGTTGTCCAGCTCGGCCCGGCTCTTGCAGTGGTAGTCCAGCAGCGACTTGGCCCCGTACAGATGGCGCTGCCAGTCGCCGAAGCCGCTGTCACACACCTCGAAGAAGGCAAAGGCCGCGATGCCGATGAAGGCAAAGGGATTCGTCGCCTTGAGCGCGTCCTTGAGGCTCATGAGCGCGTCCAGGCGGTACCGCGCCAGGCTCTCCGACTCCCACATGTCGGCGCGCTGCGGATGGCCGTCGATGCGGGCCTGCACAAAGTCGCGCAGCCGCGAGATGAGCCGCAGCGCCTCGACGGACAGGTAGTGGTTGCTGCGCAGGGCGTCGCCGTCCAGCGAGATGATCTGCTGGCACAGCGTCGCCAGCGGCTTGATGAAGCTGTTCTGGTCGGCCTCGGACCAGCTGATGGGCGAGGCGTCGTCGCCGGGGCTCGAGGCCGGCCGGTCCGGCGACCACGAGTCCGAGGCGCGGTCTGGCGGCGTCTGGCCCGAGTCGCTGGACCGCGAGATGGCCGACTGGGACCGCGCCAGTCTGGAGCGCACCGCTGTCGACGAGGGCGCAGAGGCCGGCGACGATGCCTCCTTTACGGACGAGCTGGCGCCAACCCAGATGACGCGCTGCGGATAGCCGCCACATGGCACCCCGGCGGCGACGCACTGTTACACGCACAAAAGTGTGAGCAATCGTCTCTCATGTCTCCAAAAAGAGTAATCAGGATTTCGAGATCAAGATCATCATCATGATATCCGCGCAAAAGGGGGGGGGATGGGAAGAGAGAGCCAGCTTCACGGAATCAGGGGCCTACCCACTTCTCCGCACGAGGGCCTGTTCAGATCGCATTTCACGTTTCTTAGCTTGCAGCTGCGACAGTCCCGGTCCCGGCGCATGCCGCGAGGCTTTCCGACTGGCTTGCTGCGCTGCTGAAGGACCCCATCGTTGGTGTTGGAAGCCATTCCCACATCCAGTTGCTCGATTTGGTCAATTGCCAGATTGGGAAGGCTAACAAAAAAAGAGGGTAAGAAACATTTGGCACAAGAGCTAGGGGGGTGGGAAGGGGGAGGGGGTTTAGTGGGCGTGAGCGAAAAAAAGCCAAAAAATAGAAAAACAGAAGGAAGAGGAGTAAAAAGAAGAAGAAGGGAAAAAAGAAGGTTAGTAAAAAAGGGAAAAGGTCAGGGGGGGAGGGCAACTATGGCGAAAAAAAATTGGCGTCTAGCAACGCCCGCCGTAGGGCATTGGATGGAAAAGCGTGGAGGATTTTTTGGCTGCTCTTTTTTTTTTTTGCTGCGGGGGTTCGCAGCGCGGACCGGATCTCGTTATCGCAGCTCCATAGTGCGAGCGACTACGGATATCAACTCCGTGGACTAATAGATACTACTCCGCATGGACATGATACTGCCGTGTACTATATACTGTGGCCAGTAGGAATGTCTGTTGGTTGTGTGTAAAGGATGAATGGAGCCTCGATTCGGGCTACACTTGCGCCGGGACCCCCAACCCAGCTACCCCAGCTTTTTCCCATCTCGAAGAGGATCCTCTCGTCTGCTTCCCCACGTTTCTGATTAACGGGAGCCGGTAATAGCAAGCCTATTAGTGCTATATAGTTGGCTGGTGACGCCTCGTCGTGGTGGCTTGCGGCGTGTGATAATGGGTGAGGGGGACGACCCTTTTCGATTTCTTGTTCCAGAGTTCTTAGCCTAGCCTAGCGGAGGGCCCTGCGTTTCGACAGCATGGAAACACGCTCGCGCTGCAGACAAACGACGCTAAGGCTGTCCATGCCAGGGATCTCGCCTCGGCCAACTTTCGAGCTGAACTACCGTCAAGCCCTGCCGGCAGTTTGGTTCCAGCGGGAAGGCTCTAGCAATCAGTCTATCAGTTTATCGCCGCCTCGCATGGCCAGCAAGTGCTGTATCTGAACTGATAATCTATTCGTATTTGCACCAAAGCAGATTGGAGATAGCGGTGGCTGAGAGGCGGTGGCTCTTATCTGGCTACTACGATAATGCTACTCCCAAATAGCACCAGTCACTTTTTTTTTTTATCCGGCCTTGACTCCGTAACAGTACATAGTCTTAGCCGGCAACGGCGCGTCAACACGGTGCGACTGATCATCTCTTTCTCTGGTGGAAGTCCAAACTCATAAAGATCCACCGAAAACCCTCGTCTTTCGGTCACTCTTGAGAAGGGGAATCTTGGCTTTAGATGCTTGACACGCTGTTGTAAACTCGCCTTGGCCTTATTTGCCGGCGTTTGGCGCTGCCCTTGTCTGAAACGTTCTTCTACATACTTTTTTCTTCTTGCTTCTTGTCTCTTCGCTCTGCGGTTTGAGGTTTTGGGGGGTTATTAATCCTCCTCGGCAGTTCAAGATGGTGTCTCAAAGGATTCGCGATTACCTGCACACCGATTACCAGCCTGGAGAGCGCACGCTGTTGCGCAAGATTGACTTTTTCATCTTGACGTTTTGCTGTCTAAGTTACTTTATCAACTATGTACGCGTCTCTGCTCTGGTCCTTCTCGTTTGCCAATTTGTGTGAGTCAGCTAACGCTTCAACCAGCTTGATCGTTCCAACCTCTCCAATGCCTATGTTTCAGGAATGAAAGAAGACTTGGGCTTTGTCGGCAACCAGCTCAATGAAATCAACACCTGCTTCACAGTTGGGTAAGTGGTTACTTTTTACTCATCGTCTTCTGATTCATCCATTGACAATATTCATTCACCACAGCTACGTCTTGGGCCAGATCCCGTCCAACCTCTCCCTCTACTACATCAAGCCACGCATCTGGTTCCCCTCCATGATGCTCCTCTGGGGCGGCCTCACCATGGTCACCGCCTCGGTGCACAAACCCCAATCCATCATGGCCATTCGCTTTTTCCAGGGTATCTGCGAAGCCTCTACCTTTGTCGGCACGCACTACATCCTCGGCGCCTGGTACACTGAGCGCGAGCTCGGCAAGCGCAGCGGCATCTTCACCTCGTCTGGCCTGGCCGGCACCATGATTGGCGGCTTCATCCAGACGGGCATTCACCAAAGCCTCAATGGCCGCGGCGGCCTCGCTGGTTGGCGATGGCTGTTCATCATTGACGGCCTCCTCACCGTCCCTGTTGCGCTGTACGGCCTCATCTTCTTCCCAGACACGCCTCGTAACACCACGGCATTTTATCTCAACGACGACGAGAAGCGCCTGGCTGTGGCCCGCGTACCTGTCATTGAGGAGAGCTCGCCCATCACTTTGCGCTTCCTCAAGAAAGTGCTTACGTCCTGGCAGTTCTGGGGCTTCGTCATGCTCTGGGTCATTGCCGGAGAAACAGAGTCCTTTTCCAGCAACTCTCTTCTCGCGCTGTTCCTCAAAAGCAGCCCTACGCATAAGTATAGCGTCCCCCAACTGAACAACTACCCAACCGGCGTACCAGCCGTTGGCATCGTCTCGACCCTGTTTTGGGCCACGTTGACTGATTTCCTCAACGGCAAACGCTACCTTGTGGGCTACTGGATCGGCATCGTTGGCATTGCAACCTCCATCATGATCCTGGTGGCCTCTCACCACCCTACCAGCTCGGGCTCTACCCCGGTAGTAATGGCTGCTTACTACATTGCCGGTTCCGTCTACGCGTGCCAGGCCACCTTTTTCGCTTGGTGCAACGATTCAATGCGTTATGAAGAGCACGTTTTCCGTGCTATTGTGCTGGCCGCCATGAATCTAGGCAATAATGCCGTCAACGCTTGGTGGAGCATCATCTTCTACGGCGCCGACATGGCTCCTTGGTTTACAGTGAGTTGTCTTTCATCTTGTTAAGCTCTGTCCTCTTTGAGATGCCTGGTTGCTAACTTTGTTTGTGCTATTAGCGCGGTATGTGGGCCATGATTGCTTGCTGCATTGCCCTTGTCATCTGGACGGGCGTGCTGTCTTACCTGGATCATCGGCACAGAAAGACTATTGTGGAACTTGATGAAGCTGGAGGTAGCCTCAGCATTGTTGTTGACGGCAAGGAGTGATTTGTGTTTTGCTTTTGTGTGCTAAGTAGGCTTTTTTTGTTTGCTGTAATTGATTAATACCTTGTGTGGCGTGTTTCTGTACATCTATTTAGCAGCCTATTTTTAATCTAATGACGCGTTACGAGACTTGGATTGCAATCTTGGTGTTCATTAACTACCGTGAAAAGCTGTCATTAGAATCAGTTGATTTTCTCATACTGATACATTGAGCTCTATCTAAATAATATGCGGCAATTACGGCAATTATGTACTCATGTTTGCGACTATTACTACCGACGTAGCATTCAACTGCTGCACAGAGAACAGAAACAAGCACACGGACTGCTGTACCCTTGCCTGAAATACTAAATGAGAATTGCTACAGCGTAGAATACTACTGCCTACTTTTAGCCACTGACAGCGTTCCGCGCCTAGACGAGCAGTCCAAGGTTCAACTCGAAGGTTCAGCTCACATTTGGCTATCAATCGTACCGCTACCTACCTTGGATGACACCTTGGCCTTCAACTCGCTTGCAAGAGGCGTCGAACCTCGCCCGCAATGGCATTCCCAGCCTCCTTCGTCCCAGCATCACCTCCCATGTCCTTTGTCCGAATGCCGAGCCCACCAGCTTCCTTCGAATCAAATACTCTCTCGACAGCCTTCTCAATGGCCGCTGCCTCGTCCACAAGCACGCATGAATATCGCAACAGCATCGCCAGACTGAGAATCTGGGCAACCGGGTTAACCAAGTTCTTCCCAGCAATGTCTGGAGCGCTGCCATGCACCGGCTCGTAGATGCCATTGCATCGTCCCTCTCCAGGAATGCCAGAAATACTCGCGCTCGGGAGTGTCCCAAGACTGCCTACGATTCCACCCGAGATATCGGACAAGATATCGCCAAACGTGTTGTCTGTGTGAATCACGCCGTTGAAGCCGCGGGGATTCTTGACCATCAACATGGCCATGCTGTCCGCGAGCTGATGCCGCAGCTCAATGTCTGGGAACTCCCTCTTGAAGACGTCTTCCGTGACTCTGCGCCAGAGTCTGCCGCTGGCGAGAACATTTGCTTTATCAGCGCTCCAGACAATGGCTGGTCCACCCCCGCCTTTGCCATCACCATTCTTCCCCAATATCTTGGCTACTGCGGCTGATACACGAGCACACCGCTCGACTTCTCGAGGCTCATACACCCACAAGTCCGATGCAATCTCGGGCTTCTCGACTTTGTCCCCAAAATAGGCACCACCGCAGTTTTCTCTCACGACGATAAACTTGGTGCCTTTAACAATCTCAGGCTTGAGAGGCGAGGCTTCCAGCAGAGACGGCACGAGGATCTCGCACGGCCTTAGATTGGCAAATGCATCCAGCTTGTGTCGAAGGCCCAAGATACCAGCTTCTGGATTGGGCGAAGCATTTGCCCACTCTGGCCCGCCCACGCTGCCAAATAGCACCGCGTCACTCTTGCTGGCCTTGTCAAGAACTTCCTCTGTAACTGGGACGCCGTGCTTGTCGATGCTGCTTCCGCCGACGAGGTCAAAAGTGCGCTCGAATCTGAGGTTGGGGCGACACTCTTCCACGACGTCGAGCACTTTGAGGGCCTCGGCCATGACTTCGGGACCGACGTGGTCGCCTGGAAGGACCAGGATGCGGAAGGATTGAGCCATGGTGATAGTACTGTTGTAATTATGGATTTGCGGATTTGCATACAATGGCAATGGTAAGATTAGGCAATAGGCGTGAATAAGCAATTGATAGCCAGACTTTCTATCTTTTCTGCTATACAATCGTGGAGGCTTACGGTAAGCACTGCCTCTTACAGTCGCCCCGTTGGAACCGATTCTCTCGTCAAGCTCTCACGGACCTGACATCGGCGCATCTGATCCGAAATCGGCTCTTTTGTCGAGATGTTTGATCGAATTACACTCCCCAATGCCAAGTGATATCCATAATCGTCATCACGACGAGCTACCAGGCGACTAGCTAGCTAATAGCGTTCACTTCATCTTTGGTCCATCGGAACTGTCCAAACTGCTTCCCCCGCATGGCCCCCAAACGCTTCCCCACACAGCCGATTTGATAAGTAGACGCAAGTATCTAGTCTAGAGTGAAGAGTGGTTCTAGCCGAGCCGGCCTAAATTGGCTCGAGAAACGCCCGCACTGTGTGTGGCTTCGGGATGTCTCTTTATGCACGTCGCCGGCTTACGCCCTCGAGAGGGGTCCGTTGTGATACATGAAATCAGGTTTTGATATTCGCCTTATACAGCATCTTCATTCACCAATCTCAATTTCTATATCCTAACTAACCCTCATCTCATCAGTCTATATCGCTTTCTCTCATCAAAATGGCGTCAAACCGACTCGAGGGCAAGGTAGCCATCATCACAGGCGCTGCATCTGGCTTCGGCAGAGGTATTGCCACAAAGTTCGCCCAAGAAGGTGCCAAAGTTATTGTAGCAGACCTTTCAGAAGAAGCCGGTAAAGCGGTTGCTTCTGAGCTTCAAGGCACCTTTATACGCACCGATGTCACCCAGAGGGCCGACTGGGAGGCCGTATTGGCGCTGGCCATCAAGGAGTACGGACATCTGGACATTGTGGTGAACAACGCGGGCGCAGCTTATAGGAATAAGGCGACAGAAAGCGTCACTGAACAAGAATTCGACTTGGTGATGAATGTCAATGTCAAGTCGATTTATTTGTCGACCAATGTCATTGTGCCGTATTTCTTGAAGGAGAATCGCCCTGGCAGCTTTATCCAGATTGCATCAACGGCTGGCATCCGGCCTCGTGGTGGACTATCATGGTACAGCGCATCCAAGGGAGCTTGCATCACGGTTACGAAAGCGCTGGCCTCTGAATACGGCCCCAAGCAGATTCGGTTCAATGCCGTTTCTCCAGTCGTTGGCATCACGGGAATGTGAGTATAAATGCTGTCAGCCGTCTTAATCTCTGACTCTTGCTAACTATGTGATACAACAGGACTGATCTTTTCCTTGGAGCTACTGATATATCCTCTTTTGTCGCGACAGTTCCGCTGGGTCGACCATCAACGCCAGCAGACATTGCCAATGCCTGTTGCTATTTGGCAAGTGATGAGGCGTCTTTTATCACTGGTGTCAATCTTGAGGTGGATGGTGGACGATGTGTGTAAAGCTCTAATGACCCATAGATTATGAAAAGCATTAATCATACTGCACTTTGTTTGAACTTGAATAACCATGTTTACTCTTGAATCACATGTTGATGCGTAAGGAGACGTGGATTTTACGACGAATTACTACACCATTTTTTTAGCCATCAGGTAGGACTATGCGTACATAAAAAATAGCAGGCTTGATAGCGCACAAGCAATCTCAAATTTGGAAACACTATCTTGAAAGTCCAAACTTAGCTAAATTTACAAGCCTTCAAAAGTAAAGGTTCCTGTCTTTGTGACCATGTACTCGTCTACAGCCACGTCCTTTCCACTCTCCTTTCCGGATCCGCTTTCCTTAATACCTCCAAATGGTGATTCGGCACAAGAGTTGGTGCCCGTATTCTAAACACCGAGCTTGCATCAGTAAAGTTTTCCTTGTAAAATGAATCATGTAACTTTGACTTACCAGACCAATCATACCAGCCTCTAGCCGTTCAAAAAGCCTCCAAAGCCTGTCCACATTCTTTGTAAAAGCATAGCTAGTCAGTCCCATGGCCGTATTGTTGGCCCTTTGAATGACTTCCTCCTCTGTGTCAAACACCGAAATTCCCAACAGAGGCGCAAATATCTCATCCTGACTCATGAGCATATCATCGGTGACGTTTGTCAAGATTGTAGGCTTCATGAAGTAACCGCCTCCATTTGCCGATTGATCTCTGAGCCCCGTGCCAACTACCATCTTTGCTCCCTTGGAAATAGCATCCTTGGCCATGTCTTCGGCTCTGTCGAGACTTCTTGGTGTCGTGACTGGACCAAGAGTGGTGCCCTCTGTCATTCCGTGACCAATCTTCAGTTCAGATACGGCCTTTATGACTGCATCGACAAACTTGTCATAGACTCCTCGCTGAACGTAGACTCTATTTGAGGAAACACAAGCCTGGCCTGCGTGACGCCACTTGAGTGGTATGAAATGCTGCATCGCTTGGTCGAGATTGGCATCATCAAAAACAATAAAAGGGCAGTTTCCTCCAAGTTCCACCAACGCCTTTTTCAGGTTCTTCGCACAATGACTCGTTATAATCTTTCCAACCCTTGTGCTGCCAGTGAAAGTCACCTTTTTCACGAGCGGATGGAGACAAAGCGCTTCTGCCAATTCCGGCGTCCCATCAAGGCTCGTCGTCAGGACATTAAGTGCACCTGGAGGGAAACCAGCCTTCAATGCCAATCGTGCCACTGCGAGAGCTGTGATTGGTGTCTCGGGCGAGGGCTTGACAACCATGGTGCAGCCTGCAGCAAGGGCTCCGCTCGCCTTTCTGAGAATCAGAGCAATAGGAAAGTTCCAAGGCACAAGAGCGGCGACAACTCCAATAGGCTGCTTGATTGTGATTGCTCGTCGGCCAGGGACGGCGTTGACGATTGAGGCTCCCTGAATGCGCTCTGCTTCGCCTACAAACCACCAGGTAAAGGTGGTGCCGTAGTCGATCTCGCCATAAGCTTCTGCGAGAGGTTTGCCAGTTTCGTAGACCAAGATCTTGGCGAGGTCATCCCGCGCGGCGACAATTTCTTGATGCCACTTCAACAGCGTCTGGGCTCTTTGTCTGGGAGTCCATTTGGAGTATTCTTGAAAGGCCCGATGTGATGACTGGACTGCGACGTCGACGTCTTCTTCCCGGCAGTCTGGGCACGATGCCCAAGATTTACCAGTTCCAGGGTCAATGACATCGAAGCGTTTGCCTGATTTGGCGACTACCGTCTGCCCATCAACGACACAGTCTAGATCGCCGAGGCTTGCGTTGGCCAAAGTAAAGGGAAGCTCACTGCTGCCCATGGTTGGTAACTGCAGTGAAAAACAATTGATAGAGTTATGAGTATGACTAGAGAAGTTGATGTGTAAAACAATGGTTTTTCGTTTTAAGTCACCTTCCGTATCTTTCTAATTGTTTTTACTCGTCTGCTTCTACGCTCTTTGTCATTTCCAGCACTCAACCTTTGCCCCAAACCTGAAATATCAGGTCCGATGTCATTCTGCGGGGATAATGCGGAGGCCAGTGGAACACTCCACGTCCGTCCAAACAGTGCGGTGGAACACGCCAAGTTGATTCTAACAGTGCGGGTCGAACGTTTTTCAATCTTCGAAAACTCCCCCTCCGGGTGGCTTCCCGTTGCATAAGCCACCAGCTACGCCGTAACAAGAAGGGAATCTATCGCCATCTTTCCGAGCGCCGGGGCTATTTTTGCGGCTGGCGATGGCTTCATTAGCTTCACGGGCTCTTGCCGAATTATCACAGGGGCGCAAGTAAACCGTATTAGGCAACTTTTCATCTGGAAGGTTATCTTCTCCTGTAGACTGAGATGATGGAGATGATCTATAAACGCTAGATCATCGTATTCTCGAAAACTTTTGGCTTCAGCGAGGTCGGAGATTGCATTCAGATCGGCCAACTTTTCCTCAACGCCACCTTTTGGATCACAGGATAAGAAGAACTATTTCGTGACGGTTGGCAGCGGCTCGTTGCGGTATGCCCACAAGTCCTTGTTTCATTCTTCCATCTCCAAGTCTAAGAAAGTCTATCCACTTGCCAATCTATGCATCTATCCGCTGCGATATGTCATGTACGACCATTTACATGGCTGAGACATCCATGTCACAGCCCCGTACGTCGACCAATCTGTCCTACCACCCCTCATGCGACTGTGTAGCTGACCCGGCTGATACCTTTACTTCTTCCGATCTTCTTCACAGTTGTTGCGCCGCACAGATCAGTCGTGTCGACGTGCGTTCCGCCACAGGGATACACTTCAGCGCCTACGATGCGCACAACGCGGAACTTGGTCTCTCCTGGGGGCAACAAGCTTCGGTCCGGGATCAACCGCTCTAGGCCTTCTCTCTTGAAATCGTCTTCCGTCCAGAAGTCAATCTCCACAGGCATTGCGCGGCGCAGATAGTCGTCTACGCGCTCCTGGATCGGCTGCTTCCATTTGCCCTCAATGAGGCCACGGAACTCGCAGGCGGCGCTGTCGGGGAAATGAGATGCTTTGAGTTCATCGAAGCCCTCAATCTCCTTCTCCAGGAGATGTCTTACTGCTGATCCGAGGACGTGACCGGCAGTATGCAGTCTTGAGTAGAGGAGGCGCTTCTCTGCATCGATGGACTGCTCAACAACATCGCCGGGCTGAAGTGTTGTCGCTGTTGAGTCTTTGAAACGGCCGAGATGCAGCACCAGCCCGTCGTTGACAACGTCCATGCGTGCTGCCCTGATGTTGATGGAGACAGCAGGAGACGCAACAGATGTGATTGATCCCTCATCTGAGGGCTGGCCACCGCCCTGAGGGTGGAAGATGGTCTCCTTGGTTACGACGACATAGTCGTCATCCCCACCGTCCTTGAAAATGGCGCGGTTCTGCTCCTCTAGATCGGAAAACGGCCGTATTGAGACCACTTGAGTCTGCAGATTGAGCAATTTTCCGTCGTGGTGAAAGGTCAAGATGGTCCCGGATGTCTGTTCAGAGGCCATGATGGGTGCTTATTGCCAAGTTGTCGTCTCTTCCCAACGCCTATTGTGGATTATAGAGATATGTCGCTAAACGCTATTCGCAGCACTGTAACTCAGCGTCGACATGCCATTAATATGAGCGTTTCGTTGCTTCGATAAGGCATTCCCGCTTTTGTTGTCGATTTTAGTGTGGGGCTTGCGCGCCCTATTTGTCATGAATTTACAGCGGTTTCTGAGTCATGGTCCTGGCTTGCTGAAGTTAGATAGGAACGTCTTGTTGTTTAGCCGACGAGATAATAATATGAAAAAGGACAGTAAACCATCAAAATGTCAATTCAAAATGCCAAATTATTCTTTTAAATTCTTCACCTTAAGCTTCTGCTGGCAGGTTGGGTTGGTGGCTTAAACCAGCTAGATCAATGGGCTTACTATGCGGCCCTCGCTGAGAATAAGACAACAGGTGCAATCCGCGGCCATATACTGATTTTTTTTATTACTAGAGACGTTGGCGTCAAAGCAAAATGACAAACGTATGTGTGAAGAAATAAGAAATGACCATGAGGAAAATGTGAAGTCTGATGAAAAGCGTGGAGCTCCCAGCTATGACTCTATCATGATCATCCTAACTGTAAGGCATGTCTCGCTCACAGTTCAAGAAGGTACTCATGCCGTCGACAGCTTTACATGATTACTTTAATATTTTATATTATTTCTGAGTTCTTAACAAATTATGTTAATTGATATAAACTCCCTCATCTTTTATTAACCTCACGCATTACCGTCTGCATTACTGTTGAGACACAGAGAAGAAGCACGCATGCATAAGCTCAAACAATGGTATCTTGAGTTTATGAATCCAAACAGAAGAATATACTTCAACAGTAAATGACCAGCCGATGTGGGAATCCGTAGTGCTGGACTTGACTGCTGTTTTGACATATCAGCGCAGAATTAAAGGGGAGATAAGTCATACCCTATGCCTCATGTGCCATCATAATCGCTGTTTCGGCATTACTTAGGCGAATAATTACCCCAAACATTCGAAGATTGTTTGATAATATTATATTATATTAAGGTATGATATGAAAACATGAAAAAGCCCAGCGTTGCTGACGCATTTTGGTCACGAAATAGCACAGGAATATGCGACAATACCAGCTCGTAAATAATGAAAAGACTTGCCTGCAACCGAATACAACTAAGCACGAAGAGAGAGAAAAACGTTAATTCTTCTCTTCATTGAGTGGCTTCCTTCCGTAAACCGCCTTGAACTTGTAATATGCATGAGAGTTGTTCGACCGGATTTCCCGCCGCAGCAGGCTGATGTAAACCAAGATTTCTTCTCGAGTCCATCCGAGTGTGTTTGCCATGAAAACAATGTAGCCCTCAGTGTCCTTTTCAATGACTAGTTGCGCAAACTGGCCGAGTTCCTTCATCTTGGGGTCTCTGGCCCAACCTCCTATTGGCATCTGCAGAGCAAAGATTGTTAGAGTGAATCATTTTGCAAAATTTTGTCCTAGGGGGGAAAAAAATGGCATGTCACTTCGAAGCCAAAAACTCACCTTGTAATTAAATTCCTGAATATCGACAAAACCAGCCGCCTCCATCGATTTTCTCTGTGTCTCGTCTTCAACCACAGTGAAACTCCTTCCAATCTGTTTACCACCGTTGATAAAAAACTTGCCCCATTGTCCCAAGGCGCTTGTCTCTGTCACAGTCCCATCATCGCTCGTAATGATGGCTGACGGCTCCAATATCTCAAAATATGCGCCCGGGCGCAGCACGCGATATGCTTGTCGCATCAGGGCGTCCCAGTCTTGAATGCTGCCCAGGAGCCATCTTATGTGGACATAGTCAAAATGCTCGCTGCGAAATGTCCAGTCTTGAGTACAGTCTTCAATCTCACTATTTCCATTGATTGTTAGTGAATCCAAAATAAAGCACGTTTAGTAAACTCACAACTGGAGATTCGCAGGCACCCAAGTCGGCTGAATTGGAGAAATGTCTGTGCCTATGACTTGAGCATCGGGAAATTCATCGGCAAAGTCGCTGTAAGACGTCAGTATCCATTCTGCTAAGATTATCCGAAGGGCATCAAGTGCTCACATAGCCCATATGCCTGTGTGAAAAAAAGGGATTAGCTTTATGAAAGATGAGAGAACACTTGTTATGAGCGAATGCTAACCTGTTCCAGTGCCTACATCAAGTGCTCTCTAGTTGCGAGACATATGATGTCAGTATTGTCATGCAATTTGCGCCTGCGAGCATATCAAACGCTGGGCAGTACTGACTTTAATCTTGTCTTTTTCGAGGGGAGCTAGATACAGCCTATCTCTCATTGCCATGCAAATAGCATGGTGGCTGCAGCGTATCAATTAGCTATTATCCAAATATCTTTGACCAGAAATCTTTATTGTCAATAATAATATTGATTTGGGTCGTTAAACTTACTTGATATCAAGTGATTCGCTAGCTGCCTCATCGTTGGACTGCCTGTTGCTCTTGGTCAATCCGCTGCCTGCAAGTCGCCAAACCGACTGGTGGCTCACCAATACTGAACAGAGCCCATTTCGCTGTGAAATCTGCGTCCATTAATCTCTCTATACTGCAGGATAGTCGAAGTTATCGACGCGGTTGAGCTGTCCGCATCTGAACCAAGGGCAGAGTCGCCATCATCGTCGTAATCGTCGCCTTCTTGTTCGGCAACCTGTTTGCGTGAGTATTCACCTGAAGCAGATGCTGCCGAAGCGTATGAGATGCACCAACCTCTTGCCAGTGCGCAGCTGGGAGGATGCCGTCCGAGGGCGCTGCTTGCTGTTGCTGACTGCCCTCTATTGATACCCCCTGCGTAGGCGAGACAGGCGATTTGGGAGACTTGGGCGACTTTGCCATGATTGCTCGGCAGCGAAACAACGCAGTGCGTGCGCCTTTTTAAGATACCGCCCCTAGCTCTTCTATTTCCTTTGTCGTCTCTTCAAGTCTTTTCTCTTTTTCCTTTCTATTTCTCTTTCTCTCTGCCCTTCCCTCTCGTCTCTCAATTTGTTTAGTTAATTACTTGTCCCAGGCTCAATTGTGGGAGTCGCTATTAGGGGAGCACGGTGCTTGGGCAAGCTTCGTTGCAAATGATGAAATCGGATGTTGGAGTTCCGCAGCTCAGCAGCTTGTATGTCCTCCAATCGCCCTTCTCAATGTCATGCGGATGAGCAAATGATTGAGTAAGCACATGCAGTTACTTGCAGCTGCGTTCGCCTTGTCGCACAATCATGCGTCGCTTTGTCTGCGAGTAGAAAAGTCGCGGGCGCCCTGCCTAAACGTACGATTCAATGAGCTAAACAGCTGGTGCGTCTGTGGCCTGCTTGGTTGCTTCAGCTCTGCCGTCGCTAAGAAAGTTCTGGATGCCCGCAGGATGCTCGCAACAGTCATTCGCATTCGCGTGTCATTTATCAGATTGAGTCGGCCAAAAGTCGGTTGTTCATGCCACCTCCTACATATGTATGCAACGCAACGTCAGGTCGTCTAGAAGCAGATGAGAAAAAAGCTGAAGCCAAATCAGGAGCGCACGCGAGGGAGGGATTAGGCGCTGGGGCCGGGAGTGTGTGGAGAAGAGACAAAGGCTTCTCCGCCTATTGTTGGCTGGCAACGCTATTAGCCTGGACATAGTGCAATTTAGCTACAGGAAGCAAAGGGGCCTTGCTCCGCATTGTCGTTGTTACGCGGTTATCGACGAGTTTTCCGCAAACTAAGGAGAGTCTAAGCTGCCTGATGCTGGTCTTCCCTCGCGGCCCGTGGTCGTGCATTTGCTTCGGGATGGACAGTTCGCGGATTTAATTTCTGGGTCTCTGCTCTTTAGCAGACGTAATTCCCGGGGACTAAAATAAGGAGAGATACAAGAGGCCAAGCTTGTTGTGGGCTGCCGGGCGATCTCCGACCGAGGCGCTTGAGTTCAGCCCATTGACACTTGACAATCGCTAGACAGGGCATAAGGAAGCAAAATGTAACCAGACATCGCTACAAGGCTCAGCTAAATTTCCCCGGCAAGTTTTTCTCCGAACTGCAGACCTGCAAGCTGGCTAGCATCCACGCTGCATGTAACGCTGCAACATGACGACCCTCGTCAGGTCTCCAGCTTCTAGAGCAAGTCCCACTTCTGGGTTTACAGCACGTTGTGATGGGTATAGAAACACCCCTAGCATTAACACTAGAAATCTGTTGGCGAAAGAGCCGGCGACGGATGCGGCGGATTCGTTATTGATAACTTATAGTAAGTAATCAATTGCAGTAATAGTTCAGATAGTCGAGATGCGCGCGGCAACTCACAGAAAGGCAACACCACGGCTTGCTGCAATTCCGCCTGTCCGAAATTCTACAGCCAAACCGTTGTTTAATTGCGAGAAATGATGCAAACTTCTCGTGTTGTCGTTTAGCTAACCGTTTCAAGCAACTACCACAACACGAACAAAAATACAGTGTCTCAAAGTGATTCCGACGAATTCAGGGCAAACCTATGTATTGGTACGCGATCGATTTTATCAGCTGCGCAGCTAATTTATAGATAATAAATAAAGTAAGTAAGATATTTTGTAGTTTATTCAGGTTCAATCGAAGCCGCACACCGACTATGCCTCATCCGCAACTCCACGTCCGTCGGCCTTTTCCTCTATTCTGGATTAATAAACAATAAGCAGAATCCCATAGGTTACATTGATTCTACGAGGGAAAAAAATGTGCAAATCTTTTTAAATGGTACACCATGCCGGTAGCCTCGGTGGTTCTCTATTGTTTGAGGGTGCGTCATCTATTAGGTACTACATTACATTCTATCATCCGCTTCGTAGCTCATTTTCTGGCCCTGTGTCTCTTCTAGACGTCTTCAACTATTACTTGTCTTACATCTCCTCTTCTAGCCTGTCTATTTCGACAAAATCGCTGTCGCCTTGGCCATCTCGGATGGATCGGCCAGCAGCTGCACGGCAATCTGGGCCTCTGCTCTGGCCACAATCTCGGTCTGCGAGTACGCCAAAGCCGTATTAGCCAAATTTTTGAACAGAGGCTCGTGGTTAAATGCGCAGCCAGCTCCAGATGCGTTGGGGCAGATGCCGTAGTTTGCGTGAAGCACCGCCTTGGCCGCGCTGGTCAGTTTGTGTGTGACAGAGTCAATCACAGGATCCTGCACCCACGAGGCATCTGTCGAGGCGGGAGCAAATGTGCTGGATGGAAAGTTGCCCAATTGGTAATCAGGTGTCTCGGTCAAGTCGATAAAAGCCTGTCCGAGGTAGGGATCGACCTCCAGAGATGGGTACTGGACATCGTGAGAGACGCTCTTAGGGAGGGTGCCGAGAGCAGCGCTGACAAAGTTGGCCACGGAGTTCAGGTCGGTGGTGTAGCGTGTGCGCATGTCAATCGTGATATCGAGCTCACTGATGGATGTGTTGCTGGGCAGGTAAAAGGAGACTCCGGGCGTGTTCTTGAGAGCGTTGTATGTGTTGATAGACAGCACCAAGGGGCCCTTGGTGGCATCTGAAGCATGGCCACCGGGGCCATTCATCGTAATAGCTACGCCGTTGGCATCGGTAGTAGCTGTGAAGGTGACGTTGGGATAAGTCGAATCGAGAAGCTTGGCAACGGTGCTGTTAACTGTCGCGAGACTCAGGCCAGCCACGCCAAGATCGATGACGGTCTGCACAATATTGGTTGCATAGACGCCAACATTCTCAATGCTAACGGCGCTTGAGCTAGTTCCCGGCAGCCCAGTCAGATTCTGTACAATACTCATCGCGTTGTAGGCCTTTGCAACCGCCTCAGAGTGTGTGCTGCCCACGAAAGAGGTAAAGTAGTTGAGACGGGCGTTCATGGGCTGGATAGCGCTCGTTGTCGTAGGATGTGCCATCAGCCAAACATCTGAATCAGCAAAGGCGTCCAAGTTGTTGAGCTTGAACTTGCCTGCTGCGTTCTCTTCGTCGGGGGTTCCGACGATGATCACGCGGCCAGGGATGCCGTAGTGTACCAATGCTTCACTGGCAAATGTGGCCGCTGAGATACCATTGAGGGCAATGAGGTTGTGACCACAAGCATGGCCAATGCCGACCAGGGCATCGTACTCGGCCAAGAAACCGACAGTGGGCAGAGTGCCTGTGAAGCCGGATGGTCTGTTATCGAACTCGGCTCGAAAAGCTGTAGGGAGACCATTGCTAGCGTAAGCCGATCCTGACACCGTCCAGCCTGAGAGTGAAGAAAGGTAGTTGACGATGCGGTCGTGTGCATGAGTTTCGTCAAGGCCAACCTCTGGGTCGTTCCAGATCTGCTGGCCAATGGATAGAAGGGTTGGCCAGTTAGTACTTGAGCTGGACTTCAAGAAAGCCGGGAGATCGGAGAGGTCAACAGTTGACTGGGCCACCGCTCCAGCGGCAGCCATCAGGACTGTTGAAGATAAATGCATTTTGCTTTGAGGCTGTGAGTCTCAAGTGTAGATGAGCTTGTTTCTGTTGCTGCTGCTGCTTGTCTCTGATGAACGGCAAAGAAGCAAAGATCAGCGGCTCTCTTTATACTGGTCGACTACTTGGCGTTCCCTTGCATCATCAACTATGGAAAAATTCCCCCTTGCCACTCCGTACAGGGTCTTGGCTGATATGGGTTCGAACAAGGTTGTTCGCACCTCCTTACAGCTCTAGCCTCTACGTGAGCATGGTTCAAGTGTGTTATAGTATCTACGATAGTATCTATTCTATTCCGGGAATACTGTCTTGGGGGTACGGTGGACTAGCTGCCCATGGCGTTCTATCATTATCTATATAGTTCGTCTTCTAAGAACACACAACACACGAGTAACTACAAGGACAAGTTGCTATTAGTATAAGTCTGGAATTTGGATGCTTGATGTTTTATTTGTTAGGTATACTCCTAGATAGCACAAAGAGGATCATTTAGGAGGACGTAGTTGCTTAACATCGATATCCCCGGAGGCATCGTCATGTTATCGCTCTTACTTGAGCACTAGAAGCTCGAGCCCCTTGGCAACCTGGACATCTTGGCATACCCAGTTCTTCGGACCTGGGCTCACCAGAGCAACTCTGCTCCATAGTAGAGTCCACTTTCTTACACGACTACATCTCGTACCTGCTCTAGAGAGCCAAGTTAAAGTGATCTGCAGAGTACACCACATATTCTCCTGGGCCGGTTCCGCAACGGGAATGACGCCGTAAGCCCTAGGCTTGGCAATTCTAACTAGCGGGCGTGTTAGTATTGCTAGTGTTGCGATGCCTATGAACAACGTGACGTAGAAACTAAAGCCCAGGAGGTATTCTATGCTAGGCAGAGAGAGGTAGTTTCCCAAAGATCACATATCAAGTGCAAAATCCAGCTTGTTTGTTGGGGAGACGAATGTTCTATAGTTTCTCCACGTGTAGTTGTCTATCCGCCAACAGGGATACAATGAGCGGGAGATCCAACGTAATGCCTGCTTCTGAGGAGATTCCGATGCTCTGGAGAAAACAAAGGGGCCCGCGGACAATAGTCGTCCAGCGCCATGTGGAGTCCATCGGGTCAGTACTCGGCACAACTGGAAAAAGGGACGTCGGCACCTTTGGGTCTAAATAGGGCGGCAGTTCCTAGCGTAACCACTGGAAGCATTTCTGTAAATTTTGACACCAGTCGGCCTGGACTTGTACGGATTTAGAAAAATGCCAATCAAAGGCAGCGGGAAAGCAAACAAAACTCGTCGTCTTCTATTCAAGTTGACGATATTCAAATGCAAGATTCCTATAGTTTCTGCCCATTGAAGAGGCATCAGGCAACCACTGAATCTCGGTCGCTTTTAATTACCTATTACTGAACGCCCACATAATAACCTTGTCATAAGCAACAAGTCGCAGCGGCAAGGGCCGTTGCGCTTACATTACATACGCGATTAATAATCCCGTTACACCGACGTTAATTTAAGACTACCTACTGATTTTTCCTCAGAAGCCGTTGTGGCTAATAATATTTTGTATTCATAATGGTGGCGATAATTCATGAGGATAGGAAGATGCTCTATTATATGCAAGCTGACGGTGGCTTGCGTGAATTTGCGACGGACTACTCCTTACACTAGGAGTTCGTCCGGAGAATTTATCCTTGCCATAAAGTTGCCAATAACATGAATTGAATCAAGATTCAGCTGCAAATTCTAGTACTTTTGCACGCCATTCATCTTCCGGCCAACACCTATAGGTGCCGCCGTACAAATAACCATGGAGCGGATATGGGCCGGTAGGACTTCCGGAATAATACAACAATGCACCGACACACTCCGTATACAAATAGTTTGTCCGGCATGATCAACCGGATCAGCAAGCCGTGGCTGTAGGGCAAGTCATATCTCATTTCCGGAAGCATATCCGTACGCATATAAAGTTCCATGATATGTTCTGGACCGGTACTGGCATCGCCTCTTTGGAACAGGGGGTGCTACCCTAGGCGCAGGATGAGAATCCTAGCCAATCACTATAAACGGAGCTGTAGGGATCTGCAGCTACTCAAAAGTCCGTTTGTCTGACACGGGGCGTACAAATATAGCCTTGCAAGTAGCTATGTTGTTCAGTAAACAAATGCACAAATTATCCCTTCTTGCTCTTCAATATCGAATAGTATATCTGATTCGACTAAAGAGGAAGTTCATACGCCAAGAAGAAGAGCTCGGACCACGAAACGCCATATATGATGCGGAAGCCGTTGAATCAACCTACATATCCCACCGCCACTTACGGAGTCCAAAGCCATGTCATGTCTGTCATCTTGAATAACCATTTCCAGAGATCGTGGTGCCTACGGGTGTTACCTTGTGAACTGGGCATTAGAACTATACATATCTTAACAAAGTATCACTACTCTTCTGCTAGGACATGGAATTAAAGGGACATGAAAAACTCCACCGGCTAGGTTACTGAGGTAATACAGATTTTGAGGTTTTTCATGGACTTTGCGCATACCTTATTATGTTCCGCGAGACACAGATGACTCGTATATTCTCGACCACGCACTCGATCGAAAACTCTCAATAAGTTCATTCCTATGGTCAAAAGAATACCACCAAATAGCATACTCTCTTGAATCCAACATAAATTTCTCTGAGGCCGTAGCCATCTCGACTTTATTGACAAGTAGAAAGGTGCTCCAGTCACATTTTTAAACCTAACATGCTGTGTGTTACCCATATACTAAATAAGAGCTGAAATGATTTAAAAATCTGAACTATGGAGAAACTCAATCAGAGACTTGTTAGCAAAAAGAATACATCGTTCCTGTGGATTTTGTAGGGTAGATGACTTACATCCACAGTCTTGCTCCAAGACTTGGATACCATATTTGGCAGGGCTCGCTGCTTATTAATGGACACATCAAGTAAATATTGCACCGCTTAGCTCTTCTCGAAACCTAACCTATGTTACGTTATGCGACTTCGTCTTTCGTTATGAAACCCGCTTTCGGGAATGGATCCGATCGAATGAAAGGACATCAAGATGATATATTAGGTTTATTAACTATGATGTTGTTATGTATAATAAGTAAGAAGTAGAATCAAATAAGTAACAGTGAGTAATGTTTTTGCCTGACCTCTTCTAATCCTTGCCGCAGTCCCGAGATTAATTGCAATAGGGCGTAGCCGCAAATCTTATCTTGCCGTGCGGCACTGTACCAGCCCAATTTCAGTGTCTTGTTCATCCCGATTATGCCCATCATTGCCTCCCTTGAAGCTTGCGCTGGCAGTTGCAATTGCCAGGGATATCACCCCCAGCCTGCCGTTGCCAAAATCTCCCCTCGCAGCCCGATGCGCGAGCTTTTCTTTATTAGTTCGTTCGCCATGCTCTTTTTCCGGCACGGCTTGATGCGTAAGGCCAGCATACAAATACAAGAAAACGACAATCATCTCCTCGATTCTTGCCATGAAAAATTCTGCGAGCACAGCTGATGTTGATCCCTCTGCTGTCGAATTTTGGAAGTTTTTGTCGAATATGAGAAGAAGCGAGTTGATTATGCGAACAAGGAGGAACGGTAGTGATAATGTTATGATGACCAGCATTGCAGTCTCTCCACGCCGTTCTGTGACACGGCGCGTAATATAGGCGCCTATCGTCAGCAGGATGAGGAGAATCAAGACTACCAGGTACACAATCACTCCATCCTTTACCGTATCCTGGGTCATAATGTCTGCTGGAGTATCTGCCGAGGTTGCACCAACAATACAGAGGATGAGGGCGACAACAGCTGGTATTTGGACTATTCTTGCCACAAATAAATTGAAAACAATGTTGTACGGTCGCTTAAGGAGATAATAGTATCTATAAAACAATTAACCATGCAGACTTCATAAAGAGCATAAGTGGTTTGGTACTTACACTCGGGATAAAATGCCCAATGTGGCCAGTAAGAGCGGCGACAGACCCAAGAAGCCAAGTATGGTAGCAATCGTCTCGGCAGTATCCGACGTGGCAGTTATCGTTGCAATCTGCGCAGAGCATCCAACGACACGTATGATGCTGAATATCGTGAGAAAGATCCAACCGGAACTCCGTGCCAGCCCGTGTCGAAAAGATACAAATATGCTGCAGATGAGAGCCACAGCGTAGTAAACGAGTTGCCAGATGGCCAAGCCATCACTCAGCGTAACGTGAGCCATTGAGATGCGAATTTGCAGAGATATGTAGTTTGACGAAGCAGAACAAACGCTGCTTGATTTCAGGTTATATATATGAAGGTAACACACCTCATATATCACTGCACGAATTGACCATTCGACTCTTCGAAGCCAGAAGACATGGAACATTGAGGCTTCCCAAATAGGCAATGGCTGAGTTTCGCCCATTCCCATCCAATCATCATTCTCCTGTCGCCAGTCTTACAGGGGTTAGTTGCGTAGACCTTCCAGAGGCTATGCTTAGCGCCGAACTGCTCTCCCGCGATGGTTTAGCTCAACACGTAATTGCGGCGCTGGGACTTGGTGGATAATTCTCCGAGCAGGAGTCTCTTCGCATGCAGTACGCGTACGCACCTTCAAAGCCGTTACCTTTCCGCGCGGGAGTTATACGTCTCTGTCGTCCTTTTTCAGATATTTAGTCCCGTTCCCGGCAATGTAGGCCGAGCTGGTTGCCTGAAACGGCTTTGCTTAAATACATAGGGAGGCGGCGCTGACACAGTCATCGCCTCCTGTCTCTTTATTCTGTCAACTTACCTAACATCTCTGTGTTGCTAGTCAACGCATCACTTTCTTCTTTTAGTAGTTCATGGGCAGAGGTAGTTTCAATACGGATCATGGGTTATTGTGGCAAGCCGAGTGCTGCGTGTGAGCGCTGCCGGCATCGCCGCCTGAAGGTGTGTTTAGGCTGCATTTTGCGTTTGAGACGCCAGTGACATTTTGAGATACAAACCCTAGTCTTTTGTCACTGTTTAAGGGAAAGTTTGAGTGAACTCTTTGTACTAATTCACATGGTTTCAGTGTGATTATAGGACGCCTTCATGCACACAATGTGCTCGAGCCGAGGTCAACTGTCCCGGATACAGAAATTTGCTAGACATCAAGTTTAAGGATCAGGGTGAGGAAGTTATTCGCAAATATCGACCTCCCGCGCGCAAGAAGCGCCCTATCTCAACGAGTAGCGCTGTGGAGCCTCAGCCGTCAGTTCCAAGTAGAGAACCTCGGGACTCGGACGGTTCTGGAGCACTGCGCCTTGATAAGACAGCTTCAATCATTTCAAGGCCCAATCCTGAATACCCTGAGCAAGACATTGCGAGAAGTTTTCTCTATGCTAACTACATGACTGGAGGTCCTCGCTGCGGCCACATGTCATATCTTCTACCGCTGATGGAGAGCTCACGAAACTCGGCTGCTAATGCGGCAGTAAACGCCGTCGCATTAGCAGCCCTATCAAATATTCGCCTTTCCCCCAAGACTATGCGGAAGGCACATCAGGAGTACACCACGGCCTTGTCTTTAACTAATCTAGCCCTACAGGACCCAGTTATGTGCAGGACAGATGATACACTGGCGGCGGTAGTTATGCTTGGCACATTTGAAGTAAGTTGGCCCCAAAATGTCAATGCATTGCCGACTAACCCAGGAGGGAGAAAAAAAGATCATGACGTGTACTGATGGCTCATTTATCGATCGCTGGGTGAACCACATGGATGGCGCAACAAAGTTGATTGAGGTCCGTGGGCCAGAGCAGCTTTCACGGCAAGAAGGGCTGGAGTTATTCACTCAGTTACGTGCTCAAGTGGTGAGTTTTTATGAAGCAGCTGGCATTTAGAGAATCATGCTCATCGAAACCAATATAGAGCATTAGTCGAATATACCAGGAACGATATAGCTCATCAGTTTTTACAAAACTAGCCGAAGATGCCCACCTCGATCAGAATCCCGATGAACAAGTGCTGCACCAGCTTTCTATTGTGATTAACCGATTAACGGACTTTTGCGCCCACTTGAAGAATGGCTATATTGTCAAACCTACGGAGATCATCCGCAAAGCGCTGAAGATCGACGCGGATCTGGTCTCATTAATGATCAGCGTGCCTCCGTTGTGGGAATACGCCACTGTAAACGTTCCAATACTCGATGGAAAGCCTATCGTACAGGGCTTCTGGGGTGATAATTATCACATATATCATACTATTTCCTCAAGTACCATCTGGAACAACTATCGCTCAGCTCGGATCATTATCCAAGAGCTTATTATCGAAACCATCAGGGATCTGGACACTTTGACAAACGATGACATTGGCTCCCCGCAACGCAGCTACTTGGTAAATCAAACCAGACAAACTGTCCTTCAGATGGTGGAAGACATCTGTGCTAGCGTGCCATACATCTTGGGTATGGAAATAGAAGACTCCGGGCACTTGAAAGTCTCTGCTCTTGGCGCATCTATTGCTCATGGGGTAAATATGAAGGCCGCTTTATCGTCCTTTCAAGTTACTGGAGCAGGCGGCCTCACCATCATGTGGCCTCTCTTGGTTGCTGCAGACTCGGTAGTCGCAGGCAGCGAACTTCGCATATGGATTACGGCCTGTTTGGACAAAATTGGTCATTCGATGGGCATCAATCAAGCGCTGGCCATGTCTAAACTGATACAAGATGGGGTTGAGTCTCGGGCTTTCTTATCGCCAGATTATCGAGCTCAACTCTACAAACTATAGCAAATTTACACATTTATAAACTACTCAGTATTGTATTGGAAATAAAGTATACTTCTCCTACTTTTTTTTTAGGTCATATAGACTTGGAGTACTATCATGTTTCCTCCTTTGGTCCAAGCGCAGCAAATCTTCTTCTAGGAAAAATAGTAACTCTAACACCTATTTGCGCCCTGAAACTGGAGAAGCTTACTTGATACATTGGGTGGGGCAGCTTGTCTTATTCATAGCCATCGTCGTCTATGACTGTTGGCCAGTGGTAAGGAATTGTCCCGTGTGTTGCTCTATACTACAGAGACTCTACTTAGCATAATGAGACGGCGTGTATAGAGCTAATAGGCACTTTATATATAGTGTCCCCAGAGGAAAACATTTTGGGCAGACCTTCTTACTAAATTGGTAAACTTACCATGCTCTTGGGGGCGCATTACACGAGTCTTATCCTATATACTACTTTTCACAGCGACGGTTTATCAAAATTGCACCCCTGAAAGAATAGCCTCGTATAACGTGGATGCATCGATAAGGCGAACAAACGTTGTCACCTTAATTGAACCAAGATCGATAGACTAATCTTGGCTGATACGATAAGGGAAGACTTTGAACTATCAAGCTTATGTCCTAGCTTCAAATAGTAGCGTTACATGAAATCCATTGGGAAGGGTGGAAGGGCTACACGTATTCAAGGTGACTGGACTAAACGTGCGACAAGCCATAGTTTAATGGTCCAAGTTTCACGACAGCACACCTGCATTAAAGCAAGCACATTGTCCTCAAGCCATCACACTTACCATTCTATAAGCTCCGCAAAGAGCAACAAGCTAGAATACCTTGAAGAGCGTTAAAAAGCATTTGTCATAAAGCACTGTGAGAGGTAATAGAAGAGACGGCTTGCTCATGGCCTTTGCTAGATGCGCCAAGCCTGAGCAAAGTGAGCGTGAGCTCCGGGTACTAATGGCAAGAATCTGAAAAGCGTATTACGCAATTTCTTCGTATGAGAAAGCACTAATGCTTAATCAGGTATATCAATACGTGTAACGCCGCTAAGATCATCATTCTGCTACGGCTGGCAATTGGCGAAATTTATACTAAATAATTAGCAGCTGATTTGAAGAAGATGTATTAAGGGAGGTTTCTATAACTAATCAAAGGTCGTTGATTACAAACAAATCTGCTAGAAGCTTAAGAGGATGTATGACAGACGCTACAGAAGGATTAGTACATTGAGTACTTGATATACCTATTCAAGGCATTGCCATAAACTTCTAATTCTGACACTTCGTCTAAAGTGTGACAACTACGCTTCTCCTGAAAGCTATGCTAATAGTATACGAATCAAAGTGCATGATGGACGGAATGCTCTGGTGAGGGGTCCTTCAGGCGACAACGCAAGATTTTCAACAAGCTTCCGTAGTAGTTCCTTGGGGATCTCGGTCCTTGATACAGAGTGAAATTATGGATGACTACCTAGCTGTTTTGCAAGAGTCCACGCACAATATTGGACCCGCAGCTTACCCCATCCATGGAACAGCGTAGCCCAAGTGTGGTTAAGGTTTGATGTTAGATCCTCGATGAATATGTCGGTTTACGGCAAGGCGTCATGGCTTCCCAATAAGGGAATCTTTACCTAATGTGTTCTGAGCAGGCATACTGGTAAGGGGGCTGACTTGCTTTCAGATGATCCGTTGGCTCTACGCTGTATGCTAATCTATCTTTCAACGTCAGCCGCTCAACGTGACGCTGACATAGTGTTTAAGAGGAAATTAACAGCAACAAAATCAGGAGAAGAAACAGCAATACTTGGCAAAACTGGTGGCCTATTATTTACTACTGTCAAAATAAAATCTATTCATGACTATAGATTGCACAGAAACTTGTCATGGCGGAAATCCGCCTTTGTCTCAGGATCGACATGAGGCATTGCGAGTTTATTTGTCATTTAGGGTGCTACGCTAAGTTGACGCTTACAGGGCTCATTATTTGAATTCCAAATTCTATTGGCCCTCCGCTTGAATCGGCATCCAAGAATAGCACAAAGTGTATTTTTGGCTTGTTGTCGACTATCTTTTTCCAGATTATTAATCATTCGGAACACAATTCTCCACCGTTAAGCGACACGATCAGTATTTTCCCAACTTATACCTGGGCATGATTCATGACGGTAGTGGGAGTAACATAGAGTTAGGTTCACTATATGCTTATAGACATGCGTGGCGGGCTATTGCAATTCTACGTCTATTTGGTTCTGCTAGTGATGCTTCGCAATGAGTTCAGGCAACCACGAAATTGCCAACATTCATCCTTCGGATTGGGATTCTTAGCTTGATGTCCACCACTTTTACAATCCTTCAAACTTAGATTTCACCCAAGTATTGCTTGGAAAAGATTACTATTTCTTTCCTACTGCCTGTAATAGGCCACTATCGCATCATTATTTGCTTACTTACTTGGTCTAGATCATCCAGCCCAATTATCAATCTTGGAGCCTGGTTGTGACCCTGGTCCTTCGCATCTCTGAAATGAGCGCCGAAAGCAAGTCCCACTTACACGCTTAAGCCCGCGCGACACTTGCTCATGACTACCTAGTGAGATGAGCTAATACTGCTTAGTATTCAATGTCATTAACCAGCCTCACATGGCATTTGCAGAACGGGATGGCTAACGTACTGCGGTAAAAAGAAGGAACAATCGACAATGTTGATTCTATTATTCTGCCCTTCGAAAGTTATTCGAGTTTACAAATGAATACCTTTTTAGGAAACTTGACTTTCGCAATGAAGCGTTTTCGGACTATTGTCTCAGCCTCAAGTTCGCCAAAAAAGTCGTGCATGAGTGTAAGCACTAGTTGGCGCTTGCCCGAACCCCATGGCCACTCGTGTGGACGCCAAAAGTGACACGACATAGTTGAGATGATGAGATTTTCCGGCAGTCATTTCATTGGAAAAGAAACCGGTTTGGCAAGGAGATGCCTGCGTTGCCAGCGCTGTTTGCTTGTTGCAAACGACACTAGCCGTGCTCTAAAGTCAGCCAAACACTAAGGAAGATAAAGAACGAACGCCAGAGTCTTTGATGAGAGCGTCGCTGCAAAAACTCTGCAGCTTCAAGTGAAGGTGCACAACTGCTCTTGTAGAACTATTTTGTCTATTTACTGTATGAGATGAGTTGTTACTATCTCGAAGCCAAGCCACTATTTCGTCAGTGCTCTGCGTCCAAGATCTATCCCAGATCCCCATACTCCATACATACTGCTCAGCCCCGATCGCCGTTTTGACCTGTCTCTCTTTTCTTGTTGCGTTTCACAACATGGAGTAAACTGCCCCAACAATTAGGTGCTAGCCACAGAGCCCCTGTCCGCAAGGGCCACAGAGCCTCGACAACGGCAACAGAAAAGGGAAGTCTAGGAATTCATTGGCGCAAGGCTCTGCAAGTCTAGCGGCAAACCATGCCCCTCTGTGCCTATTTTTGCAGCAGGCTATGCGCTTACCGCAAGCTAACGCTCCACCACGTCTTCCCCCCCCAGTCTAGGGCGTAGATGCGAGTGTGAAGAGATGAAGAATGAAGGGAGTCACTCGATAAGGACCACTCCATAGTATGTCTTAATTTCAATGAGGCTCTCGGCTGACGGCACCAGGGCTGGCACAATCGCGCCCGACGTGGTCTAGCTTTGCTTGTTTTATCACGCCAATCGAATTCCTGGTAGGGCTTCCTGGCTGTGATAGCCAAAGGTATTAATACCATAAGCTGCATCCAACAACTTTTGCTTTTGGCATTCCTGTCTCAGTTGCAAGACTGTATAGTTGGTTATATTATATTTGCAAATAGAATCACCTACCAACATGGCGGAGAGAGAAAGTCTCGAGCTTACTCCTCGTGAGAAGCTTCGGCTCATGAAGAGCCCGCTTATCGAGGATGCTTCCGAGCGGCGAGGATCAGAGCAACCGAATCTCAGCGAATTTGGGGATCGCTTCAGCGACCCGACCATACAGTTTCAGAGGGTAAGCTTTCAATAACAGGCAAATATAGAAATACGATTCGATTCTGATGATGGTTTTTGGGGTGTAGCATGAAGAGGCTGGTATGCTGGAGGTATTCACAGACTTGTTTTTCGCCGCAAACTACGTCGTCTTTTCGAAGGAGCTGGCAGTCACCAGTATCGACCGACTCGGGTCTTATGCTGGATACTTTTGGTGCGCAACGAGAAACAATTGTAACATGGGAGTGATGCGGATTTGCTAATCTGTTTCGTGCAGTATGCTGTGGATAAGCTGGCTTGTCGTTGGGCTTTACGACGTTAGATTTGTGACAGACAGCATATTTGGTACACCTTTTCTTCGCCCAAGTGGTTTTATGTATGCCATTTTCTAACCGTCTTCTATAGAACGACTGGTCCGAGCTGTTCACCTTGGAGTCTTTGTGGGATTCGCAGTGGTCGCCCCGAAATTCAACCCAAACGACCAGGATTTGTCTTCTATGAGGGCAATGTGTAGGCTCTTGTACGCTCTTAAAATACTGATCATATACTGATATTTCTTTTTGATAGCTCTCATTCTGATGGCCTCTCGACTGGCTTTGGCGATCGAGTATGCCAGTATCCTATGGCACCTGAGAAAATTTAAGCGCACCCACCTCCCATTCTACATCCAGATTGCGATCCATTTCATCGCATCAATGATCTATCTCGGTATTACATTCCGCTTCAGCGAAGATAAACAGAGCCGCGTGTTCATCACGTGGTACGTTGTTGGTTCTTTGGAGGTTGTCTTAACCCTTGGGCTATCGCTTGGGTTCTCTGTTCTCAGTCTTGTCAAGACTCACTTGATGAATCGTATGAGCCTTTTGACGATTGTGATTCTCGGCGAAAGTATCGTTGCTCTGGCTGAAAAAGTCGTCATCATTGTTGAAGGTCCTGATGCGTGGGGTAAGTCTGTTGAAGTATTTTGCAACATCGCTATCTGGCAAGACTAACAATATTCCTTCTTGACACCAGATGCTGCTACTATTGGAATCCTGACTGCTGGCGTGGCAACAACTTACATGCTGTTTTTGATCTATTACGACTGGATGAAAACCGCATACCTCCCTCCGTTGCGCCAAATTATATGGACACTGCTTCATTTTCCATTCCATCTCGCACTGGTTCTCTTCATGCAGGGATTCACCCAGTTCATTCAGTGGTCCAAAGTAATAGACGTCATTAACCATCTATCAGTCAACTGGATAGTCGAAGATCCTCGCGCACTTGAAGATACTACCAGCGTTGAAGTGCAGAAGAATATTACGGAAGAGCTCAACGAGTTCTTCGAGTTGTACCATCCCGAGTACTCCGATACAAACGATCTCATCAGCGATGCACTGGCCAACATCACAGACATTCCTAATTCCTTTTGGTCTAAGCTGTCAAAAGCCGAGGTTGAACCCGACTTCTTTCTGCCAAACGACACAACTACAGATCTGTTTCAGAATATCATGGATTCCCTTCAGACCGCAATGTACAACAGCATCTTTTCGACTTTTGAAATTGACCTGGAAGGAGAGATTAGCAAAGAAAACGAAGAACAAGGCATCGAAGACACCTCAACAAATGCCCAGTTTGCATCACAGGTCACCGACGAGACCTTGGAGCGTTATTTCCTAGTGGTATGTGCCTTGTGCTACACGCAACTTACAAATGTGTCCAGCTAACAATTATCAGTTCACTTATGGCTATGTCGCCGCTGGTCTCTGCCTAGCACTCATGACTCTTCTGGCAGTCGTTGCCAGAGTCACTCCCTGGAAACCCTGGCCGGTCATCCGCACAATCATCATCTTCCTCTTGGCTCTAGGCATGGGCCTCGTTGCGTTGCTCAGAACCAACGACGACAAATTGAATGCCTATCTCGACACCCCTTGGCTGTTGCCCACGCTCTGTATCGCTTGGGGCGTTGTTCTCATTCTCACGCATGTCCCCCACGACGCCCCGATTTTCTTCAAACGACACGGCCCCATTCCGATGCGCCGCAGATCTCGTGAGGATAAAACGAGCAGCGAGTCCGAACACGCTCAACCCATGGTCAGCAACATGCAAGGGCCAACCTCTTACAGTGGAGCGTCAGGCATGCCTTATGAATATCGGCCTGCACCACAGCCTCCTCACAACAACGATTACGTTTAATCGCGGAGTTGACGGTTGAAGAAGCCACAGTGCAGGGTTATCCCTTTTTATTTCTTATTTTTTGCGAACGGTAAACATAAAGTTTCGGAGCGGCTTGCACATAATGTGTAATATTAGAGGAAAATATGCGCGAGCGAGCGAGCGAGCGAGCGAAAGTTTAGATACCACTTTGTCGAAAGCGACTAGATCTGTATATATAGTTATTCAATTTTCATTCAACTTTTCTCTCCATATCACGTTGTCTACATAACGTTTGAGGCCTTGTGCCAATATCCTTGTGCCTCTTTCTTATATCCATATCTAGCGATATTCTAAATCTGACGGACATTTCTTAGTTATGCATAGAGATTTGAGTATTGGCTGAGCTGGAGCTCCTCAGTCATAGTGCACCACAGCGCCAATTACTCGCTCATCTCTACTTGTTAAGCTTAACTTTTATTTCCTCATTCTTCTCGCCGTCCTCTAATTTTTTTCCTTTTCTAGACTAACGTCGGAATCTGGCAGAGTCATTTGCCGCTTCCCCAAGCGCACCCCACTCGGCCATATAGCTCGGAACGGTCTATTTATTGGCTGGTTGCCACTTGGAACACATTCGATTTGCAAGACATCTCGATTCCTGTTAGCTGTGCTTTGATATTCTTCATCTTCTCTCTGCCATATATCCATTGGCAATTTTCCAAGTTGCCGAAAGTGCTGTATCGGCATGGCGCAATATGATGTCCTCGTCACAGGCTCGTCGGGCCATTTGGGCCATGCCCTCATGATAACACTGCCATCACTCGGATTCACCCCAATTGGAATCGACATTCTCGCTTCTGCTACGACTACTTGTGTCTGCTCAGTAACAGACCAAGAGATTATTGCCGAAATCCTTCAAAAACACCCCATCAAGCACATTCTTCACACGGCGACTCTCCACAAGCCTCATGTTGAATCTCACACCAAAGACGACTTTGTGCAAACAAACATCGCAGGAACTCTGGTCCTACTCGAAGAAGCAACAAAGCTCGGGAATCAACTAGAAAGTTTCGTCTTCTTCAGCACAACCAGCGCCTTCGGAAGCGCTCTCAGCCCCAAGCCCAGCTCTCCAGCGGCATGGATAGACGAAACCGTCACACCCATCCCCAAAAACATCTACGGCGTGACAAAAGTCGCCGCTGAGGATATCTGCCAGCTCTTCCACAAACAGCATAAACTGCCGATTCTTGTCCTTCGCACGAGCCGCTTCTTCCCGGAGCAAGACGACGACGAAGACCGACGCAACTCAATGGAAGATGACAACTTGAAGGTCCTGGAGATGGCATATCGCCGCTGCGATATCAAGGACATTGTATCAGCAACGGTATGCGCAATGAGCAAGGCGAGGCAAATTGGTTGGTCGAAATACATCATCAGCGCACCGCCACCTTTCTCAAACGATGCGGAGACGCTGGCTGCGCTAGATAGGAACCCAGAAGAAGTGATTAATAGAGTGGCGCCTGAAGCTGCGGCGGTATTTCGTGAGAAAGGATGGAAATATTTGGATCGAATGGATCGTGTGTATGATTCGAGCAAGGCGGTTCGCGAACTTGGCTGGGAGCCTGAATACACGTTTTCGCGGACGATTGAGAGGATATCTCGAGGAGAGGACTGGCGTAGCGATCTGGTTGGAATTGTGGGAAAGAAGGGATATCATTCTGTCAGTCATGGAGTGTATACTGCGTAGAGAGTTCTTTGTTTTGGATGCAATGATATTGTTGTATGTAAAGCTTTTGGTCTCAGTAGTCCCATCTTAAATCACCATGTACCATAGACTATATGTATAGTAGCTTATCAACTCTTTCCTCCTTTTCGCTCTGCTCCATAATATCTAAAAGACAACTTCGCTTGAAGTAACTACTGTAGAAACTCATCTCTTCCCTGTTCTTTGAGCACATCTTGCACAATCCCCAGCACCTTGGCATGCAATGCCACAGGCGCAGCCACAAATCCAAAGTTGTTGCTCAGCTTTCTTCCCGCTGAGAAGTCAATATCCTTTCCATGCACGTCAGTAATCTTTCCACCCGTCTCTTCAAAGAGAAGCATAGCACCCGCATGGTCCCAGGCCTTTGCATAGCGATCACGACGCTTATACACCCAGACAGTGACGCTGCCTATGCTGAGTGCCAGAGCAGCCCATCGCACAACCCAAGGGACGACGTCACTGCCGGGGAATTGAAGCCCCAGGCGCTGAGCAACAACGTCGTGTACTCCGTCGAGAGCTGAATCAACAAGGCCAGTACATGTGACGAAGCCACTATGGTTCCCTGCAAAGGTTGACGGTATTGAAAGAATCGGGCTCTTCAGCTCTTTGTGATGTGAATCCAAGTATCTGTAAAAGGCACCGTGGCCTTTGATGGCAAACAGGATGCAGCCACTGCCTTCAGGATTGGCACTTTCGTTTTTGAGATCGCCATTGTGCCGTAATGACAGGTTCGGACATGAAACAGCTCCAAAGGCCTGTTTGCCGTCGACAATGAGGCCGACGTTGATGGCGTACAGCTGGCCCTTCACATACGTCTTGGTGCCATCAATAGGATCAAACACCCAGACCCTGCCGGATCCAGGTCCTCCGGGGCTGCTCGAGCCGGCCTGGTCGATCAAGTCGCACATGTGCTCCTTTGACTGGGGCAGCTTACAGGCACCCTGCTGGGTGAATTCGTCTTGGGCAATGGTGTTGAGGAGGTCCCAAACGCGAGTCATTAACGCATCGTTGGCGCGTAGATCGGAGGCATCTTCTTCGCCCACAAAGGTGTCGTTGGGGAAGATTTCTTTGAAAGAGGCAATCAGGAGAGCTTGAACAGCAAAATCGGCAATGGTGACGGGGCTGAGGTCGTCTTTGGTGATGGTGCCCTTGTCGTGGGACTTGACGATGAGTTGGCTGAGCTTGGAGGCCTGGATGAGGGCGCCAATGGCGGTTTCGACTTCTTTGGCGAGTATATCGGGGGGTGGAGCCTCCATTATGTGTTATTTGGTATGCTTCTTACTTGAAGTAAAGGACTGAGAACGAAAACGAGAGACGACAAATGCGAGGCTCACGCTATTTGAGATCAATGGGAACCTACGTTGGTTTTTATCTAGATCAAAATTATGGGGGCATGTCACTGCGAGCTACAGCGGCGTTAGTGCCTGAAGGGAGGCCCCGGTTTACAGCAAGCTCTGATAGATGCATGAGACATTTCACGCTTGTGGATTTAACGCAGCTCAACGCTTCTGGCTGCCAACCACCACGCCCTTATCTTGAGTCTGTGATTCGTGCTGCTTTCACTGGTTCTTGGCGAGAAACCCTGCTCTTGATCGAGCCTGTAGAATGACGCTCGCAGGCGGCAGCAGCAACTAGCCTTGAAGCCAGCGACAAAAATGCCGGCACGGCCAAGCCCCATGCAACGATGGCTCGCCTCAATGCTGCCGCCATAACGCCTGCGCCGGGCTACGAGCCATTCACGCTCCAGCCGCTCATCGGGCACCTGCTCCAGACTCGCCGCTGCATCCCGGGCTCCATTTTTCTGGTCGAGGGCATCGACGTGATGCCCGTGGCGGCTGCGTCGCCGGATGAGGACGACTCGCATGCCATCCGATTGGTGCTGGGCGACGGCGAGCTGTGCGTTCAGGCATTGCTGCATCCCGACATGTTTCACCTGGTCGAGCAGAGGGACGTATTCGTGGGATGCTGCGTCAGGGTGGGCGACTTTATGCTGCGGCTGGAAGAGCCAGATGGGGGTGGCGTCTTTGGAGAAGGAGGGGAGGAGGAGGAGGAGGAGGAGGATGAGGATGGAGCTGAGGATGAGGAAGAGAGGCGAGAGAGACGGGAAGAGGACGCAAAGACCATGGCATACCTGATTGTGAACGAGCTGGAGACTTGTGGATGGAATGAGACGTACATGGCCTTGTGGCGAAACCGTGAGAAGAGCAACAGTCTCACGGACAGTACCAGCGCCAAGGGGGCAGCAGTCGTGGAAGAGGATCGAGACCAGGGGGCAGCACCGGGCGAGGCAGCCACCACAACTCCCAAGGCATCCAAGCCACAGAGCAGCAATGTGGTTAGATTCGCGGATCGGCCAGATTCACCGTCAGTCAGCACCCCTACCAAGACACCGAGCAGGACGCCGACCAAGACGCAGGGCAAGGTGCAGGAAAAGGGGAAAGCCAAGGTTAGCTTCCAGCTGCCGGGCTTTGACAATGACAATGACAATGACGACAACGATGATGACGAGGATGACGAGGACGACGAGGACCTGGAGGAGGCATTCGAGGCATTCGAAACACGCACATTCCCCCTTCGGAGTGCCATTACTGGTGCTCGTAATCGTACTGCTGCTGCTGCTGCTGCTAGCACCAAGCCAATGACACCAACATCGGATGCAAGGGAGATGGCGGCGGCAGGCGACATTAACACCGACAAGTCGCAGCAGCAGCAGCAGCAGCAGCAGCCCATTGCGCTACCCAGAGACTGGCATAACCAACAGGTCCCTCTCAAGCTCACAACCCTGCGCCTGATCCCGCATCTGCCGTATGCACAAAACTGGTCGTGCAACGTGCTCGCCATCATCGCCTCCCTCTCGCCCGTGGAGTCCTCTCATCTGCCGCCAGGAAAGCAGCGAACGGCTCGCATCGCCGACCCGTCGACGGCAAAACAGGTGCATCTAACGGTATTCCTGGACCCGGATGGGTTCACGCCCAAAGTAGGCAGCGCGGTGCTGCTTGTCGGCGTAAAGAACCACCGCTTCGATGGCGGCAGCTTGAAGAAGTATGCTAGCGATGGGAAGAAAGATGCTGGCGAGAAGAGGTGGTGGTTTGAGGACCCCTGGGAGTTGGAGTGGCTGGACGTGGCAGGGATCAAGGAGTGGTGGAAAGGCATGGAAGAGTATTACAGGCAGACGGGACCGGCACGAAGCGAAGGCCTAGAGCAAGCGTGAAAGGCACTACTGCTGGCTTGGAAGAGAGTGTGTGGGGGATCAGTCGTATGACTTTTGCCTCCTTTGTCTTTTGAATCAGTTATGATCTTGTAATGTTTATGCTAATCTAATGCTGGTATAATATTTGGATGGTTGAATATCAGTGTATAACTCTTTACACGTGTCACTACACACATATCTTGAGTATAAACGGCTGTGCTGTTGCTGTCAATGTGTGGTATTATCCAACGCGGCGTCAACCGCAAGGTGTGTGAGACTGCATCCAACTCACCGAAGAGACACAGCCGGCTATTCCAGTATAGTCCGAGCTGCATGCCGAGCTGCATGGCGGCGCCCTCTATTAGACAGGCTGGGCCATCCGGCTGCCCCAGACTCCACATGGCCTCGATCAGCGGCGTAACGACATGCAACCATGGTCAGATGGCGCCCGGCAAAACGAACGCAAAGCATGCCCAACATCTCATATTCATGACTGTTACCGGACAGACAGCCAATTTATCGCACATGATAAGGCAGCCTTGCTTGTATGCGTGCCGGGATGGCAGCGCAGACCGGGGAGGATTAAGGTATGGCGCTATACAACGTAGCAACCTGTCGCAGTTGTAGTTGCATGCATGCACGCACGCGAGTAATTGCTAGAACCATGGCCGGCTGCCCGCAACATTCCTTGCTCGTGCTGTCTTGGCAATCAACCGCAATTCAGGCACAGGTACCCAACCCAGAGGGATGAGGTGCCGCCAGCCCCATAGTAGGGCAGCGACGCCGATCGACGAACAAACGATGGACAGGAGACTCTCGATTGACAGATTGACACACAGATTGCGAGATTGAGATACGCCTAATACTCCGAGTACTCCGTCTTCTCCTGGAGCCAGAGACAGGCATTAGACGCAAGGGCGGCGACTTGTCTGATCTCGGCATGGAACCGAGCCACTGGGGTGGAACCACGTGTGTCATTTAGGTGCAGTTTTCTTAATAGAGCACATGCGGTGGAATTGCAGCCGTGTTTGCTTGTACTTATTTTTGTCTCTTGACTCTTTGTATTACATGTATTACATGTATTTGGTTGTATTCTTTTTGTAATATGCAGCTACCCCTCTCCGCCTGAACTGTGGCTTGCCTTGGCATGTTTCGATCTCATGTCCTCTAGCAGAGGCCTGGGTTCTCAACCAGCGGATATTGAAGCCCATATAAGTACCAAGATGCAAGCAGTTCAGCTTGTGTCTTCCCCTGCCGGCCTATAATTGAAGGTCCTTGGCAGGACGTTGGAGGCTCGCTCACCGAAATACCTACACGTGACGGCCTGCTCTACGGCACTCCCCGTCCTGCTCCCCGGCTTCTGCGCTACTGCCGACTCTCGTACGAGTATCCGCCCCGTACAGCGCGCGTACCTCGACTTCAGGCTCTATCGACGGCAGCCGAGAGGCTTCAGCCACTCAGTACCACCTCTTTTCTTCTCTTCTTCTTTCTCATCTATTCTCCTCACACTCCTGGCTGAGAGTAGAGGAATAATTCTGTGACCTTTTTCTCGGCTTTTTCTCGGGCGGCTTCCCTGGTCCATTTCCGCTTTATTTCAACCACCCAAAATCATGTATCCAAACGCTCACATCAAGATCCTCAAACGCTCCGTCAATTTAGTGCCCGCAGACGACTCGATCCCCTCGCCGCCACGCTCGCCGTCGCCTCCACCGCAGCCTCCACCTTTACCCTTAACGCTCGCCCAGCGCATGAGGCAATCCCAATCCCAATCCCAGATGCCAACTGATCGCCCCAAGCGGCGCGACTATGGCCCGCGGCGCAGGCGAGAGTCGCTCGACGCCCTGCTCGACGGCCTCAGCTCGTGGGACCTGCTGCACATCCGCAGCCGCTTCATCGACGGCTCCGTGCGCCTCGATGGCTTCGCCGGCCTCAGCGAGCTGCCGCCCGAGGTCTTTGCCTACATCATCCCGCACCTGGACCTGCAGGACGTGCTCAGCTGCTATCTCGTGAGCAAGGACTGGCGCGAGGCCTGGATGCAGGGCGCCGTGGCCTCGGCGCTGTGCAGCCGCTTCTTCCCGGGCCTGCTGGAGCTCTACCACAACGACGTGCCGGACCGCAACCAGCTATTCCGCGCCACAGCCCAACAGTACATGCGCAAGCTGTACGTCAAGCGGTCCTTTATCGCCTGGGACGTGGGCTGGAGCAGCGACATCTTCACCAACGCTGAGGACCCGCCGGCGAGTCGCCAGCTGGGCAATTTGCGCGAGGTCAACTTTGGCTTTGGGCCCCTGACGGTGCACTACAGCAGCGGCAAGCTGGCGTGGCAGCCGGATAACTGCCATGTCATTGTGGATGATTTGTACACGAGAGAGAGGTCGCGGTTCAGCTTTGGCATGGACTTCATCTCGGGGCGGCCGCTGCAGCTGCAGGCTGTGACGGACAGCTTGGTGGTGCTGGCGACGAGCCTGCCTCAGCATCAGAGCAGACACCGGACGACAACTGACAACGGGCAAACCATGTATGTTATATCAATCTTGCTTGTCCATATCATACTAAACACATTCTGTAGAACAGTGTTTCACCTGCAGTTCCGGCAGTCCAGGAATGTCGTCCTCCCGGGCAAGTTTGCCCACTGCTATGCTCAGGGCGACACAGTGGCGTTTGTCACCAGGCAGGGCCATGTCATCATGTGGGGCTGGAGCGATACTGCCTACGAGCTGAACGTTGATCACGAGCAGCACTTTTTCGAGCGAGAGGGATGGGAGAGCGATTTGGGGGGCATCCCGGGCATCGTGTTTCACCCAACAGACACGGACGTCGTCTATGCAGCGTGGCTGCATTCAGCCTTGCAGCCCGGTAAGCATCACTCTGACAACTTTCTCTCAAACTTCTTCAGGCTAATACATCGTTGTGTCACTACATTGTAGATCCTCTTATCCACATCGTCGTCGTCATCAAGTTTGAGCGTGGCAAGCCGGTGAAACGATTTGAATCATCCATCTCTCATCCGGAATACCACCGCGACCCTACGACCAGGTATTCGTGCCCGGCCATGCGCCTGACGCTCACTGCCCAGAAGATGGACAACTACGGCGGCTACGCGCTTGGCATTGTCCAGCTCGTCTTGGACAGGGGTAACGCTCCATGGGCAGACAAGCAAGCCAAACCATATACCGACTGGCTGTGTGTCACCTTTAACGTCTTGACCGAGACTTTCCTCCACATCAAGTACGAGAGCCGTCGGAGGCCGAACCCCGCGCAGGCGAGACACTTTGACTTGTGTGCATGGGAGGACCAGCTTGTCATCAGCTGGTTTGACGAGTACCTCGTCAGCCAGGGTTATTCCCACGGCCTGGAGTGGCTGCAGCCGGTCCCCATTGGCGACGGCCCCTCTCGCTGCGCTCACACAAGCAAAGTTTCCAAATCAATAATACGCCAGCAGGTGGAAGTCGAAGACTACATGTCCGACCATGGCTTTGGGCGCAGGATCTTCATGGACAAAGACTTCTTCATTGCCACGACGGGCCAGGGCTTCATGCTGATTTCGTTTAATGAGAGTATGGATCTTCCCGGCCTGGCCACCAGGGATGAGAATGGCAAGGTGGCGAGGTGCAAGAATCCGCCGCCGGCGACGGAGGGAGAGGACATTGAGCCGCCGAGAATGTCTGCATCGTGGGACACGCGAAAGGTGACGAGTTTGGTGAGGATTGCGCTGGATAAGTTTCCGGAGAATCAGCTTGATCAGCCTGGGTGGTGAAATGGCTGGCTGAAAAGGGTGATGAGTGATTGAATTGATAGTTGTGAGCCATGTAAGTGACATACTGCGAGCATATTTCTCTTTGTCTCTTTCATGGCGCCGGAAACGACTGCGATGGAGTTTTATTTAGATGGGCTTGGGAAAAGGGACAACAAAATAGGCGATGGTAGGCTAGCGTAGCGATGAAATGAGTTCTTTCTTCTTTTTTTATAGCATCAAACACGACTTAAATGAGTGATTCGATCGATCTGCAATTTTTATCTTGTGTCTCATACTCAAGTGCAGTCTCATGATCACGTTATGCTGCATCTCAGAAGGGTACAGGACCCAGCCATCGCCCCTAGCCTCCCCTAGCACCCGTCCTCAAGCGTAGATCCCCAGCCAACCCCCCCTGAAGGCTCCACCGCCGCCGCTACGGAAGACGCGTTCCAGCGCTGATGACGGAGCCCATTTACGGCCTTCCCCAGACTTTGGCAGTGAATCGTCGCTATCAGCTATCGCTATCGCGTCGATAAGAGCTCGACTTGTGTCATCCGGCCATCCATCCATGCTCCACCCTTTTAAACTCGCTCTTCCCATCAATGCTTGCTCTTCCGCAATTCCTCGTCGTTTCAGTCTCTTTGTGCCCCCTTTCTTCGTCGCGCTCCTTTTCTTCTGTTGTTATTCTTTCGTCTTTCATCTCGAGCCTCGAATCAAGCATGCGAAGCCACTGATCGACTCCATCTACTTCGACCGATTGATAATTCAATTCCCGTCTCTTCGCACTGCTGATCGCGCGACGAATCTCCTCCGAATCGCCCGTCATGCCGACCTCGGCGTCGCCCTCTGACCAGCAGCACTTCATCTATCCGAGTCCTCCCACCGCTACCGACGATGACGACCGCTCTTCCTACCTCGCCAGCGACGATGAAGGCGACTTGTCCTCCAGCGTGTCCGACCCGCTGATCCGCCGCCGCCAGCGACGGTCCAAGCAGATTGCCCGCTTCATCTCGCTGATATCTGCCACCATTGCTGCTCTTTGTGCCGGATCCATCGTCGTCTTCTCGCTCTACGCGCCAAAATTCCTGTCACGACTTCATTACACGCAATTCCAGGTCAATGGCGTCGCCATCGGCAGCTCCGTGGCGCTATACCTGCCCATATCAATCATGGGATACGTCTGCGATCGCATGGGCGTTGCGCCGCTGGCTCTTCTGTCTGCTTTTTTGTTCGGAGGAGGCTACGGACTCGCAGCGGGTATATACAAGAAGCTAGACTACGAGTACAATACGCTTGGCAAGTCTCATGGCGCAGAGAACGGCTGGTCATATCCGCTCATGGTGCTTGCCTTCATCATGATTGGAGCCGGCACCTGCGCCATGTACATCAGCTCCGTATCGACGTGCGCCAAGAATTTCGGCAAGGGCAAATACAGAGGCCTGGCGCTGGCCATGCCCATCACTGGCTTTGGCCTCAGTGGCATGTGGCTGAGCCAGTTTGGCAGCCGCTTCTTGGCCGAGAAGAATCCCGACGGGTCCAGGGGCGATGTTGACGTCTTTCGCTTCTTCGTTTTCCTTGCCGCCCTTCTGTTCGTCGTTGGCATTCTCAGCGTCTTTACTCTCAAGGTTGTCGACGAAGAAGAGCTGATTGAGGAGGCCATTGAAGAGCTGGAGCAGAGTGGGCTCCTAGACGGAAGCTCTCTGCTGGCGCGATCCGAAAGCCGAAGATCTAATGGAGGCTACGGCGCAATTCCGGCCATTGCTCAAGACGACATTACAGAGGAGGTTGACGACGACGCAAAGTGGAAGAAGAATTGGGTCCTCAACGCCGAGACGCGTCGTTTCTTGTCCGACCACACAATGTGGCCGTTTGCCTTGGCATTTCTGCTCATGATTGGACCCGGCGAGGCCTTCATCAACAACCTAGGCACTGTCATCGGCACTCTCACGCCTCCTATCACCGAAGATGTCAACCACGGGACCTCAGCTGCCACTCATGTTTCCATCTTTGGTGTTACCAGCACCATTGCTCGTCTCACGATTGGCACCCTGACCGACATCTTGGCCCCAGCACCAGAGACTCAGCATATCCAAGTACCTCCTTCGCGACCCTCGTCTCCGCTTAAGCGCTTTGCCATCTCTCGCGTTGTCTTTATGCTTTTCTTTGCTGTCTTACTTGCAACCGGACTACTATTCCTTGCCAGCGGTGCTGCTCAGAATCATGCCGACCGATTCTGGGTTGTCTCTGGCCTTGTTGGAGCGGGCTATGGAGCTGTCTTCTCTCTTACTCCTCTCATCGTCACAATCATCTGGGGTGTCGAAAACTTTGCTACAAACTTCGGCATCATCGCTATGCTGCCTGCTTTCGGATCTACATTCTGGGGCCTTGTCTATTCGGCCGTTTATGAGGCTGGATCGAGGAGCTCTTCCACTGATCCATCGCAGCCTGGTGATGGCGGGTCTGATGACTCCGTTTGCTACGGAAAGCATTGCTATGCTGTTACGTTTTGGGCAGAGGGTGTCTGTGTGGTTGTTGCGTGTTTCCTATTGCTTTGGGCTTGGAAGGGCAGAGGAGGCTGGAGTCAGCGTGGTATTGTGATATAAATGGGCTATTGTGTTTTTTTGAAAGCTTGCTTCACCATACACTGGCTTTTTCAGATTGTAGCCATCTTTTCATTTTTCTCTACTTCTCTTACGCATATGTGTTACCACCATCTAGATTGGCCTTCTCTTTCTCTATTTCCTCTTTCTCTTTGTTTCCTCTTTCTGCATTCATTACGGAGAATCTCAACGGGACCGAAATTGAGACTGTCTTCGGGTTCGCACCCACATCTTGGTTATCTTGAGAACATTGGATTATCTTTCTATTAATAGCACACTTCATATACGGTGCTGGTGGCGTTTGGAAATACTACTACAATATACTGCTTAACTGTATAGCACTTGATGCAACTTTGTCCTCCTTACGTCGTAATGTCGACCCGTAATGATTTGTTTGCCACCAGCACGCAATATATACCAAATCGTGTCGTAATGGTCGTGTAAGACAGCTACACATAATCAAGCATGCTGCTAGTTGCTCCGCACATCTTTGCCATTGCGTGAGTCATTTTCAACGACGCTGAATGGCCAGTCTCTTTCCCTTGCGTACAGTCGACCCGTCTCGTATTGCACAAAAGACTGGCGGTGTGACAGGAAAAGGCAAACAGGCAAACACATGCAGCTGCGGCAGAGAGACCTTCACCTAGATAGCGAGAGCCGTACGGCGACCAATAGAGCATCCTGTTTTCGGAAGGAATGCAAGCCGGCTTTGCAAGTTTGCATAGCATTGACGCAGGCTTCGTAGAATGCATGGCACTAAGGTAGTTGTGGTTTGGCTGTATGCGGTTACACGTGTGAAGGTGAGTTTGGATGATGGGTTTCTTGGCTTGCATGTGGCTTATCTGATCAGGAGAATCCCAATTTCCGCTACGTGTACTAGGCTTCAGACGCATAGGTGTAGTGGTACCGAGTTAAATGTACTGCTTTGTGTAAGTTTGTATGAATTATTAATATACAGAGATCGTTGTGTGTATTGAAAAGGAAAACATAATAGTGTTAAGAAGGCGTTGTGGCCTGGACGCTTGAGCTTGGAGAGGCGAACCATCTGCCTGTCATACATGTCATGATCATGGCGTACTGCTCTTTAGAACCATGCTGAAGATTGGAGCAGGAGCCAGGTCTAGGTCCATAGCCCTGCTGTGAAGGTTTTGAGACTTAGTTGAAAATGGATAGACAATATTCTTCTTTTCAAGGTTTCCGCTCCAAGATATTATTGAAATTGACCCCTTCATGGTTCTGACCTCTATAAGTCATACACTAGCAGTGGGCAGATATAGTAGATATAGTAGATATAGTAGATATAGTAGATATAGTAGATATAGTAGATATAGTAGATATAGTAGATATAGTAGATATAGTAGATATAGTAGATATAGTAGATATAGTAGATATAGTA